GTGTATGTGTTGTGTGTGTGTGTGTGTGTGTGTGTGTGTGTGTGTGTGTGTGTGTGTGTGTGTGTGAACGATTATCAATGCGTGAGCGGACCCCGTCGACGGGAAGCAATGGACTTGCCAAGGGTCAAGGGTCAGACAGAGGGCCGGAAGATATTGTGTGGGCTCTCTGTGGCCGAGACAGCGGGATCAATAGCGTTGCGCTGAATGGGGTCCAGACAGGCCATGTTACGGGCCAGACGGGTACGTGACGGGTAGCAAGTAATAGCACTCGTACATCGTTTGCCGTATGTCGGTGGGGGGGACAAGGTAGTATCATGTGCGGTCGACCACTTTTTGGTGTGGACGCTACCTGACAAGGCTAACGGTCGGCGGCGAACAGGGAGGGGAGGGGGGGAGTGGGCGTAAGATTCTAAATTGAGGGCTAATAATTGCTCGTGCCCCTACTGATGGTCATAGCACTTATTAGTGATATATCACATTACCTGAGTAGCAATAGTATTAGTTGCAGAACATGTGCGGAATTGACGATCAAACGACAATCAAGGCCCACGGAGGTCGAGGATGGAGAGGGGTAAGAGAGGAGTGTTGGGTTGACGGAGAAGGGAAAGGAAAGGGGATGAGCATCGCCGTGACGAAGAAAGGAAGGGCGGAAGGGCAGGATGGAAGAAGCCAGAAGAGTGGCGTTGATCGTTGGTCACTGAGATCTGGCATTTGATATCGTCACCAGTCAGTATATGTGCTCCTACAGTCGACTACTACTGGTATCGATACCTGACTGGAAGGGAAGCTGGTAGCAGGGCTGTACTGCAGAATTCGTATGTCGTACCTTATCATTATATATACTACGATATACCACCATGTCGCGCGACGTGGCGCAGGCGAGCTGAAGAGAGTGCTGGATTCAGTGTTCAATACGTCGGATAATATTGCTCACATGTCAATGATGATACTGCTGGAGAGGTGATTGTATTGACGAACGGCTGAATCTCGCGTGAGTTACCGCTATATATCATTATTGCTCGCGACTGATTGTTTTGATTCGTCGAATGAGCCATTTACACTATACAAGTGATAATACGAGCTGACCTGTTTCTCATACCATCTCTCTCGATCCTGATACCATCTCTGATACCATCTCCGATACCAACCACCACCAACCGTCGCACACTCTATCAGGGCCAGCCGTGTTGGCTGTCGTCATATTACATGCATGGATTATCGCACTCTCTAGACGTCAACCCTCATCATCCGTAACACTGACTGCGGCCATGTTCCCGCTCGAAACCCAGCAGGGTTCGTCACACCTGCCGTCAGTCTCGTCCGTCGATAGGTCGTACTGATCCGTGTCGCCTCTTCTACTCCGCACTCTATTACTCGCTACTCGCAGATACACTATATTGCGATGTAAGCCTGAATACCTACCTGAACCGGAACCTTGCCCGAGCCGTCCAGCCATACAGCCAGAGTGCTGCTCCGCGCTGACATACATGCCACGCATGCCACCAAAATTAAGTTTTTCGTCGTCATCATCATCACCAACCTCGAATCTACTGTTGATACCGCAATTCTTCTTCTTCTTCTTCTTCTTCTTCTTCTACCACCGCCACCACCACCACCACTGCCCATCATGCCCTGAACGAAATCCATCCTGGTCAAACTGCACTCTTTCTCATCCCAGCGGATACTCCCTCTCTGCAGGGCGCAAGGTGAGCCTGCGCCCCGGTCTCACTTGGCAGTATGAGCCTGGCCCGGGCCGGAGGAGGCGGTGGATCGTCATCACGACCGCCGTGCCGTTCGGACGGATGCACCGCCGAGGGTACTCGACAAGCTCCGGATAGTCATCGCCGCATGCCCTCGCTGTACTTGCCTCGGCGGCCATCCCCGTAAGCACCGCCGTGTGCATGCGGTCGTAGATGGTTAGCCGCGTCCGGTGGCAGAACTGGCAGGTGATGAGTACGACAGCACTGACACGATTGCCGTCACGGCTTCCGTGAGGTCTATGCCAGCCTGGCTATCCCTCTCTCGCCATCGATGCCGCCTTGCTTCTACGTCATGCTCGAGGTGGCATTGCTGCTGTGAAACTGTGCACATGCCAGCTCTCTTCTTCTTCTTCTTTGGGAGTACTGGTACGCCGAATATCAAGTCATCAAGTGTTGGGATATCACGTAACGCTATGCAGCAGTAATGAGATTCTAAACCTGTCCAGAACCACGTCGGGAGGTGCTGTCCGTCTTGTCCACCCGCTCAGCCGACCATCATGTACAAGGTTTGCAGCAATTCAGGCTTGTCATCAGAAAACGGTAGAGTTGGGTGTATGGGTACACGCGGGGAGGATCGTGTGCGTGCGGGTTGCATGTACGAAGTTGGATGGCTTGGCTGCGTGAGTCCGTCGCCAGCCACAAACCTGCGTACTATTGCAGGTCAAGGTACTAGCTAGTATCATGATTACTTGGGGTAACTGGAAGACTTCACTCTATTGACTCGTAAGAAAATACTGAAAAAATAGGAAGAAAGAAGAAAGAAAAAAGAAAAAGAAAACACTACCAGGGTTCAGAATATAGGTTGACTTAGAGAGTCCTGTACAAGAGGACAAATGCGAGTGCCCAACTGATCGATAACATGCCATATCTGTAGACATCTGGAAAGCATCATCTGTTTTGCTACAGCAGTAGCGATTCCTCGTGTAATAAATGCTGGCGATGACGAACTGCACTGTACGACGCAAGGTCCCAGATGCTGATCAGATATGTTGGTCCCATCCCGACCCATCATCCATTAGGCTGGCTGTCACGTCTAGAACACACACGACCAACTTGCATATTGCTAATCATCCCTGGCCAGAACAGTCAGTCGGTTTTCCGCCGTCGAGAAAAGATTCGAGGTCCTGCAAAGCTCCATAACGCATCTGATGTTATCGTCATCGAGAACCACTCACCACCGGGGCAGCAAGGAAGGACTAGACTACAGTACTTAATCTCTGGACTCGGGTAATACTACTAGCCCCGAATCAATACTACTGCTATCAGAACCAGTAGATAATATCAAAATGCCACAGCATCAAAGAGCCACCCAGGAGGGGGGAGAAATTGACCCTCGCAAACAAGACCAAAAAGCCATGCTGCATCATAATTTAGTAAACCATGACCTTGCCGCCATCTACTAAGCTGCCTTGAACTGCCCCACACCACCCGCAACCTTGACGTTCCTTAGTTCCCACCCTCCAAGGCCCAACACCCAACATCTCGCCAAGGAATTCCAAGACAGGGAATTCGGGAGAGAGACGGAGAGAAGAAGACAAAGACAAAACAAAAAAAAAAAAAAAAAGGATGAGGATTAAACCCTCCTACGTCGTAGCGCTTCGTCTCCCCCCCTCCCCCCTACCCTCCTTCTTTCTCTTCTTCCTTCCCACCCCCCGGAATCATGTCCCACAGACTAGATCGATAATACTCCGCGCCCTCAGAGAGACCATATCCAGAACTTTGACTAGTTAGACGGCTAGAGACGTCCGACTGGGTACTCGTAATACTCCGCAATGAGGTCGTAGCAGGACCATGGACAGGTTGCAACGGGACCAGCCTTTGCTTTCCTCTCCCACAAGAGCTGACCGTTTGTTCTCTCGACCCACCATCCAAGTATTGTATACGGCAGTCTGGCGGGTCTCTCTCCATTCCCCGCTACGTTGTAGAGACGACCCCGGAGCATTGATGCACACTCTCTCAACTCTCGTACGAGTTATAGCCCGTACTGAAGTCATATGCATACACGTACAGATCAGGGTAGGGGATAAAGTCATGGCGTGGTGCATAGTCTCGCCTCCCTCGCTCGCACCGTTGACAAGAAGGACACGGAGTTGCGTGAGACACGGACGCAGACACACACAACCGCTTGCCTTGGCCCATATTATATCATACCCTCCAACCTCTTCTAGGTCCACCTCCTTCACTACCGTTATAGGTATCAGCAGTAGCGGGCAGTATTACTTGATATCTTCCATCATCAGTTCTCGCTTTCGATGAATGTCACTTGCCGCCGGTCCCCCTCCCCCCCCTCCTCTTGGGCCTTGTTCCACTGCTCACATGCACACCCCATATCCCACCCCTGCCAGTTCACATTACCCTCCCTCAAGCAAAACGAGTAGCTGCACAACGACGTGCACATAGCTCGACCTGGATGCGGTGGGCCAAGACTCTTCCCTCCCATCATCTCTTTTGCAACAGGCATTGTCTCTGGGTCTTTCTGTCTTGTTCAGACCAACCTGGGCTTCTATTCTTTGCATAAAACCACCCTGGCTCCGCTCCCCCTCCCCGCCGCCCATCTTCTCTCCCGTCCCCCCGCGTTTCCGGAGGAGACCACCGACAACTCGCTCAGTCATATATATAACGGCTGGTAGTATTACTACTACTCACCCATCCATCCTCTTTCACCACAACCCAACTCGTCAACGACATACACACACGCACAAGCCCGACGTGTACATATATCGATATATACACATACAAACCCCCGAGGGTAATACAACCAACCAGTTGTGTGTGTATCTGTACGTACAGCACCACTGCTACACCGCGCTCTCCCAACATGATGAGCTACCGCTTTGATATGCCCACGACAGCGAAGCCGGCCCCGGCACCGATACCCAGACGAGCCAGGCCCATTATAAACGAGCGGTCGAAATCCAAGGGTCCCGTCCCCTTTGACCCGGAAGACCTGTCGAGGAGATTGATCGTGGTGCTTTCCGAGAGGGAGGAGAGAAGCAGGAAGAAGGCGCACGACCGGGAAGTCCGGGCACGCCTAGCTGCTTCCGTCTCGACCGAAATCGACAGCGGCTACACTGTCGGCGCCGGGGCGTCGGGGTCAGACCACGTTGCTCCCGCGTTGTTGGGAGCCACCAAGGCATTTCCTCCCGATACTGCCCCGACAGACGACCACAGACTTCCATACCGTCACATGCCAGAGGTGGCCGCCTCGCAATTTTCACGGACCACTACTGTCGACCCCAGAAACAAGAACAGCAACAGCAACAGCAACAGCAGCAAGAGCAAGAGCAGCGAGGGCAAGTCCCTGGTTCACGAGCTGTCGATGAGAGCCATGAGATTCACCAACTCCAACACCGCTCAGAAGGACGATACCTCCAGGACAGCAGCACACGACGCCCGCCATTGCTGCCCCGCGATATCCGGAAAGACAGACGACTCCCACCCTCGGCGACTTGAAAAGCTAGCACAGCGTCATACCCTCTCGCCCAGATTCCTCTCCAAGTCCCGCGACAGCGATGACGTGACGGCTGCGGAGGCAAAACGGTTCAGCGACAGCGGCGCCAACTATCGACGCCGCGACTCATGCGATCTCCCGGAGATGGCCTTGCTCTCCCCGGACAGTCAGACCAGCTTCGCCGGCCAGCAACACCCTATGGTTGACTGGACGCAGAGCGACGAGGGCGCCCTGCCCGCATCAGGAGGTGTAGACGCCCAGCCACGATACTCGGCTGTCGCCGCCGAGAAGCACGAGTCCAAGTGGGCCATCATGAGCCGGTTTGGACAGAAGAACAAGTCGCCGCCCAAGTCGCCCGTTTCGCTGAGGGCGACGAGATCCGCCTTCTTCACGCGGTTCAAGCGGTAATGGTGCTCGTCCGTTGCGTCCCTTTCGGGACAGAAACAAAGGGAACCAGACGCTCGAGAACGATTTTTTTTTCAATGCAGAGTAAAGGGGGTATATATAATGGGACGACGCAGACGATGATAACAAGAGGGCCAGAGGGGGAAAAAATCGTCACGCCTTCTTGCCTCGCCTTTCCTCTTCCATAAGGTACAGCACCAACTCCGAGTACTCGCGTATAGCCTCGCCATCCTCGCCCTCGGCACCCCTAGCTCTTCGGAGGGCCTTCTTTCCCTGGGCGATGCCCTTTTCGCGATCCCACCCGCTATTCTGCGGCGGGAGATCTTTCAATAAGGAAGCCGGTATTCTAGATCGTTCGCTCGTGGGTTCCCGCATGGCCGTCTCGATCTCGAGGAGCTGCTCAGGCAGACGGGGGTACTTTCGGAAGAGCCATTGAAGCTTCTCGGAGCGGTGGATAACGCTATACGGGCTATCATCATCGTCGTCGCCTGGCCTAGTTGGAAGGGCACCGGTGGTCGTCAGTAGCAGTTCAGACGGTACTGCCGCCGACGCTGGTTGGGTTGGTTCAGGATCGGGAGGGTGGTTTTCGCGATGGATCTTGTTGCATGCCACTGAGCAGCTGGTGTTTTTAGGGAAAACGTTCAATGCTTCATTTCTTGCTGGAAGTGGTGGAGGGAGTGGAGGAAGTGGTGAAATACTTACTAGGGGAGGTAGCATCTGGGACACTTGTATTTCGAAGGATTCTTCTCACAAACACCGCATGTACTAGAAACTGATGCTGCTGCTGTGATTTTCTTGTCGCCGTCCTGATCACTCTCCCGAAATTCTGTGTGCTCCTTAACAGGCGCGTCTACCTCCATTTTCTGCTCTGTCGTGTCCATATCGAATGCTGGGATGCAACAGCTTCCGTGAGCTGTCGATACGCGACAAAGTCGCTGGTATTCCGCGAGATTATTGAAAAAGAGGTATATACCGTCTGACTAATAAAGGGTGAAGACGAAGGTCAAAAAAGGAACCTATGGTAGTGGGCAATGTGAGTTGGTAGGTTGGTTCTGGGGATATGTTCGTTTTGAGACGGAAAACCTCGGCGTTGGAAGGGGAGTGATGACTGAGAAGGTGAATTTATTTTCAGGGCAATGACGAACGTTGGGTGCTTTAAGTGGTCCGAGCGTTGACAAAAAAAGAGGAGACACATGGCTGCCGCAAGAGATGCTAGCAGCCCATGGAATAGGTACGGAGCAGACTCAGTGATATGACACAGCTGTCAAGGTGTTTTTGTCAATATGGTGGTGGATACCCAGAGGACCAGTCGGCTTCTTCACAAGTCAGGCATTAGTAATTGTCGGCTCCGAACGGTAAAATGGACGAGGAAGAAAAGGACGCTTGGCGACGTCGGTGGCAATGGATGACCCAGAGAAAACATACATCATACATAACCACCACCAGCATCACCCCGATCGAACAACCCATTACACTATAGCAACAGAACCAACGAAAAAAAAAAGAGAATAATACGATTTTCAGACAAGAAACAACGTTATATACATTCACACGCACATATAAAATGGCTTCGTCAACCAAGACGATGATGCCTCGCGCCGCCTCGCGCCTTCTATCTACCACGCTGGAATGCCACATCCGACCATCACCGAGGTTCTCTCGGAGCAGCGCCGCACCGATGGCACGTCCCCTGAGTACGCGGGCGGGATATGCAGTGTCGAGACCACAAGCTCCGACGAGTCTGTTGCGGCAGCAGCGTCAGCGTCAGCAGAAGTTCCTGTCGGCCGTGGGAGGCGTGCGCAGCATCTTCATCCAAACGGAGGGCACGCCCAACCCCGACGCGCTCAAGTTCATTCCGAACCACCAGGTGGTCCCGGAAAGCCTCAACACGCCCTTCATCGAGTACATGAGCCCCCGGTCAACTATCTCGCCGCCGTACCCGTCCCCGCTGGCGTCGAAGCTGATGAACATTGACGGCATCACGTCCGTCTTCTACGGCGCCGATTTCATCACCGTCACCAAGTCGGCCGACACCGAGTGGGCGCACGTGCGGCCCGAGATCTTCGCCCTCGTCACCGAGGCCATCACGTCGGGCGAGGCCATCGTCAACATCACCGCCAACCACGACGGCGCCGAGCACGAGGCGGAAGAGGACAGCCTCGCTTACAACGAGAACGACGACGACGTCGTCGGCATGATCAAGGAGCTCCTTGAGACCAGGATCCGTCCCGCCATTCAGGAGGACGGCGGCGATATCGAGTTCCACGGCTTCGACGACGGCGTCGTCAAGCTTAAGCTTCGCGGGGCTTGCAGGACGTGTGACTCCAGCACCGTCACCCTCAAGAATGGTATTGAGAGTATGCTCAAACATTATGTGAGTATTTCTCTTTCTCACATTTCCCCCCTTCTCCCCTGGACAGGTCGAACACTACCGTTATTATTTTCTGTCACATAAGAGACGAAATGAAATACTAATCACCTGAACACAGATCGAAGAAGTCACCGAGGTCCATCAGGTCATGGATGAGGGAGAGCAGATTGCGATCGACGAGTTTGCCAAGTTCGAAGAGAAGCTGAAGCAGCAGAAGGGGGCCATTCCCGCATAGGAGGACACGTAATCGCTCTCTTTACCTTCTTTCTTTTGGAGTCTTTTTCCAAATCTTCTTCATTCCTTTTTCTTTCCGATTATTCAATCTCAACGGAGGGAAACTAGGCATGGAGAAAAAAAAATGTACAACAGTTCTAGATTAGTACAGTACAATAGATACCCGTCACAAGGACACCATCCTGTCCATGAGTCAAGCTGCCCGGAAGCAGCGGGAGGTTTGCCCCTCCCGATGATTGAAACCGTCCCCTATTGTTCTGGAATTTTTCATTGAAAGTTTGGACAGAACATGGAGAGATGAAGACGTTGTGCAGTCCCTGCCTATAGCACAGAACTGCATGCTGACACTTATTTTGTTTAACACAGTGCTTTAAAATCTCCTTTAAACGTACTCTCTTCATACAGTCAACATTAGCCCAAGCCATGGAAGACTGCCGGTGGGCGGGAGGAGACGGAGTGTTCCGGATTAGGGTAACCCCTCAAGAGACAAACAGATTCTAGCAATGCGTCCGTCATGAATTTACAAATGTACACCTAGGGCAATTATTCAAGACAAAAAGCCTTCCTCTTTTTTTTTTAGGCAAAAGAGAAGTAGAAAGAGAAAGAAAAGAAAAGAAAAGAAAAGAAAAGAGTGTGGGCTGGCTATCGGGTGAGATATTACGCCACAAGGACCTACATGCATGCTACATTCTGCAGCCAGCCAGCGGGAGGAGGAGGGCCAACGGGGAATGATGGATTCAGGAGAGGTATACTAAGTAAGAAGGGAGCAGCGGAGAAGAAACGAAAATCCGGGGTAGAGAGGTCACGAGGATTGAAACCCTGTACGGTGCATTCATACGTAGGCTGCACCAGGTCTATAGACCGGTATTGGCTAAAAAGTGCTGCGCGGGGAAAAATGATGCGTGTGTGTGTGTAACGTGGAGAGAGAGGGAGAGCTGTGCATTACTATCCTTTCATATTCTTTCATCTAACTGGCTGGTGGAGCGGGAGAGGGGGAAATAAAATAAAATACCAAAAGAAACTGATCGTGTGATGTTGCGTCACAGGGATGGATACACGCAAGGACCGAGTCGGTGGCGTATGGTTGACTTTTGCTACTCTTTCGCCTCGCTCCTTTTTTTCTTCTTTTTTTTTCTTTTTTTTTTTTGGAAGGAGAGAGACAAGGGAGAAGCTTAGGGAGAAAGTGGTGTCGAATCGGTCTTACGAGAGAGAGAGTGTGTGTGGTGGAAGCGGGGTTCTCTGTATGTGGGACATAAATACCATTTAGCAGTATTGCACCATGAGGGAGGGGGCATGTAAGGGAGAGAGGGCGGGGAGGGACGATCGATCCCCGGATCGAGGGGGGGCGCGCGAAGGCGGGACTGGGGTTTTTGTCCTCTTCAGGATGGCCAGGAGGAGGGACATGGATGTATATATCCCAGGATGAAAGAAAGCATTCTTGACCGGTGATGCAAGGACGGGGTATTTCTTTGGAAGAGGGGTGTCATTGACGAAATTGGTGGTGGCCATATTGCGTATCAAAATGTACATTTTCCTGAATGAATGGTCAGATTGGGTTGAAAAAGGCTAAAAGAAGAGGGACGAGATGGATCGGCGATGAGGTTATTCCAGTTCGTATCGAAGTGTTGATACTTAGTTAATAATCTTGGGACGGCGACGAAAACAGCCAGACTTAGCGATGGTAGAGTAGCATCTATATTCAATATCAGCAAGTTTTCCGGGAGCAGAGCTGCACGTTTTACGTTCAACGCCCAGCACATAATAATAATACAAGGTCGATTTCAGAGGCTCTGGCTATGCTTCAGCCTTCTTCACCCGTCCGGCAGCTTTGCCAGTTCTGGCCCTCCGAGTCCTACCGGCTCCCCCCCCCCCCCGTTATTGCATAATCCACATAAGAGATTCGAGATATGCCCACCCAGCGCCACCTAGCGCCACTTATCGTTTTCACCCACACAACCACTTCTTTCTTCTTTTATTTCTTTTATCTCTTTTTATTTTTATTCCCTCTCTTCTTATATATATTCCTGACTCCATAATTGATTATATAGAACCTCTCCCCGCAGAGACGGGACAGAAGAACAGGAGGACCCTTGACTGCGGTTCGCCGTTTTCCTGGTCAGCCACTCAGCCACTTCAAGTATTACGGCAGGTAGACGTCTGCTGTGCATTAGCACTACCTAGTGCTACCTAGTGCATTGAAATACAGGTAGTTAGTAGTAATACTATGTAATAGTGGTGGCCTCGAGTGCGGAGTATTAGAGTCAATATTATGGCTGGCCGATGATACATCTACAGGGTCTAAATAAACCTGCGACTGTTACTAGCGCAAGCATCTATGCCTAGGGACTTCTTCATATATTTCTAGTCACTTGTCTGATTGACATGGGTCGAATTCATTCCGATCAAAGGACATGTCTTTGATCTCCCCTATGTGTGCGTGCAAAAAAAAAAAACCAAGGGCAATGCCAAAAAAGACATTGTGTGCCTGCTCGCCTCAACCCTGACATTTACCCCATACTTTGGCTCTCCACTTTCCATCCTCGTTCCATCCTCGACCGTCCAGGGCCCTGTTCTTGTCGATCCGCGCTATCCATTAGTGCTCGAGTAACGGAGTTTTGTTCGGTGCTCTAGAACCAACCACTGCTTCACTCCAAGTCTCTCCTGTCGGCTTAACCCATTCGCTTCACAAGACTCAAAGTACAATTCAGTTCTAAGCTTCGTATTTATTCTCCCGCATATAGAGAGATAAATAATATAACGTCTACCCCGGCCTACCGACAGAACCGCACCTGCAACCAGCTACAAACTGCACGTGCCCCACCAACGCTAACTCGTACGACTTCCCATCTTCCAAGTTGTGTCCGTCCCACCGTCCAGTCCAACTTGGTAGCTCTCCCTCTCCTCTCCACTGACAGTGCAACCACTTCGGGTCATTAACAATATACCTTTTACCTCTACAGGCCAGCTCGTACAGATTTACAGGCGGTCCTCCTTGCTTCTCACAGCGCCGTCTTTAACGTTACCAACTTTACCCCCCCCCCCCCCCCCCCCCCCTCAAACCTCTTTGTCGCCTCCATAAGCCGCCCCCGCTTTCCCAAGGTCAGGCCTTGTCTCGCCTGTTTCCCCTATTTTCATTTGCATCTACCCGAGCCCCCGTTCTGTTGCTTTCCTCTTGTCTTGCTTCTCCTCATCTCTTTCTTTCCCTGCCTCCCCTCACCGCCGTTGGCCCCATTGCGCAACACCATTTTACTTTAAAATTATTCTATACGTTCTCCAAATATTCGAGGCATCTGGCAATGGGCGTGAGGTGAGCGTCCGCGTCGACTGGCAATTCACTCTTTCTCACTCCCTCACTCCCTCTCTCTTTCTCGTGTGTGTGTGCGTCTGCGCACATACAGGCACCACCTGAACGCACGCTCTTCTCCTCTCCTCTTTTTGCGCCTCTCTCCTTCTCTCCCCCCCCGGTGTTCCAGTTTCACACGGTTTTTTTCTAGCGGCTAAAAAAAGAAGAAAAGCACACCCTACGAAAACGGAGACCTTACGACATCCACATCTTCCTCCTCTCTATCTTCCTCCTGGGTTGCAGCCCAGTAGCAATACTGCTACAGCCTACTGCTACGAAGTAATACTGCTCTACCTAATACTGCTGCTGCTGCTACTCCTCAATTCCCCACCAACGCGCCTGGGTTGTTCTGTACCTCATCTCATCTCACCTCGACCTACCTATCCTATTCCTCCTCTTCTTCTCTTCCTTCTTCTTCTCAGGAGTCACCACCGCTGTCACCTTCGTGGGCCTTCTCTGTGGTCTGTTACACCCACTACTGTATATTCAGTATACAGCTTCACATATTCAGACACCACGCGACACCTCGCTTCAGCATATTCTTCTTCCCTTCTCGACTCCTGGTTCATCGTCTGGGTTAGACTCTCGCCTGCTTTAATTATTTTTTTAGACATCATTATACTCGCCCACACACACACACACACACACACACACACATTACACACACACATATTACACACACACAATCACACACCACACACCTCCACCACCTTTTTTAGCCGCCTCTTTCTTCTATTCGGCCATTTCTTCTCATTTTTTCACTACATTTTTTTTTTGCCTCTGCCTTGGCTTTTGCCACGTAGGCGCACACACCCTTTTCTCTTTCTCTCTCTTACTCTCTGTCAGCAGAGCGCGTCTGTCCCGGATTCTCTTATTTCCGTCGAACCCATTGTATCTGATTTGAGCAGCTGGAACGCCCATCTAGTCTTCCCTGGTTCCTCGCTTAAACCAACAAAACTTGAATCCTCCATACTGTATAGACGCGTGCGATTCTTTTTGCTTTGGTGAGCCTCATCCCCTTTCCTCTTATCCTCATCCTCACACACGCACTTCACACACAAGTACCTCCTACACCCCCACTGTGCTCTCTCATCCTTCTCGCTTCACGTCTCACCCCTCACATGTCTGCTGCCACGAGAGACGCCTACAAGAGACAGACTGCCCGTATCACAACGTTCACCGCCGTCTAAATCTTAAGCCTTCACCACGCAAAAGCGTCACTGTCATCTTACAGCTAACGTCCGTTCGTCAACCATTCACAGGCGTTTGGCCGTTCTGTCATTGACACATATTCGCACTTTTTTCCCCTCTTGTCTTTTTTGTTTATTTATCGCCACCCTGCTGCTGTTATAGAAAAAAAAATAGCATCACGTGCTACTATCACCTCACCTGATTTCCCTTTGAGAGAGACGGAACTCTCACGCCCCCCACACAGTCGTCACCGAGAGCACCTTGACGCCTTTTGCTCCCCGCAGCTATTTTTTCCTCTCTTACTTTTTGCAGCCTACCCCATATATGCCGCCAACTTATCTGCTGCCTTTGAGTTGGTCACCAACGGCGTAGCGGCGTAACGACATATCGCCAGCTCATTATAATCACCTCAATCACCCCGCTCGCCACCCACATCATCTTCCTCTTCCCTTCTCTTTTTCTTCTCCTACTCCTTCCAGGGAGTTAAGAAAGAAACCCACTCCCACCCACAGCGGACAATTGGTTTCCATCATGAGCTCTGGTTCACTCAAGTCGGGGCCCACCGCAAAGCCTGCCATCGGTCCCCAGACTACCCCGACCAATACGAACCCCCTACTTGAGAAGGTGAATGCGCGCACCTCGACGCCCGACTCCGAGGCCCTCGCCAGCTCTGACGATGAGGGCGATCATCGTCTAGATGCCTCGGTGCCACCTGCCCAGCACCAGAATCCCGTCCGCCGCTCCTCGTGGCTCAATGACACATCCACCTCATCCTTCGCCCGCCCCCGGAAATCCTCCATCGCCAGCGGCTCCATGTCGCCCACAGCCTCGAATCCCAGCACGCCCTCGGCCGAAACTGGCGTCACCTCCGCAGCAGCAAGCACCTGGGGCTCCCACGCCGCCTCGTCGAGCATCAGTAGGGCTCCCCCGGTCGCGCCTACATTTCCCTGGGGGACGGGCATATGGAACACGGACCGTAAGGATCCTCCCCAGCGACTGAGTGAAGTTCTTCCCTCCCCGACATCCACCGTACCCTCGTCCAACTCTTTCTTCGGTCCGGATCTCGGCGCCGTTCAGACCTCACCCACCCTTCGTGACGGCGCCTCGAACTCGCAGATCCCCTTTGCCATCCCGCTTCACCCGACGCCCAAGACATACCGCTCCCAATCCTACTCTGTGGGCCAGACGGACCCCGAGGCCAACCTCGTCATCGGATCTGCACCGGGTCCTTCGTCCTCCTCTACTAGCGTCGCCACCATGCACGGAGGAGGACGTGCACGGCACCCGGGCCTGCAGCACCGCCCTTCGCGGCCTAGCATGCTGAGCGAAATGGCCAACGACGGATCCATGCTCGGCAAGGTCAAGGAGGTCGAGGATGACGAGGATGACGACGAGAGCGCCTCGGAGTCCGTGCAGGGCTCCTTCCACCGCAGCTCCGAGTCCAAGATGATTGAGATGCTTGCCCGCGAGAATGCCATCCTTCGCCAGCAGCAGTACGCCCGCATGCGACCGCGCGCGTCCACAGGCGGGGGGCCTTACTTTACTTCTAACGGCGGGGGTCATTCCCTCCAGGAATCCGTCCCGGAGGAGTTAGACTATGCCGTCGACGAGCTGGACGAGCTGAATGACGCAGGCGGCGTCGATCTGTATGGCGGCGCGCGAGTCGGGGGCCAAGGAGTTGCTGGCCGCCGCATGAGCGAGTTTGGTGGGCCGCAGTTTCGCTCCCCCTTTGGCGGCAGCAGCAACAGCAAGGCAGATAGCAACAGCAACCTCAAGAAGGCTCTGTGGTCGACGCCGGGTGTCCCCATCAACGACGCCTCGCAGAGCCGACGCCATTCGTTTGCCAACATGCCCACCCGCCAGGGATCTATCAGCTCCATCGCCGACTCGGGGCCCGGCCCCCTGGATTCCACGACACCCGACGGCCAGCACCAGATGATGCCGCCCGGCTACCCCGACCCCTCGACCTTTGGCACCAGCGCCTCCAGCAACGCGTCGTACATAGGAGCAGGAGGACCACCGGGTGGTGTATTCGGAGGGGGGAACCCCTTCCAGCAAGCCCCGCCACCACCCTTTGGCGTAGGCGTGGGCGGCCAGTTTCACCACCGCCCTGCTTCGCCTCACCGCAGCCTGTACACCATGGGCCAACCCCGACACAACCAGCTCCTCCACATCGTCCTGTTCAAATGCGCCCGCGCCGACGTGTTCTACATACAAGAGGGCACTGGGCTGACGGTGAAGCCGGGCGATCTTGTCATCGTCGAGGCCGACCGCGGCACCGATCTGGGTACTGTGGCCAAGGGCAATGTAGATTGGCAAACGGCTAAGGAGCTCAAGGAGCACTACGCCGAGGAGCACTACAAGTGGCTCATGATGTACTCGCAGGGTGCGGCTGCCGCGCAGGACGGTACCACATCGGGATCGGGCCTCTTGGCGTCATCGTCGTCGCTGCTGTCAAACAGCAGCAATGGCGGAGGCGTTGGTGCTGGTGGTCTCGGCCTGCAGGGCAGCGCGATAGGAGGCATGGGACCGCCCCCGCAGCAGCAGCAGCAACATCAACATCATGGCCACCTCCAAGAGCCCAACGGTGCTGCCGCCGGCGAGCTCAGGCCGAAACTCATCAAGAGGCTGGCGCAGAATCACGAGGTGCATTCACTCAGGGACAAGGAGGGACAGGAGGCCAAGGCCAAGAGGGTCTGCATGCAAAAGGTCAAGGAGCATGGGCTCAACATGGAGATACTTGATGCTGAATTTCAGATGTATGTTTTCTCTCCCCCCACCCTCTTCCTTTCGTCTCGAGTAGAAGAAAGGAGGCTCCCCTCCACCCCCCTCGTTTTAGGCTGCTGACCTTGAGAATAGGGACTGGAAAAAACTTACGTTTTACTACTTCGCCGACGCCTACATCAACTTCAATCCCCTCGTCACCGATCTTTTCAAGATCTACAAGACACGTATCTGGATGTCGGCTATCAACCCTGCCTCTTTCGCCAGTCCCACGCTCGGTATCCAGGCCCCTAGTGGAGTTGGTCCCGGTGCTGTAGGGGTTGGACGGTCAACCAATGATGGTCGTCAGACCCAGACTCAACAGCAGCAGCAGCAGCAGAAGCAGCACCAGGAGCAGCAGCAAGCACAGCAGCATCAGCAGCAGGCCTTTGGTGGTGGAGGTGGCCGAGCTTTCCGTCCCAGTCCCACGCAGCATTTCGTCCCCGATAGATCAGGCGGTGGCTACGGTGGTGGCGTCGGCGTCGGCATCCCCGCCGCAGCAGCAACGGGAGTGCCGAACTACGCCTACGCCCAGGGCGGGGGAGCCTTTGGCGATGCCCGTCTACATTATGGCGCGGTATCACCTAGTCTTGACGGCAGTGGCGGCTTCCCCGGCGCCATCGGTATGGGTATGGGTATGGGTATCCAGCAGCAACAACACCAGCAACAGCAACAACAGCAGTTTGGTGGGTTCCAGCAAGCTACCAGTATGCGTCATCACCGGTTCCCGACGCCTCAGCAGAGTCCTCATGGGCAGGGGATGCCGGGAATGGTGACGCCGCAGGGTGATTGGAATGCCGCTGCATTTCAAGGATTGTCACTGAATTCTGGGTGATGCTGAACGTTCTTTTTTCCCCTTTTTGACATGACATGATACTTTTTTTTTCCTTTGCCTTTCTGACTCGTTTACAACGGAGCTAGGATACCATTGATGGATTGATTATATTCACTGTTAATTATGTTCTTTTTCTTTTTCTTATACTTCTTTTTTTTCATGTTACCAACTGCTTCGGTTTCCATATACTTGTTTCTTGCCTTTTTCACTGTCGGTTTTTTTCCTTACAACCCGCGATACCTTTCATGACCAACAACAAAAAAAAGACAAAGAATGGATTTGGCGGGGCCCAGGAGATTTTATGTTTCCTTTTTATTATTACTATTACTTATACGGCAAAGGGTAAAGATTTTATAGACAAGAGAGCTCAGGTTGCGTCGGGTTTTTGGCTTTGGCTTTCTTATGTACGTTTTCTTTTTCTATATATATCTTTGGTTCTTTTTATTTTGTGTTTTCTCTCTCGAAATTCCGTTTGGGTGGGTGTGTGTTTATGGACCGTGGTTATGTGACATCAAAGAAAAGTAAGAACGAGAGGGGGAGAGAGATGTCAAAAAAAAAAGACGAGGATAGGGCGAATGAAAGACGAAAGACAAGATGATATGATGAACAAATAAGACTGCAAATCTGGATTGGACGGGGGGTTGTGATATCCGAAATATATTATCTATTTTCTGATCGATGCTGTAATTACCTTAGTGCATATTGAGTTCTTCTGCGCTGCGAAATTTGTAGAGTTTTGGTTTGCTTGCCGACATTGAAGCGTGTTGGGATGGCAGGAGAGTGTAAAGGAAGGTGCGATGGAGCGACTTGCCATGTAGATCCAGCTCTTGCCATCAAAACATTAAGAGGACACACAAAGGAAACATCAAATTACAATCACCTTTGAGAAGATCAAGGTACTCCTTCCCTCCTATTAAGATGCCGCCCCTCACAAGAAAGAGAGCGTCTGTCGGTGAGTTGATAGTACCATGCTCACTCGCCTCTTGCAAAACACTGACAGAAACAACAAGCAGGCAGTGATGTTGAAACGTCACAACCACCCCCGAAGAGACGACAGCCTGCCAAGAGAGCAGCCAAGGGTAGCGGGGCCAAGCGGCAAAGCCAGGATGCCTTCGGATATGCGAGCAGGTATGCTACAGACAAGAAGACATCTGGAAATACCAGGCTGACGCCATCCCACAGAATATTCTTCCAAGATTCCCAATCGTCCATCAGGAAATACCGTGTCGACGCCGATGGGGTAAAGGACCAGATCCACGATGCCTTCGATGTCTTTGTCAAGTCTATCCGGGAGGACAAAGAGTAGGCACTACACAGACACATACACACACATTACCTCCTATGCTATAAGCCACTGACAGCCCTTACTAAAGAACGCCCATAGCAAACATCATGGCCTCTATACGCAGCCACCTCCCACCTCCCACCGACACCAACGTCACGGCAGAAGCGGCATCAGCCGTACTGACACAGCTCCTCACCCGTACGGAAGAGTATAGACTCCTGGCGACACAGACTACGGGCGTCGAAAGACCGGCGTGGATGCTCTGGACGCAGGACCAGCGGCACTTGTCCAGGCTGAACAGGCATGCTGTTGCTACGGCGGCCAGTACCATCAATGACATCGTACTGCCTAATGCTCCTGCTACTGCTTCCCACATACCCCCCACAGATGCGGTTCAGCGGGTTGCGTGGGACTTGTACGAGGGTGTTAGGCCCGGGAGAGACGACGTGACATGGGGGAGGATGGCAAGGGATCTTGTCGCTTGTTTTGCAGGGCTTCTGGGGGAGGAGTGTAAGTGAGTAGAATGGTAATGGGCCAGTCCGTATTTGTAGTTGCTTAATGTCGTGTTCTTGATTTTTTATTTATTTTTTCCCCACGCAAAGTACTCAGGTACGTACCTATGATGACTCATCCTTCACCCAGGGCTGAGGGGAACTTGCTTCCATGCCGCTAAACCGAATATGGTTCTAGTCGCCCACAAATGCCCTTTTTTTCATTCCTCACAGCAAATTCCACCCAACCCCGAAATTTGTGCCCTCTTGGTCTTTTTTCTTCACTCTCTGTCTTGATCGAAACCTCCTCCCCCTCAACTAACCCCCCAGGTCGAATTATCCCAAACCGGTACGTCGAAATCTTATACCCTCCACCTAAATTCTCTTTCTTCTCTTGTTTGAAGGATTCGTATATATATATACATATACATCTTGATTGAACTGCCCTTACTGACCAGGTACACAGTCAAGATGGGTGCCCTTAAGTACGTCGAGGAGCTCTCCAAGAAGAAGCAGTCGGATGTCATGCAGTTTCTGCTGCGCGTCCGCTGCTGGGAGGTACGTTATCAAGAACAAGCCATTCCGAATTTCACCGGGCAAATTCAGCGAATTGCAATTGTCGAATGAGGATGGGAATACGCACTTTCTCTCGAGACAAATGCCCGGACTGTGGATGCCCGCTGGTTGTCACAAAAAAAGGAACACACACAGAATACTAACTCCCACAAAGTTCCGTCAACTCAACGTGATCCACCGTGCTTCGCGCCCCTCTCGCCCCGACAAGGCCCGCCGTCTCGGCTACAAGGCCAAGCAGGGCTATGTCATCTACCGCGTGCGTGTTCGCCGTGGTGGACGCAAGAGGCCCGCCCCCAAGGGTGCCACTTACGGTATGTTTTTCTTTTTCCTCTCCTCTAGCATAGACAAATCATCAGGGACGAAAATGCTAACGAAGATTTGTGCGTACAGGTAAGCCCACCAACATGGGTATCAACCAGCTCAAGTACCAGCGCTCCCTCAAGGCTACGGCTGAGGAGCGTGTCGGCCGCCGCTGCGCCAACCTCCGCGTCCTCAACTCGTACTGGATCAACCAGGACTCGACCTACAAGTACTACGAGGTCATCCTCGTCGACCCCAACCACAAGGCCATCCGCATCGACCCCCGCATCAACTGGATCGTCAACCCTGTCCACAAGCACCGCGAGTCCCGCGGCCTCACCGCCACCGGCAAGAAGTCGCGCGGTCTCAACAAGGGCCACCGCTACAACAACACCAAGGCCGGCCGCAGAAAGACTTGGAAGCGCAACAACACCACCTCCCTGTGGCGTTACCGATAAGCTCGTCGCCCATCTCTTCGGTGGCCGCGACGGCGACGTGTCGCTTAGCATATTTACTCGGGGCGAGAGAATCCGGTTCGGTTTTCGGTCTTTGTCTTTTTCTTTTGGTCATGACAGCAAAAATCAAAACGTGGGAGATGTGTTGAGGATGAAATCAAGAAAGAATAAAAAAATGAAACAACAAAACATTCATTTTGCTTGTGAGCAGGTGATGGTTATGGGCTGGACGTGCCTGATTCTTCTCATACTTTCCTATTCCCCATCATATGAAGTAGCACACGGATATGGGGAAATGATGATAATTTTCACCCCTGCTTCACTCTGTTTCACGTCGATGCGCACCGTTCATTGCGTCTGTATATCCGGAACGTGTTCATGAAAGTACTCCCTGTAGAGTATCCAATTTATGATTATAGTGCATATATTGACTGTAGGCTTCGCACCTAACTACTAGTTGATACCATCACGGTTTATTATCAGCCGTCCTAACTCCTGCACCCCCACCACCACCAAGCGTTTAGTTTGTTACGCACATGGTTTTCTTGAATCTTCATCTTCACCGTAACCATCACTGGCAAAAAGTAGCGCTATTAATCAATTATCCCCGTGTCTAGAAAACCATCGTACAACAGAGAAAAGATTTCTTCTCAATATCAAGACGTGGGGAAACTAAAGAGAGAAACTAGACAACAAGTAAAGAAAAAGTAAGAAAAAAAGAACAGAAGAGGTTTAGAAAAAAGGTCTGGGAAAGGGAAGATGGTGTATATACATCAAACCACTGCACATGGCACATTGCACATTGCAATCCCATTCGCATCATCATCCATCAGTAGCATACCCTTTTTCCACCTTTCCTTGCGCGTCTGTACCCAAATGTACAGCTGCCGACCTCGAAAATCAGACCCAATTCAGCCTTCCCTCATTCAGAGCATCGCGATAACTCATGGCAGATAACTGTCGTCATGCGTCTCATCAGAAGCAAACTATAAGACAAAACCTCCTCCGCTAAAGTTGAAAAAACGAAAACTCGGGAAAATAAAGTAAGAAAAGAAGAGAGAGAAGAAATATAACATATCGAGAAAAAAAAACATACCGAAAAAAAAATAAGGAAATGAGTGATAGAAGAGCTTGGGGGATATTATCTATGGCAGATGCGGTGCATGACGGATTCGAAATACAGATACATAGTGGCGTTGCTACTCTTCAAGAAAATCCCCTTTGCAGGTGAACGATACCAGTGCTGACTGCTTCATAGTTGCAAGTTGGTATCACCTATGAAGGAATTCGGCAGAGTCTGGTTGAATGGGGCTAACGAGTTGAGGGAAAATGAAACGCCTTTTTTCATCTTCTTCCTCAACTCCTTTCCCTCGAATAGTATACACGCAGAGCAGCCATGCATGCAGGAAAAAGGGGCATGGCAGATGCGAGGTAGGAGGAATGCAGTGTCGGCCGGGTGAGAAAAGGGGGGAAAATCAGGGCTTCCTGAAGATCTCGATAGGGTGTTGTTGTGTATATGGTCTTCTTTTTTTTGTTGATATTTAGACAATACAGCGAAGAAAATTCGTCAGATGGTCGTGGGATTTGTCGTTACCGTGCTGCGTAAAAAGTTCTGGTGGGGGAGAGCCGCCAAAAAGAAGAGGACAGATCGAAAAGCAGAAGCGTCGCAAGTAGAGTACAGTACAAGCAGTTCGGCCGGTAACGACTGGCAGCAAACGAGTGTTGCTTTGCTGTGAGTAGTTTTACATCCAGGGGGATCCGGTACCCTGGGAGGGTTGGCTGGCCGAAGGGGCAGTCCCATTCACGTTGTTCTGGGCACCCGGGTTGAAGGGAGCCGGAACCGGTGCGGTACCAGGGGCCGTTGAGGTAGCTGCGGGCGCAACTCCACCGTTTTGGTAGGGCTTCATGGCCGGGTCCAAACCCTGGCCGTTGGAAACGGCATTGCTACTCGTAGAGAGGCCGCGAGAGTGACCGCCCGAAGGGCGGAGAGGCACCTGTCCCTGGCTGTTGTCGGCGGGGGTTGCCTGTCCAGAGGACGCCACGCTTCCGCGGCCGTCGAAGCTGGTAATCTTGGCCTGGATCCTGCGTCCGTAGGGCGTGTTGCGGATCGATGGCAGAATGGGGCGGATGGACTCGACAAGACGGTTCTTCTGTTGGGGAGTAGCGTAGTCAAGAGCGGTCTGGACGACGTAGTTTGCATACGAGTCACGGATGAGACGCTCCATCTCCTGCTGGTCGAGCATCTCTTCGACAATCATATCCTTGGACAGGGCTTCGGAGCAGCGCAGGCACTTCTCAATGACATTGGAGCTGAATTTGTGGCGGGAGAGCTGGCTGATGCAGCCCTGGAACATGGCCACGATGGGCTCCGTAAAGGTTGGCTGGTTCAGGTCGATAATGTATTGGACGACGTAGTTGCCGAAAGGGTCCTGCACGAGAACGCGCGAGTGGTCCGTGATACGCTGGATGAGCCAGAGCTTCTGCTCGCCCGAGGCGTGGTCGATGCAGCGCTGAAGAACACAGCAACCGTGACGGTGGGTGCCAACCTCGACGCAGTTGTTGCCGACGGCATCGAAGATGAACTGAGAGTCGGGAGGCGATAACTTATTAAGGCACTTCTGGATGACGTGATTTCCGTTGAGATCCTGGATGAGCTCGACGACGCGGAAACGGAGGGCCTCGATTATCAGGTGAACCTGCTGAGGAGTACTGACGTACTCAATCATCTTCTGCAAAGCACGGGTGCCGTGCGTGTTGAGTGCGATCCGGACCATGTCCTGGGACGCGTTCTGGATCAGGACGGTCCTCTCGTCGTCGCTGCAGAACTCCAGAAGCTTCTGGCACAGATAATTACCAAAAGGATCCGTCATCAGCTCGATGACATGCTGGTTCGTCTCCAGCCAGATAAGATGGACATGCTCAGGGTCACGCTCCTCCAGCTTCTTCTGGAGATAACGGCAGCCATGCTGGTCCTTGCAGAGATCGTAGATCTGACCGCGGAACGATTCAATAGGCATGTTCTGGTAGCGAGACATGGCTATCGAGGGATGGTCAGTTAGTAACCAAGCATTGGACGGAAGGGAATCTTGCAAAGTAACCTACCTTCATTGTCCATCTGGCGACGGTTCTGGATGACGCGCGCCTGGCTGTCACGGTTCTGGCTACCCTGGTTGTAGGGTCCAGGCGGGGTGTAGTTCGGCGTGAAGTTCTGTCCATTATAGCCAGCGGTACTATTGGCAGCACCGTTGACATTCATCTGCTGGACGCCGGCAGTGAGCATGTTTATGCCGTAGGGGCTCTGAGCTCCGTTGCCATTGGCCGGTTGGGGGTAGCCGTTGGGAGGAGGGTAAAAGCTGTTGAAGGCGTTGACCGGAGTCTGGTTTGTGGGCGAGGGGATCTGGCCAGCCATGACAGGCACGTTAGCCATGGAGGAGGACGTGGCAGCGGAGGGACCGAAGGGCGCGGCGTTAGCGTGCAGGGCAGACTGGATAGACTGGAAGGGCTGCTGCTGCTCGCGATTGCCGTTGGTGCCGTGGTCACCAGAGAGCTCTCGGCTGTGACCGCGAGTGGGGACAGCGCCAGCCGGGATCCTACCCATGCTAGCATTGTGGTTATGGAAGTGCTGCTGAGCATGGGTAATGGCGTTGGGACCGCTGCCGAGAGGTGCAGTGCCAGTGGGGTTCCTGATCGTGGGCACGTCGTTAGAAGAAAATGAGCTCGGGAGCCTGGGGGGGGACGCCATGATGTTGTTTCCCTGGACGGGACCGTCGTTGACCATGGTGTCCGGTGCGTTCTCAGAGATGTACGAGAGGTCGAGCGACTGGCGAAGAGAGGCGGGTCGGTGGCTTAGGGCGCCAACGTCAATGCCGACGTTTGAAGAGGGTCCGTTCAGACCGGACAGGCTCTGCTGGGTTCGGTGACGGTTAATGTGACTGCTCCAGTGGCTAGAGTGTGACTCGGGTCCGGGAGAAGATGAAGAAGCAAGGTCGAGGGCAGCCGATGATGCAGACAGCTAAAGGAGGTGTAGAACGTCAGAGATGTAATAAGATGGTGACGAGGAAAGAGGCATATGCAACAACAAGGTGCCCAGCTAAGTGCCAAAGTGAAGTGAGAGGGAAGGGTGCATTGAGAAGGAGGAAGTGAGAAGAAAAACACAACGCGAATAGAGCATCGGTCAAGGGATGAGTGCCAAACGCGATGCAAAGCTGACAGGCCGTCGCCAGCCGTCAGGAGCTCTGCCAGCTGCTAGCTTCACACAACCCCCCCCCCCCCTCTTGCCTAGTGGGAATAGGGCACCTCGCTCCTCACACACACGCAAACGATGTAAAAGATGAAGTAGATAAAGAGAACCTGAAACCGAGAGTTGACAAGATAATTATGCTAACTTACCATCTGGTCGTCACGAAGAACGAGGGTGGGGAAACGCTCGTCAGCTGCAGGAATGGGAGGCACGTAGCCTGACTCGTCGTCTCCAAAGAGGAAGCGCGTCACATTGGTGCCGTCGAGGCCAGACTCGTGAATGCCGTTCTTGGATCGAGATCCCGGCATAGAGTAGCGGTGACTATAAGGGTACAGGTCCATGATTATTAGTATTGCTCAAGTCAGGAAAGGTCGATGCGATGCGAGAGGTAGGAGATGGAAAGAAGACATCTACCCATACGCCTAGGATGATGGACGGAGGCCCCAGAAGAGGGCTGCCGGGAAACCGGGAAGAAGGGAAGGGGTCAATGATTCAATGTAAGTGAGGCAAAGGGAAAGGTCGAAGGCAGGATTCGGCGAACAATGGAGAGGTTCACATTGTTCAACCGCTTTTGTGTAACGCAAGCCATACTTCCGGTGCTAGTTTGCTCACGAAATAGGCGCCCGCAAGAGCACCCTCTAACACGGAAAGCCAGAAGAAGCTGACCACTTGGTCAGACAGCCCGCCACAATATTGCTCTGGGTACAGAATCGACACCACAGATGGTAAGACTGCAAGGCAAACATCATATCCGCCTCGTGGCAGACAGCAGTGAATAAGACGAAGAGGGGTATGCGGGCGCGAGGCAAACGACAAAAACTGGCAAGATATATGTCAAAACTCACCTATGAGTTGACCTATGGTGACCGACAGGCTCAGTGCGGAAAGATTCGTCCTTATCCTCGTCGTCACTGTTACGGCGCGTGAGCGGAACAGAGCGCGAAGGCAGGACGTCATCCCAGCCATAGCGGCCCTGGCCGACACCGGAGGGTGGGGATATAAGCTGGGAGCCGGATCTGGCAGGGCGGTTCTGGAATCCGGGGGGCGAGGCCAGGCTAGACATGGAGTAGCGGCTGGGTCTCGAGAAGATGGAGGGGAAGCCAGAGTTGTGGTGCTCCGGGGGGGTAGTGGGCTCGGACTGGTGACCGTGGATGCGTACATCCTCCTCCATCTGAGCCAACTCGCGAGCCTCACGGCGGAAGTCCTGGTCGAGCTTCTGCATCTCGAGCTCGAAGCGACGACGCTGCTCGCGGATCCTCTCATATTCGAGTTTCTTCTTCTCAATCTGCGCCAGAAGTATCAGCGTCGGGGTTCTACCCTTCCTTTTTTGTTCCCACCATTCTCAAGCCTCCAGCATCAGCAGCACAATAGGAAGATAGCGATGCGGTTCAACACTGTCTAGGTGCCTTCCTTGCATGACTTGATCGGGGTAGGGAAGAGGGGCTCTCGGAAATGACCAAGTCGTCGGCCAAGATGTGGGTATCCGGGGGGTGGGCAGGTGGGAACGAGACTGTCGGTCAAGGACACATACCAGATGCACCTTGTGATAGGCCTGTCATGTCCGCAAGGTTAGCGACGCGCAAATTGTACAAGAACCACGGCCAACCGTGAACACAACACAGACGACGGTATATCGATGATCTCTGTCCTCTCGGGCACACCAGTCAACGTGGACATGGCATTACCAGTAGCACCACTAGGCTTGTCGGCAAGCCACGAAGCCGAGAAGAACAGCAGCACGACAAACGACAGGCGGAGATAGAAGAAGCACACTCACGTTGTTGTACTCGTGGGCAGGGTCGGGGCCGCGCGGGGGCGGAGATATCAGGGAAGCCGTGGACAGCGTGGGGATACGCCCAGAGTCGGTGGTGAAGCGCCTGGGCAGGTTGGATCGCGAGTCGGCAGTGTTGGAGGGCGCAGCAGAAGCATGCTGAGGGAAATGCTGCTGCTGCTGGGGCGTGGGTGGTTGAGGCATGCGCGAGCCATTGCGGGGAGGGGTGACCAAAGACATGGTGGTAGGGTTGTTGGACTCGTCGCGAGGCGAACGCTGCGATCGAAAGCGCAGGTCGTCCATGACGGAGGAAGGAGGGTTGTGCGTAGGTGTTGTCCTTCTCAGCACAGGATTATCCAAATACAGCAAAGCCTATAAACTCGTACTCGTACACACACAACTCTCTTTGGCAGGGCCAATCGAACGACGAGAGGCGCACACACCACACAACAAGGGTGGGAGACGCAAGAGGGAGGGAGGGAGGGAGAGAGCTCGGAGAGCACAAAAAGCACAAACAAGGGTACGGGTACAAGAGGAGGGAAAAAAGAGGGCTGGGGTCAGCTTCAGCCTGTTGCCGGATGCATGGAGCAGCGGCCTTCTTCTGAGCAGGGGTGTCAGGGACGACAGCTTTCTCCAGCAAATGCACCACACCCAGATACAAGGGTGGAAAGACGGGAGAGAGAGAGTCGAAGGGGGCAGGAGGGGTGGGAGGCTCGTAAAGACGGAGAAGGTCCGTTTTGAGGATATATATCTGTACAGAAAACGAACAAAGGGAACGTAAGAAAGAAGGTGGGAAAAAAAGAAGGAGGAGGAGGGGGAGGGGGAAGAGAGAGAGACGACAAACTACCACGGACTCGTCGATGAGGGCTCCAGGGAGGGCGGGGTGGCGGTGGTGGTGGTGCTTCGGCGGCGGTCTGCAGGTAGAAAGAAAGAGGGCACGACGAAAAAAAGAGGATGGGGTGGGAATCTAGGCGTGAGGCCGGACGTCGATTGGGTGAGGGTGGGACGAAAGATGGAGGGCCGGGGACTAGGGACTCGTCTCCAGGGAGGTCTACGGGTTGGGGGGAGCAGGCTTAGGAGGTTTTTAGTGTGTCTTTCAGGGGGTGTTGAAGGGCGAGCCGGCGAGGAGAATACTCCATAGGTAACACTACTACTGTACGTAGGTGATACTTGTACTGAAGTCCTGTACTGGTGAGGTCTTGCATTGAAGTCCCCGTACTGGGACGTCCAGTAGGCCTTGTGGCCCGTGAGCTCCAGCCTCCTCGTCTAAATGCCAAATGGATGATTCTCCGTAGCAGCGGGATCGATGGGGCCCAGCGTCAAACAGATGATGGGTGGTGGAATTGACACCCCTGAACCAGTCGATTTCTGGCAACTACAGCGCACCTGCTCCGAGGCTCTTGACAAATACGGATTGGTGTCGTGGTGTAGGTGCCTCATGAGTAGCATCCGTACGTACTCAACATTAGCTCCGCACATACTCAGCATTAGGGTCCGTATTATTTACTGTGATGAGTGCCACCGTATGAGTCTGGTAGTGTTATTCCTTAGTTAGTAGTAGTGATACTAGTAGTGAGGGGGGTATTTCACTCAGTAGCCGCCGTCTACGAGTGTCCATATAGAACCTAGTAATACCAGAGCAGCTCAGTATTGCTCACCTCTCACCAGCGTGTTTCGGCAATGCAATCCCTGTTCTCGTGTGTAAAATGTCCGCTGCGAGCGGGGCCAGGAATTGCCTCAAGTACGTACTCTGCCGTGGAAAAAAACAACTCTACGAGTATGTACGGAGTATCTGAATACGTATTATGATGAACCCCGTTGAACCCCGTTGAACCCCGCGTAGGGTTCGTACAGAGTGAGGGACAAAAAAGAAAAGAAAAAAAAAACCCAGTGTGTTGATCGTTACGTCGTAAGAGCCCCCCACTTCCTTCTCTCTGTCCTCTGATCCCAAGAGGCAGGCGCCTAGGACGTAAGTTGCCCCTCCCTTATATTGCACCCCTGACAGTCCCCGCGAGGATGCAAGAAGAATGGTATGGAACGATTTCTAAGAGGCACGATTTGAAATAATAAGTGTCACGAGGCATAAGCGAGAGTAACGTCTCTCTCTGACTGCGGCTACTGCGACTAATACCTCTCTCCCTGATCTCTCTACGGCCGTCCCACTACGTAAGAGTCCCGGAGAGGGGTGTGGTTTAAATCTAATACACACGCTCGACAGTGCATATCAATACATCGAATCAGGTGGACAGCCCTCGAGACACGCATACAGCAATTGCCTCTCTCGTTTCCTTATATCGCCCCAATACATCATGGCTGGCACACATTTCCCAACAGCTGATATTATAACAAACCCTCTCAAAACATACACAACTGGAGCGGTGAATCGTCCAATATACTCGTAGAGGGCTTGATACTCGGTATTGCTGAATACAGCCGTACACGGAGAGGGGGCGTTCTCGGTAGGTTTCAAGTCTCAAGGGGTGTTGGGCTCCATGGCCCACTCTCTGCAGTAGTGCCCGAGCCAGGTACTATTAAGTAGTTGAATATTATTTCTAGCAGCAGGGAGTAGTCTGGTCTCTGAATAATAAAATCACGGTACGGAGTAGTGATAGTAGTAATACTATTCTATTCCTCTCTGCTCAACAACATCAACAGCTTTTCCTCTCCTCATTGCTCGGATTTTTTGTTTCCAGTACTCATACGACAAGCCCCGCGCTGCTGCTTGCTTACTTAATTGCTTGCTTGCCTGCTAACGCACTCGTACAACTATGCTTACGTATACAAGATATTACTGAAAATTGGCATCTTTCATGGTCTAGGTCGGGTTTTCGTTGAGTCATCACGAGGCCCTACAGTATTGATTACTAGCTTGATTATCATTAATTCTTCTCCTGCGCCATCCTTTCACTATTACGGCGTAAACGTAGACTCGTATTATGTAGCAATAATGCATCGTAATACTAGACCACTACTAGGCAATAATGCCTACTAGTAGTAAACGGATCGATGCTGGTAAAGCCTCTCTCTCGCTCTCTCTCTCGCTCTCTCTCTCCCCCAGCCACCCCCAACATGAACGCTTCAATGTGGGAACCCGTAATACCATGTACATGCATCACGAAAGAGTCAAAAAGCAAAGCCACTTTTTGATGCGCATGGAAAGCCCTAGTGGTTTACGCACACACGCACACAAGAACCACAGGCGAATAAAGAAGAAAAGAAAACTCCACGATATAATAATATTTGGCCATAATACGTACGCGGTTATTACTGCCAACGCAAAAGCAGCAAGAAGCGGTGAAGAACATTTTCCCCGCTTGCTAAGTCGACGGCGCTGGGCATGTCCCCACACCACATGCAGATTGCCCCTCCAAATCATCATTCCACCAGGTTGCCAGGGTCCAGAGCCTTTCTTCTTCTCCAAATTTTCTCTCTTTTCTAATAGTGGCGTTGCCCCTACGGCTGCTACACCACATATACATATGTACATAATATATCGCCAAGCTCGTTCGATGTCACCAGGCTGTTGACGGGGCAAACCTCCGGCTAACTCTACGAGGCTCTACGCTACGTCACGTCTGCGAATTGCCAGTTAGAAGAGTAGAGGTGGCTACGAACAGAACACGAGTAATATCCGCAGCCGCAGGAGTTATTATTTCCCACCCAAGTTGATCATCTACTATACTAGTAGTGGTATTATCCCTACTGCTAAGAGACGGGTGCGTACTACTACTACTATCACTACTCCGTAGGTACTGCTACTAACACGATACCCAACTAACCTTCGCATCACCTCTATGCAGATACACACGGCAGAGCATGCATACAGGTAAGAGCTACCCGTCTGTTCGGGACCAATCGGCATCGGCCTCGTCACCTGCGTAGAAGCATCACTATGTAGCATCCAAGATTTGATTTATGATTTCACCTGTGCCGCTCGATATGTACTGCGTCAACTGTGTACTCGTGATTTGTTGGGATAGTACTAGTGATGCTGCTTGTATACCGCTATTCATCGCACTGCCTTACTCATCATAGATTGGAGTACTCGTGGTAATAATATTATCTGTGCTTCGACCGCCCATGGTACCATGCCACGTGAATGACGCCATCACTGGGGTACCTCGCCATTGATAGAACAACATGCATCCGTGATAGAGAGTGGAATGGCAAGGCAAGAAAACATGATAGACATTCATGTGGGGTAGGACATGTACGAGTAAGTCAGAGATCGCGGAAGATTTAGAGCTATAGGGTAAGTATGGTGTCTTATTCCCCCCCCCCCCCCCCCCCCCTTGGTCGTCCCCCACCGTTGTACTGACACTCTGCCACTCACACTTGAAGCTGTCCATCCAAATTCATTCATTGCACATGTAATAATACCGGACCGAGCGCCCCACTTCACGTTCGCGGGGCATTTTGAACTTTTTCCAAACCGCCAACGCCATTTGACGTATTCCTTCTCTTGATCGCTTCCGGCTGCCACGACGTGCGTGAACCACTCAACCATCTAAGCGGAAGCCAGACACAGCCTTTGCATACGCTGCCATCGGGATTTCAATTACATGCCCATGCGTTTCTACCGGTGACAACGCGCGCAAGATGCCGGTGGTGGACGACGGCTTTGAGGCCCTTCTCGAGCCCTTTTACAATGGCAAGAAATTGACCGATCCTATATCGACAAAGGAGGACAAGTTTCAACTTCTGCCTGCCTTTCTCAAGGTCAAGGGTGAGTCCATGCCTCCGTTCTTTAGGGGGTACCCTCCCCTTACTGCAGTGCGTGAGCTGACCACCATCACCAACCTCAACAGGTCTAGTCAAACAGTACGCCGAGATACATGAACCCCTTCACGACGTCAACCCTTTTCTTCTCTTTAGCGACTCTTACTGACGAACTGCACAGACACATTGATTCGTACAATTTCTTTGTCGAGCAAGAGATCAAAGAGATTGTGCGCGCAAACCGTACCATCCGAAGCGATGTCGACAGCAACTTCTGGCTGGAGTCAGTTTTGTTTCCCTTTTCTGCTGCTCTTCCTACCCTCCCATGACTCTGACCAGGCCCCTGACCTCCTAAAGATTTACCGACATCCGCGTCGACCGACCCCGGCGACAAGACTTCAGCGATGCCAAGACGCAGAACGAGGTGACCCCCATGGAGTGCCGTCTGCGAGACATGACATACGCCGCCCCGATCCTGGTCGACATCGTCTACATCCGTGACAAGCAAAAGATCATGAGACGCAATGTTCCGCTGGGCCGCATGCCCGTCATGCTGCGGAGCTCCAAGTGCCGGCTCAGTGGTGCCAACAACACGCTGATGGAGAAGATGAACGAGTGCCCGCTGGACCCGGGAGGCTACTTCATCATCAACGGCACGGAAAAGGTGATCCTGATCCAGGAGCAGCTGAGCAAGAACCGTATCATTGTTGAGGCCGACGAGAAGAACAACGTCATCTCGGCCTCCGTCACCAGTTCGACCCATGAGCGCAAGTCTAAGACCTACGTCACCCTCAAGAAGGACAGGATTCTCATGACTCACAACGTCCTGGTCGAGGGCATCCCTATTGTTGTCGTGCTCAAGGCGCTGGGTGGGCTGTCCGACTATGAGATCATGCAGCTCGTTGCCGGCTCCGACGGCCGCTACCAGGACGAGTTCCTCATCAACTTTGATGAGGCCACAAAGGTCGGTGTCTTCACCCAGCACCAGGCCCTCGAGTACATTGGCGCCAGGGTCAAGATGGGATCTAGGAGGGCCCAGTTCACCCCCCAGGCCCGCAGGAACAACGTCGAGGAGGGACTCGACGCCCTGGCCAATCTTGTCATCGCCCACGTGCCCATCGAGGGGCTCGACTTCTACCCCAAGGCCATCTACGTCGCCATGATGACGCGGAGGCTTCTCATCGCCGCCCACGACCCCAAGCTCGTCGACGACAGGGACTTTGTTGGAAACAAGCGTCTCGAGCTTGCCGGGCAGCTGCTCTCCCTGCTCTTTGAAGATCTCTTCAAGCGCTTCACCAGTGAGGTCAAGATGTCGATCGACAAGTTCCTCAAGAAGAACAACCGCGCCGTGCCCCTCGACGCCGTTCACATGATCAGTAACCACGCCAACAACATCGGTATGGGAATCAACCGCGCCATCCAGACGGGCAACTGGAACGTGAAGCGCTTCAACATGAACCGCGCCGGAGTGACGCACGTCCTCAGCCGCCTCAGCTACATCAGCGCCCTGGGCATGATGACGCGCATCAGCAGTCAGTTTGAGAAGACACGAAAGGTCAGTGGACCCAGAGCTCTGCAGCCGTCCCAGTGGGGTATGCTGTGCCCCTCGGATACACCCGAAGGCGAGGCCTGCGGCCTGGTCAAGAACTTGGCCTTGATGACACACATCACAACAAACGTCGACGAGGAGCCTGTCAAGCGGTGGATCTTTTCGTTGGACCCGGGCGTCGAGCCGGTCCGCAACCTGTCGGGCGCTGAGATGCACCGCGAGGGAAGCTTCATCATCCACGTAAACGGCACGCCGTTTGCCCTGACGCGGTACCCCAAGCGGTTCGCTCACCGGTTCCGCACCATGCGGCGCAGGGGCTGGATATCGCCGTTTGTGGGCATCAGCATCAACACGCATTTTAGTGCCGTGCACATCGCCACGGATGAGGGCCGCATCTGCCGACCGTATATCATCGTCAAGAACGGCAAACAGAAGTTGAAGCCCGAGCACTTGCGGCTTCTGCAGATGGGCAAGGCGACATTCGATGACTTCCTGACGCATGGCGTGGTCGAGTACCTCGATGTCAATGAAGAGAACGACGCGTTGGTGGCCATATACGAGGACCAAATTACTAAGAGCACGACGCATATGGAGATTGAACCCTTCACGATCCTGGGCGCCGTAGCGGGTCTGATTCCCTTCCCGCACCACAACCAGTCCCCGCGAAACACGTACCAGTGTGCAATGGGTAAGCAAGCCATCGGCGCCATTGCGTACAACCAGTTCAACCGCATAGACACGCTGCTGTACACTCTCGTGTACCCGCAGCGGCCAATGGTGATCAGTAAGACGATTCAGCTGGTCAACTACGACAAGCTACCGGCTGGACAGAATGCGACAGTGGTGGTCATGTCCTTCTCCGGGTACGATATCGAAGATGCACTGGTCCTCAACAAGGCGTCTATCGACCGCGGCTTCGGCCGCTGCCAGGTGTTCCGCAAGTACACGACGGAGCTGCAAAAGTACCCCAACGGGCGGCGCGAGCGCATTGGCGGCCCGCAGGATGAGATTGTCGACGACGTACGGCGCCGCATCGCCAAGCACGAGGCGCTCGACGACGATGGCCTGGCCACGGTAGGCTATCGCGTAAAGGCGGGCGAGGTCATGGTCAAGAAGGAGACGCCCGTCGACCAGACGAGCACGGGCATCGGGCTGGACCGCGGACCCAGCGAGTTCCGCGATTCGGCCGTGTCGTATCGCATCCCCGACCCGGCCTACATTGACAAGGTCATGATCTCGCAGACGGAGAAGGACTCGACCGTGATCAAGGTGCAGACGCGACAGACGCGTCGGCCCGAGCTAGGAGACAAATTCTCGTCGCGCCACGGACAGAAGGGTGTGGTGGGAATCATCGTCGAACAGGAGGACATGCCGTTTGCTGACAACGGCGTGACGCCTGACATTATCATGAACCCGCACGGCTTCCCCTCACGAATGACGGTGGGCAAGCTGCTCGAGTGTCTGACGGGCAAGGCATCGGTCATATCGGGCAACAAGGACTACGGCTTCGGTGACGCCTTCCGCTCCCACCCGGTCGACGAGGTCAGCAAGGTCCTGCTGGATAATGGCTTCTCCTGGGAAGGGAAGGACTACTTCACCTCTGGCATCACGGGCGAGCCGCTCGAGGCTTACGTCTTCAACGGTCCCATCTACTACCAGCGTCTCAAGCACATGGTCCAGGATAAGATGCACTCCCGCTCCCGCGGCCCCCGCGCTATCCTCACCCGTCAGCCTACCGAGGGTCGCTCGCGCGACGGTGGTCTGCGTCTCGGAGAGATGGAGCGTGACTGTCTGATCGCCTACGGCGCGTCCCAGCTCCTTCTCGAACGTCTTATGATCAGCTCCGATGGCACGCAAATCGACATCTGTCAGCAGTGCGGCCTGTTTGGGTACAAGGGATACTGCAACTCGTGCCAGAGCACGCGGGAGGTGACCAAGATGACCATGCCATATGCTGCCAAGTTGCTTGTGCAGGAGCTTATCAGTATGAATGTCGGGGTGAGGCTGCAGCTGGAGGACGAGTTCCCGCACCCGAAGTAAGTTGAGGGAGAGGAAGACAACAAAAGAAATCATTTCGGCGTCGGCTACATATATCTATCAGTATCTTAGGTTTTTTTGTTTGTTTTTCATATATCAGATCAGGTGGCATGAGAGAAAAAGAATAGAATACCTGTACAACAACCTTGACATTTATTTCATTCTATTCAAAAACCGTAGACGTCGTTTTAGTCATATCGTATCATGTCATGTGTCTGTCACTACTTGACAGCCCTGAGACCAGAAGGCGTAATGTCGAATCTGACAGCCCCATCCGTTCCTTTGCCGGAAGCCCTCGTATGCGGAGCGAAAACGACCTTCATCCATCGTTTCCAAGTCCTCAGTGTAGGCGCCGCCGCTTCTGCAGCATGGCTGCAACCGTCATTGTCGTCGCCGCCGCCGCCGTCGTCGTCACCAGTCGTAACACGAGGAGCTATACGTCTCGGCTGGCCGTAAACAGGCGACTTGAACAAGGCAACACGGCAGGCGATCTGCGTGGTCCACACGAGCCCCAGACTGGGATTCTTGGGCGGCAGACCGTCGGTCGGATCATCTCCCCACCCAGTGAACCACCTCTGCTGATGGTCGAGGGCGAGGACGGGCGGCGGGGGAGGGTCCTCGGCGGGAGGCATGAAGAAAGGCGTGGCATCCATACCCATGCTGCTGCTAATGCTGCTGCTCGGCATCCTGGTACCCCGCGAGGCCAGGGGCGTCTCCTGCGTAGCGTAGGGGTAGGACGCGGGACGAGGAAGGAAAGAGGATGGGTACGGGGACGAGAAGCGATCGGACACCTGGTTCGCCACCACGACGGCCAGGTTGTGACGACGGGCCAGGTCGCGAAGGAGGGCGCCCAGACGGACGAGGTCGGCGCTGCGGGCGGCCATGTTGGAGCCGCGCGACGGTGCCGGTTGGGCCTCCTGACCGTCGTGCCGCTCGAACTCGGCGCGGTAATTGGCCGCGACGGAGTCGATGACCACGAGCCCTACGTCGTGACGGTCTATCAGCACGGGGAGCTGGTACTGCAGTATGTGATCCTGGGACTCGAGGTCTGCGAGGACGGTGCAGCGGATATTGTCCGACGAGGGGCGGCCGTCCTGGTGAGGAGAAGAAGAGGCGGCCACCAGCGTCGGGTTGGTCCTCAGCATCTGCACCAGCCGCGTCGTGGGGAGTCCGGACTCGGTGGAAATGTACAGCGCCGAGCGGGACAGGCCGTGCGGGCTGGGGAGCTGGACGGCCAGCGACAGCGATAGGAGGAATTGGGTCTTTCCCACACCGCTCTCGCCGACGAATTCGGTAATCCGACCTGTCGGGACGCCTCCGCCCAGAGCGGCGTCCAGATCAGGGTCCAGCGTGCTGATCAATGATGACGGTGGCCTTAATGATGGTGCGATGGTGGAAAGAGGAGGAGGAGGAGGAGGAACAGGAGGAGAAGTGAGCTTCTTTGGAGGACCGACGTCATCGGAAAGACATGCTTGTATGGCGGCGACGAGACGCTTCAGGTCGAGAATGGGCAGTCGGGTCTGCTTGGCTATGTCGCCCGGGTGCAAGGTGAGCAGGTCGGCGGTGGTGAGGGAGTGGTTCTCGATCGTGGGGAGAAGGCCAGAGAAGTTGCCGGTTGGGAAGGACGGTAGGATTCGGACGAGGTCGGCCATCGGGTGTGTTTCCAGTTCCAGAGCGGAAGGAGGTCAAAGCTGAGAAGTGAGGTTATCGCGTCGTCGCCATTGCTGCGCGTGCTCCGAGAAGAAGAAAAAGAACAAGTGGGTTTATCGGTGAATATGGAAGTGGTGGAGCGACCCCGGAGCCTGGGCGGAGGATGGTATCATGTGCAACGCAATGCGATGCAGAATGATCGTACGTTGCTGTCAAGAGTAGTAAGTAATGTTGAGTCCATCTGTACGGTAATAGTCCATGCGACGTGGTGAAGCTGCGCGTCTGTGAAGCGCGTAGAGAGCTGGGCAGAGGAGCGCGTGCAGATGGGCAATTACGTCGCTGGTACGGAGTACACCGTAAGGTTAAGTAGAGTTTCAGACGTGATAGTGGAATCCGTTTAATACGGTATACGTAATACCGTTTAGGTGCCAAGGTTCAAGTTGTGTGTCTCGTAGCATCTTCACCTCTTTACCACCACCCGTGCTGCGAGCAAGTACAGGCACGTTGAGATGGGCCTGGGGAGCATGGAAGAGGGATTAAAGTATTCCTAGTATCACTCTGCAGATGGACCATGCGTTCATCGTCGGACTGCACGTTGCGTGTTCAATGATGGGTTTACTGACGCGGAGAACAGGGAAAAGTGAGAGTGCAGGAAGACCAACAAAAGAAGAGGGATTCTTCTACTTTCTTCTTTAGTAGCCGATGGGATCTGACGGTCCAATGGAGCGCTTACAATATGAATGCTGCCATTGAGATGAAAAGCTTGCATCTGCATCCGCGGTACAGCACTTACTTATGGTGGTGTCAGTATCGTTACGCGTCACGAAGAATGCCCCGGGTGCAAGATGCTCCCGCGTATACGGAGTATGATGTTAATGTACGAGTATTCGACGTCTCGTGCGCGTAACTTGCCCTGTAGGCACATCGACATCATCATCACTGGGCACCGCCGCGAGCCTGATTACGGAGAACGCATGTACTCGTATAATGTACAGATTCCATATCTGGGTTCCTAGACCCACTGCCAACTAGCTTGTAAGAAAGCAGAGACGGCCAGCCAACATGGTGAGAGCAAAGCGGGACAGCAGCAAAGACGACGGGGCTTCATACTAATAACTCTACAGAGCATTTGCCACGGAACATCAAACTGTTAACAAAGTAACTCTGCAAATACTACTCCTCCGCCCGCCGGGACCAGCCCCACAGACAACCTCGGAGTGGCTTGCAGGATCTGTAGAGCCTATCAAGATTACTCCGTATTATCCTCCTCATCGGACTAACTGGTCCGTTCTAGTGACGCCTACTCATAGTCAGACTGGTGATGGGGTTTTACCGGCCAACTGCCACTGACGATGCTCGAACGGAAACGAAGCAGCTGTAGCCAACAAACCCTGATTCTCACCACATCAACCTTGAACCCGACCGAGAAAAGGTAGCAAACAATGACCGGCTGTACAGGTCGAAACCCAGTACTGTGGCGAATATCCGTATAGCAGTGGGTGAACAGGGTTGACCCGCGCGTGGGGGTCAGGGTCTAGGGCAAAACCTGGAGCCAAGACCTCGAGCCCATCAGACGGCGTGAAAACTCCCCGACTCTGTGCACAAGTGCATAGTATTCGTAGATCCTTTCTTATCAACAACGCAACCTCCGTCCAAAATTCCGCCGTGGTTCCATAAATTCGCCTACATAGGGGGGGGGGGGTGAGCAAGAGAGAGAGAGATAGAGAGCGTAAGCATTCGATACTGTGGAACCCTACTTATACACTAGGGACTAGTAGTTGGTGTCATGTCCTTCTCGCTTCCTGTTAGCCAATGCTATTCTAGGATGACAGAGAGAACGACGAGAAAGAATATGACAAGTTCATCCTCGTTTCAATGCTCATCTACACTGGTGAGTATATACATGTATTACGTTCTAAACCATCATAGCTGGCTACATCCGATAACGCCGTTCAAGACTTGTAAGCTGTTCATTGTCCACCTTCTCTGGACGCTCTCTCCTCTCAAACCTCATGACGTCCACCTACATAGAGAGGACATCCACTCGTCAGACGCGGGATATCAGAAGAATCACTATTCCGGTATACATGAGAGATGCGGGGCCAGCAACAACAACGGCTTGGCCAAGACCCCGTGTGTGTGTATGTGAGTGACCGTTGATGACCAGCTACCTGCGGCTTCTCCCCTAGCGTAGGCTTACTCGGCAAAAGCAAGTTCTTGGCGCACGCTGGTTACGACGGATTGCCAATATGAACGCAGAGAATTGAATATAATTCCGAGTCCGGGTATACAGAATGGCGGAACCCTTCCACTCCAAGGGCCAAGGCTTACACCAACGGGGCGGCCGTCTGGATCCTGTCTGCCATTGTGTCTGGTCCGATTCTTTCAATGTAGGTGATGATAAAGGGAAAAAAAGAGGTTGGACTCTGGAGCCCCGGTTCGATGACCTAGTAACCGGGTTTTTTTTCCCCCCCCCCCCCCCCCCCCCCTTCTCATTGTTATTCTTATTAACCTGCGAGTATCCCAGCCTCTCTTCTACACCCGATTCCTGTCGTTGAATCTGCCCCCCCCCGCATGTATAGGACTTGTCACGATATATAGAGAGTTAGGTACTGTGTTTATATATACATGTGCAGGATAGAAAGGCCTGTTCATCCAGACACGAATGAAGACACTCATCCTCATGCTGGCCACCGCGGCCTCCCTGGCCGACGCAGCAGCACATATCCTCCCTCGTCAACCCATCGCCACAGCAGCTGCCGCGTACGCCTCCGACGGCTGGACGCCCAAGCCCACAGCCCCCCCGGCAGGCTTCAGCTTCGTCCCCGTCGACGGAAGCAGGAAGAAGCGTCAAGACTCGGACTCAGACTCGGACTCAGACTCAGACTCGGACTCAGATTCGGACTCAGACTCGGAGCTGACTACGGCCCTCATCGCCCCGGACAACGTATGCGGCTACGTCTCCGGCCGCCCGGGTGCGGCCTACTCGTGTGGAGTGGGATTCACCTGCGCCCTCATCACCGCCAGCTCCAGCTACAGCGGCTACGTAGCCTGCTTCGACTCGTCCAATTTTGGTGCCAGGCTCGACTGCATCGACTACGACTCCTATTACTCATCCAGCGCATGCCTTGACGGTTGTGATGTAGATGCCTTTACACTGAAGTGGTTTGTCTCTCTTTCCCACACTCTATCTCACATCCTCTTCTGGACCACTCTTTCTCTCTTTCTTTCCCTGCCTTTCCTTTTTTCCTTTCGTTTTCTTTTCCAAGAATACATAAACACTGACACGGATATGCAGCACGAACACCTTGATGCCATACTGCAACACAGTGTCCTTCTCCCCATCCATCTACGATTACTGGTGCAATAGTCAGGACGATAGCTTTGCCCGTTATGCCACAACAGCCTACTCCGGCCAAGACCGCACCTTCTCCGACATGGTCCTCAGCGATATCGAAGAGACCTCGTCCGTCACCGGCGCTGCCCCATCAGCCACCTCCACAGACAGCAGCGACAGCAGCGATGATGACGACGACAGCGACAGCGGCGGCAGCAGAAAGACCAAGAAGAAGAGTAGCACCCCCATCGCCCCCATCGTCGGCGGTGTGGTCGGCGGCGTCGGCGCGCTAGCCCTGGTAGGAATAGTCATATGGTTCATCATCCGCCGCCGCAGAAGGTCCAGGGCTAAGGACGCCGCCGCCGGCGCGGCCGGTGCGGCCGGTGGCGCCCTCGGGCCCAGCAACGGCCAGGGCGCCATCGCCTACCAGCCCGTCCAGCAGCAGGGTCCCCCTCCCGGCGTGGCGCCGCCTTACACGGGTCCTCACCAGAGTTACTACGCCGATCCCAAGTTCGCCGCCATGGCAACAACTCAGTCGTCGTACTTGTCTCCACCCATGCAGCAGCAGCAGCAGCAGGCACCTTCCGCAGCATTCTATAACACCACGGGCGGTCATCCTCCGCCTCCGGGAAATTCACCGTCGCCTCCTCCACCGCAGGGGTCACCGGACATGGCCTCGCCAATTGGTCAGAATACAGTGTCTAATACGAGTTCCGTGTACGGGGCTGGTGCTGTCGGGCTTGGTAGCCAGCAGCCGTCGCCGCCGCCGCCGCAGCAGCAGCAGCAGGGTGGGTTTGTCCATGAGGCCCCCGCCAAGCAGGAGGATACGCTGAGGGGGTTCCATGAGTTGGGTTGATGTGTGCCGTGTTATTTGATGTCGTACAGGTCTTGATGTGAGCTGAGATGAAAACCTGGGAGAGAGAAAAAGGAGGCAGGAGACGGAATTATGCACGGTATTGATATCGATGGGTTCTTAGTTCTGCGTGCATCCGGCGTTGATTTTCTTCTACACGTTTGATTATTTCTTGTCCTTTTCAACGTGATGGGGGTGTATGGCAATGCAAACCTTTTACATGTCTACTCTTATACGACTATTTCAAGATTTTGGGAACATAGTGTTGAATGAAAAAGGAAAGACAGAAGATACAGATTGTGTTACTAAGTACTCATACTATCGTCGACCATACTCACAAGACTCGAACCGAGAAAATATATACCAATTTACATGCGCTTCATTGCCATAAATCAAATGTGCCCACGACAAATGCACCTAGTAATCATTCAGATGCAGCTTCTTTCCAACATCGCGTCGTCTGGCCTGTACAACAGCCCTCTCAGATGGCTTGGTTTCACCATTGTCGTAGTTCTTGCCCCTAGCCTTGAGGGCTTGAAGAAGCATTCCTGCGTCAAAGAACCCGTCTGGATTTTGAAGTCAGCACATGGAAAAAGGGGGTAAAGAGGAGAGGCGGAGCTACTTACATCCACCCAATTCATCATCGTCCTCACTGAGCGTAACACTCTCTTCAGTAGGCGTCCTAGTTCCAAAACTATGCTGCCTGAATGGCCTCGTCGGATCCGCCGTGACCAGCCTACCCCTCGACTTGAGACGACTGCTGTTGGAAGCACGAGACGTGCCATTCTTCTTGACGATAGAGTTGGAATCCTCGGCCTCACGAGCGCGCGAAGTCTTGGCTTGCGACGCCTTGCGGTTGGTGATGCGCAGCATACGGCGGATCTCTAGGAGGTACGACTCCAGCGTGTCCAGGAACCGGCGTGTCTGGCGATGCTTGCTGGATACGCAGATGGAGATGCCCTCATCCTTGATGATATACCCGATGCCGAAACCGTCGCCGGAAGTGGGGCCGAACCCGAAATGCCTGAGGGCTGGGTTGCCGCAATTGGAGGTTGACAGGACAGTTGTGTTGAGGCGGTCCCACCCAGGGTCGGCGAACAGGAGGGGCAGCGGGGTGTTGTTGTCACGTCCGCGGGACGAGCGGGACGTGTTACTATCACCACGCTCACGGCCACTAGGATTAACTTCGATGCTGCTCATGGTTCCCTGAGCAGAGAGTGTGTCCCCGTTGTGATGGTCTCCGTTCTTTGAGGTGGCCCCGCTGGAGGAGATTCCATTAGAGGAGTTGCCGACGGGAGACGGGGCATCGCGCTCGGAGTCCCCATCAAGAGGACTGGACCAGCCGTTGCTACTGCGGCCACTCGCCGACGCCTCGTTGACATACTTCTGCCACACGCACAGGAGGGCGTACAGGTGTCGGTCGCAGCCCTGGCCTTTTGCACACTCCCTTGTGCTGTTGACATGCTTCTGGCACGCCTTGCGAAGGGCTTCCAGCTTCTTCTCGGCAGGGTGATCCGCCCAAAATGACTGAACGAAGTCGAGCGACTCGTCAGTAACAGGGCGGATGGCCTCGGTGCGACCGTGGAGGTACACCTTTGTCATGGCGGGCTCATATGTGCACTCGACTTTTCCATAGAGACCGTAGTATGCGGCCTGAAAGGCCATCTGCACAAATGCATCGGGCGAAAAGCCCATCGAGGTGATGAAGTTCTTTCCAAAAGAGTCAAAGTCGAGACACTGGAACTCGTTCTGCTCAATAAGATCAGCTAGCCTTGTCTCGGCGAAGCGTACGGCAATGCTCAGCTCAGGGATCATATCCCATTCTAGCTTGCGCGGTGTCGTATTAACGTCACCGAAGCTGCTGGGGTCACGCTTCGAAGGGTCCGGGCTTGTCGATGCCCACATGCTCGGGGCCTTGCCGTTGATGGTGCGGGCGAAACGCAGGATCGTATCCGTGTATACGTCGCTAGCGAAGCGGAGGACTGTGTGGCCATCGACGCCGGTGTGCTCGAAGTTGATACCGGCGCTTCCATTCTTGCAGACAATTATCTGGAGCTTGTCGTACCACCGGTTTGTGCAGGTGCCGATCTGAACGCCTTTCTCGACGAGACTGGTGCCGCACAGCATGTTCTGGCACAGGGCTGCGACGTCGGCCGGCTCCGTGTAGTCGAGGCACAGGACAAAGAGGGCTGAGTCGACAATGTTGAGCGAATCGGCATTGTTTGATGCGTACTCCCTGGTCAGGAGGTCGCGCAGTCCTGACCAGACCTTGCGGTTCTCGGTACTCAAAACACCCACCGCACCCTTGGCAGCCTCTTGAATGGGGATCTGCTGAGCATCGTCGACAATAGTTTGCAGGTTCAGGGCAATGTCCCGCTCTGTCATTATCGCGTCCGAGTTATCGTCCAGTACATCAAACCAGTACAGCTGGCCGTGACACATGACAACCATGTGTTTGGAGCTAGGGTCCTGCTGGATCTGGCAGCCGGCCTCGGTCGGCACGCGGGCTGTGCCGAATAGTCTTGAGAACTGGTACATGCAGAGTGGGGTTCCCTTGACAGAATCTGGAGGGAGCTCCTCCTTCCTCACAGCTCGAACGAACTCGAGCGACGAGGCGACCAGTGAGGCCGCTCTAGTAACCTGGTCATTCCGGGCCGGGGTGGGGTCGTCTTCCAGAAGGAAGAAGGGGTTCAGGTTCAAGACGACAGGGTTATCATAATTGAGGTATGAGTCGTACCCTTTCTTTCGTTAGACGAAGAAACCTTTGGAAAATATGTGGGTGCATATCTTACAAAACTGTTCGATATAGCTGGTCTTGCTCTGTGCATATGTCTTCAACTTCTCCTGAAGATCAGGCCCCTCATTGTGGAGAAAGTCGTAGACAGCATTCTGGGTCTCCAAATGCTCCCTAGCGGACTGCAGCGGTTTGAGAGCTTTCAAGTACCGCTCTGTAGTATGTTCCAAGTCAGGGATGGGGAGCTTGGGCAACTTGTCCTGGGCGGAGAATGTGACACCGTCAGGCTTGTTCCTGTCGTTTTCGTTATAATCGTCCATCGGGACACGCTGATAACTCGACGCCCGCTTGAGATAGTCAGTGGGCTTTGCCAGCTCTTCTTGAATAGGGACGCTTCGAGGGATATTGTTTATCCGGGGAGGATCTTGCGCCAACCGAGGCCCTAGCGGCTGCGGAATCTCGAAGGATCGAGCTTGAACAGTCATTTTGTGTTAGTTGTGCTGGGAGTTCTTGGTAGTGGCAGTTTAGGCAAAGAGCGGCGAGATATCGGTGCAGATGTTCAAGCCGCGCAGGGCGGTTCGGTAGAAATAGTGGCAGTCTTGAAGATAATAGGAGGGCATTGGCAATACACTCGCTATGCCGCGGGGTTGGAAAGAAGCATATAAACCGAGGTATGCTCGGCTTTTCGAAGTTGTAAAACGAAACAGGAGGCAGAAGGCGAGCAAGAGGTGAACAGGACAATCAAGGGTACATGAAAGATAAAAAGGCAGCGAAGGAGATATAACTCAGGGAGTATGGGGCTATGCGACTAATATAGGTAACATGTGATGGCAATCAGGTGGGTTGGGACAAGATGACTCCCACGCCGGTTGAAACCCCCACAGTCATGAGGCTGCGAGGATAACCAACTCCCTTTGACCCGGGGCCTATGGCAGGTCGGCTAATTCGTCTTAGACTACCGCCCCTCTTCCCCAGATACTTTCCGGAAAGGTAGAGTAATAGAGCGGAGTCGACGGACCTGGAAGAGAATGTGGACCGGCTCTCAAGGGACAGGGTTTGACTGGGGGTGGGGAGCTTGAGAATTCATAACTGGAGGTTGGCAAGGTGCCAATCCGACGGCTCCGCCAGCGTGGCAGCATGGCCAGAGTCAAAGCCGGGGGGGGACGTGGGATGGACCGGCTCTTTTCGGATGCCAACCAATCTGTTGGACCTGCCAGCCTACTTGACATTTCACCACCGGATGTAAGGGGGTGCGTGGTTTGGAGAGGGCCCAGAAAATGAAGACAGATTCAGTGGTTCACTTACTCAGGTTCACCTTAGGTTCGGGTGTAGTATCCCAATACCAGTGGACTGATGATAAAACAGGTAGACGGATTTTCTCCTCGCGATAGAACTGTGATGCCCTACGTGATGCGTGCGCGGGGCGATGGAGACAAGCCAGGTGGTTGCATCAAATGAGGACGTAGAAGAAGAAAAGTATCTCGTCACCCTCTCTATCCGCTGACGCACGCTCTTCGCCAAGACCTGGGGTTTCTGTTGATCTCAGGGTACTGACCGTCTCTGAGTAGCAGTGAGCTCTCTCAGGTCTGGGTGGGCAGCAGACTGTGCAGCAAAAATACGTCACATTCAACCGGGGCCCCGCCATAGGGAGACAAGATAAAGTGGAGCAGCTAGCGCCCTCGGACGACGGGATGTTTTCCAAAAAGCGAAGTCGAGGACTCGAGGAAAAGTCTCGACTCGGCGATTTCGTGCTGTGATGGGAAGAGAGTCCGGCAAGCTGACTTGTTAACTTGCAGAATGATGGGAAAATAATATGATTGTGCAATCCAGTGTGGTGTTGAGAGAAGTTGTAATGATTGGATATAGGCAAGAGCTAAAAGCCAGCAGTTGCTCCTTCTCTAGATGATCACGTAGCGATTTCTTCTCCACACGCAAAATCGCCATTTACTACTACTAATACTTGCAACGTCAATGGTCCCATCACCAAGAACGTTAAGATTGCCATGCATGCGGATATTGCGGATATCGTTGCCACCCTGCAATACTGGGGAAGAGCAACCGTGGGGGTCATCTGGGCGCGAACCGCGAGTGAGTCTTATCTAATCATTCGTGCATCACTGGTGCCAGAGACTTGGGACACTTCGGCCGAGCGGATATCTGTTTCACTACGAGAATGCTGTACGGCTACGATCGTGTGTAGCGGCCCTCTCCACATCTTAAGCATGGGCTTGAATTTTCCAGGCGACACATGTACCCCATCTTGTTACTGTGTATCCGCCGTGGCTTTGCCCATCGGATATGCTACCGACCCTGAGAGTGGAAACGTCCCGGGTAGCAGACCGAGGGCGGAGCAGACCCCATCTACAGAAAAGGCCATCTTCGCCCCGGCAACATGCTCCGTGCTGTTGCCGTCTCCGTAATCGCTGGGAGGGCTGTGCGGTCCTTCGGGCCGCCCTAGCTTTTCTCTCGGGCCGCATATTCTGCCTGTCTCTATGCCTTTGGCCCGGGCGTTGTTTACAACGTCTCTACACGACTGAATGAACACTTTACTGAAGCCAAATCTCACCTGTTCCCGGTTACCTGCTCCGGTCCGGAGTTGACCGCGCGAGCCCTCAAAAGGCTGGAGCCGCAAGTGGCGCGCGACTGCGCTCCAGTCACATCATCTAGAGTAGGCGCAGACAGAATAGGCACGGCAACGCGGTTCCGTGCAAAGGACTCATTGTAGGGATTAGACTTATATGCACTCTATATTGTCGTCAGAAGCCCTCTGATGAGCGGCTGCAAGGTTTCTCACTTCGGACGCAGCCTCTCTCCCAGTCGAATGGATTTCCCTACAAGCGACATCCATCTATTCGAGGTATTCTAAGGCAATCAATGCAGTTCCACGGCTGAGCCATGCAGATACATGACGCTAAACCATTTTCGGCTATTGGTTCGAGATCCACCTCGTCTTATTTCGGATGTGTTCAACATTGGAACCAGTATCTACACAAACAATGCTCCGTATGACAGTTTGGATAGGACTTCTGCTATAAGCTAAATTACAACGACTTACGGGAGCTCATGTTTGCCGAATACCGTTCGGATAGCGGCACGTTGAATTGCATGGCGCCCTCAGCATTCCCAATCTGCGTAGTCCATTTGAGGTCTGTCCCCTTGGAGTTGCCCCATTCGAGCCGTATGACATGAATTGAATACTAGGGCTACATTGAAGATTCTTTACTTGTGTTTAGACATGTCTTGTTTCCCTCTTCCAAGGCGAGTACATGAGCTTCACCATTATTCAACTGGCACACTTACACAACTACAGCATCCTCATCAAGCCCGACTCCAACAGCCCCATATTTCAGTCGCCGTAGAGTCAACAGCAGCAACTCGACAAAATGTTAATCTACGCCTTCGAATCCCTGATCAGAAAGTCCAAACAAGCATCTTCTTCCACGCCTGCTGCAGCTGCCGATCCTACTGCAGGAAACACAGCCCTGTAATATCTACAGCCGATGCCTCCTCGACTCTCCCCGCCGTCGAATCCCCTCGTGCATCGGCGTGCACCACATGGACGGACCCTCCTCAGATTTCTGTGAAGAATACCAGACAGCAAAGGCGGCTTCGAAAGAGATGACCAAGTACCGATGGAGAGTCATACTGGGGCTGATGTTCCCTTTTGCCCTTTAGGCGCTGGATACAACTATGTGAGAAAACCCACATCAAGGATATTAGCTATCATGAGAGAGACAATAGATCAACTGACTGATATCAATTAGTATATCCTCCGCACTTCCATAGATTGAAACCAGCTTTGATGAATCCTCCCAGCTCAGCTGAATGCTGGACTCAATGTCCTTATCCGGACCATCACTGAGAATCGCGTATCCCTCAAGGAGAACTCCAAGAACTTGTCCATCTTCTCATTCGTCAGCGGCATCTCTCACGGTATCGGCCCTGTTATTTGAGGTATACTCTCTCTCTCTCTCTCTCTTCTTATCCTGTATTATTTAATCATACTAACGATAAATTCAGGTAACCTCACCAAGGCGTTCTGGAGATGGTTCTTTGCCATCAACCTCCCAATATGTGTCGTCAGCCTCATCGTCATATTCTTTTTCCTCCGCAACGAACTCCTCGGTGCCCAACCCATCCCCAAACTCAACGAGACCGAGGAGACGGGCCGCCACACAAAGTTTGTCGCCCACCTCAATATTGTCGACTACGGCGGCCAGTTCCTCTTCATTGTCGGCTTCGGCCTCATCACCCTGGCCCTCACATGGGGTGGAGCCACTTACCGTTGGGACTCGGCCGCTGTCATCGTCTCGCTGGTTCTGGGTGTCGTCTTTGCCGTGACCTTCTTCGCCTGAAAGATACATGCTAGTCCCCGGGAATCCGCTCTCTCTCGTCTTAACCTACCAGAAGTCCATGATCCCCTGGTCTATCCTTTGTAACAGGGATATTCTTCTACTATAGTTCTGCGAGTTTGCATCGGGGATTGCAATGTTTGCGGTATGCATGGCTGGGCACATACTGGAAACTAAAAGGGACAACGGTTGCCAACTTGTGATATCATTAGGTCCTCTACTACTGCAATGTTTACTTCATGGCAGTCCTAGATTACGACTCTGGGGAGCCTGGCACGCAGCTCCACTACTTGATTCCTGGTCTTGCTGGTAAGTATTCTTCACACATTCTTTTTATAACCCCCCCTTGCCCACTTTCTTCTATTCTATATTCTTTGATCTTATATCGCTGACTCTGCTGGATAGCTGGCGTCTACCTAAATCGCATCATGCGCAGCTTCTTCCACCGCATGACCTTTCCATCCATCCTTTGCACTCTCATGTTCCAGGTCGCCCGGCTCGCGACCCTCGCCTACCCCTGTACAAGAACGACCAGCCCCTTATCTTTGGAATGCTGATAATCGTCTGCTTTGGTCTCGGTCTCGGTCTCATGCCTGTCGCTCTTCATGGAGTCGCGCAGTTCCGCCATCACAGGGCACCGTCATTGGGCTCTTGGCCCTCGCTGTACCCCTCGGCGGTACTATCGGCCTGGTCATCATGTCCACCGTCTTCAATAACATTCCTGACCTCAATGCCAATATAAATCTGGCTTAGACTTTCACTGGAACCTCTCATGAGCCTGCCCAGGTGCAGGACGAGACGACACATAAAGCCAAGGTTGGTTTTCTCGTCTCCCTCTCTCGCCTTTGTAAAGGTGAAAAACGGTTCTGACTTCCGTGTAGATGGACATTGTTTGGGCCGTTATTGCCATAATACCTGTGGTCTTCATGGCCTGGCTGGCAATCTTTCTCCTGGGCAACGTCGGATTTGACAAAGACGTTGGTCCCGAAGAGGACGAGGGCCATAATTTCACCCAGAGGCCGTACCTGCATACCTTGGTCATGAGCGGCCGAGTGGCGGATGTTGAGAAGGATGTGCGTCTGGAGAGCCTGGATAACTCGAGGCCTAACTGGCGATGATCTTGAGGATGAAGAGTCTGATCTGAGATTGGTAAGACTTTTCTTATTTTGCTACTGTTGTCGTTTGTTGGGCTCAGTGAATAATCAGTTGGTGGTGCATTAACTCTGGAATTAGGAGCCAATATTGGCTCTGGGTGTTGTGAATGCCCAGAGCGGAGAAACCATTTCGTTTTGTTACCATGTGCATAACCAGCGATCTCTATATTCTCGCTCCTTTTGTCAATACCTTTAAATATTTTTTTTGTGCCCTGGTGGATGTTGAGACGATATGAGGCTTCTTGGTGAGGCTATTTGGTTCCTGGCCAAGTGGAGAGAGCCGGGCGAAAGCACAAGCGCCCGTCGTGGCTGGAAACCAGGCGACTCTTTATCACCCAGACAACATCTCACCCCAGCATTGAAACCAGGGAAAAGAAAGGCAAGAGAACAATTCAAAGTCTCCAAAGGCCCAAGACATGGGTAGGCTCCGAACCACCGCCCCGTGGTGAGTTCTTTCTGTCCCTGAAATGGCTGAAGCAGACCACGCCGCCAGGACCGACGAGGCCAATACCGGTCGCGCGGAGGACGAGGATGAGCAGATTCAGCAGCAGTACTATGAAGAGGAGCCGCAAAGCGACAACCCTAAATTCTGGCTAGAATTCCGGACTTTTGATGATGGGATGAACACATCAACATCTCCTTCCTCCCCGGACGACGCAGCAGAATTCCCGCAGTTCTGTCGTCTGCCGCCGGAGCTACGCCTAAAGGTATGGGAGTACCTGGTGCAGCCGCGCGTGGTGGTAGCATGCTGCCTGCACAGGGGGGAAGACGACGACCCGAATGCGGGGGAGAGTCTGGCGTCTCGACGGAGGGAGCTAGACGGCCGGACGACTGGGGGCAACGCGGTCCCCTCCCTGCTGCACGTCAACCGTGAATCGCGGGCCGTGGGCCGACGACACTACGAGCTTACCTTCGCGTGGCGCGTGTCCAAGCTACTCTCCGACACCCCAACGTCGCGACCGCCGCGGGTATATTTCAACTTCCAGCTGGACACGCTGCTGCTCACAGGCGAGCTGGAGCCCTACGACTCGTATGGCATCAATTCGACCATGGTGTACTTTCTGCGGCGCGAGGACACGTTCCGCGTGCGCCACGTCGCCTGCGCATTCCGCGAGCTAGGATATCCGGACCAGGAGAGCGACCAGGTGTTTGGCTGCCTTTGGCACGTCGTGGACCGGTTCCCCGCGGCAGATACGCTGCTCGTCACGCTGGTGGCGGGTGACGAGGACAAGATCGGGCACCAGGAGGCCGCGAGGGTGTTGGACAGAAATAACGTCGTGCAGAAAATCTGGAGCAGCTGGATGAGTGGAACGGCCGTCACGGGCTCCCGCATGGCGGATAAGCACATGCTTCTCGTCCAGGAGGAGAAGCTCCTGGACTACGTCGTTTCAAGACAGGAGCCGTAGACGTTGGGGGGGGGCGGGGGCCAGCCAAGTCGTACGAGTATCAATCAAACAATCTACAATGATGGGGAAGAAACCCCCATGGCATCTGTTGCATCACGAATGTAGGAAACAGAAAGAGTACAAAATAAAAATCAAGCTCTGGGCCCGTCCCCCCCATTCCGGTCCAACCTTGAACTCTGTTCTGCCCAGACTTCTGGCCGGTCGATGGAGGAAACTCTATGGCGATGGGCGATGACGTTCCATGAGTGTATCCTGTCACATTTCAATCGTGCAGATTTGCAGACACCCCGCGGTGAAGTGCTTATTGAAATCGAATCAAATCGTCAATCAGTCGGTACATTGTGGCGGATTTACTCGCACGGTCCTTTTGACCAAGGAAAAGATAAAGATTGCTGCGGTGGCTCTTGAATTGTGTCACGGATGACGACAACACTCAAACCCCCTCATGCTAGAGTTGGCGTATAGACGGCGCTACCTCAGGATTCGGGTTTTCTCTCCCACATGCAATCAGAATTGTTCGCTAGGACCAGTAGTACAGAGGAATGTACGAGGCAGACCGAAGGCAAGTGAGCTCACTATAATTTGCTCGGTCACATGTGGCGGCGGGGGAGCTTGATGAGGATATTCAAAAGTGGATTGCTCCTTCAAAAGAAAAGGAAAGAGACGAGATAGAGATTTGTGTGGAACCAACCAATGGCCATAGAAACCATCCCGTTGCCTGGGAGGCGAATCTCACCGACATGGAAGGGAAAAGTGCTAGAAAAGCAAACTGGTGTCAGTCGGCGGCTGATGGAGAAGTGCTCAACTGTCTACAGATATCAAACGGCTGTGCACGGTTGCAGATAGCCGTACACACACACTGCCCGCTTCCAATGCTCGTACCTTCCCGTGCCTGGAAGACTGGAATATCAATCATACGAACCTGACCGAATAATTACGAATACCTTCTATGATTACGAGTAGCATTACACCGTAGCCGTAGAAGCCCAAAGAGCACCGAGAAAGACAGTCCTCAGAATTCGAAAAAAAGAGGGGGCATCCACCTTCAGCCCACTTGTTCGCTTGTCGTAGGCAGGCTTGGTGGTGGGGCAGGTAGAAGATACATTGATTTACGTACATTCATACTTGGATGATGAGGTATATTGACACTGATAGTGCCCCGCGGTGACTCTGGTTTTTTCGGCGACTGGCATGACATCACGCTAAGAGATGCAATCGTCGGGTGTAGAAGGCCTCACTGTTGCCATGGAAGGAAATCGGTAATCATACCATACGGGAGTATGGGAGTATGGGAGTAATAACGGGGCGAGAAAGAAAACAATAGAATATATCAAGTAGAATCTGAGGCCTAGGCGACTGTGGGGGAGTAGCACGGTGGATTTTCAGGTATCTTCTAGGCGGCTGTAGGGCCATCGGCAGCGTACCTAGAGCCTTCTCGAAACCCCTGCAATTTTCAGGTGTGCCCTCCTTTGGAAGTGGGCGGAATCACATCGAATATCTGCACCCGCCTTTATTAGGTTGCCGGCCAGCTGCCCTGTCCACCACAACGACTTCTTCTCTCACATCACACACATTTCCTTTCTTCTACTTGATACCCTTTTCTACTCTCTACAACTGCAAAGTTTGAGGGCTTTGCTTCTTATAACTGTCATACCCTGCCAATAGACACACACGTACATCTTCCCCAAAAACACCTCCACACACACACACATTCACAATGGCTCCCGCCGTCGGTATCGACTTGGGTACCACGTACTCTTGCGTGGGTATCTTCCGTGAGGACCGCTGCGATATCATTGCCAACGACCAGGGCAACCGCACAACCCCTTCCTTCGTTGCCTTCACCGACACCGAGCGTCTCATCGGTGATGCCGCCAAGAACCAGGTGGCCATGAACCCCTCCAACACCGTCTTCGACGCCAAGCGTCTCATCGGCCGCAAGTTCAGCGACCCCGAGGTCCAGGCCGACATGAAGCACTTCCCCTTCGCCATTGTCGACAAGGGCGGAAAGCCCATCATCCAGGTTGAGTTCAAGGGCGAGACCAAGCAGTTCACGCCTGAGGAGATCTCCTCCATGGTCCTCACCAAGATGCGCGAGACAGCTGAGGCCTACCTCGGCGGCACCGTCCAGAACGCCGTTGTCACCGTCCCCGCCTACTTCAACGACTCTCAGCGTCAGGCCACCAAGGACGCCGGTCTCATTGCCGGTCTCAACGTCCTCCGTATCATCAACGAGCCTACTGCTGCTGCCATTGCCTACGGTCTTGACAAGAAGATGGAGGGCGAGCGCAACGTCCTCATCTTCGACCTTGGTGGTGGTACTTTCGATGTTTCCCTCCTGACCATCGAGGAGGGTATCTTCGAGGTCAAGTCCACCGCTGGTGACACTCACCTGGGTGGTGAGGACTTCGACAACCGCCTTGTCAACCACTTCGTGACCGAATTCAAGAGGAAGAACAAGAAGGTATTTAGACCTCTATCTCATCCGATACCCACTCCTTCCCGATCGTTATGCTAACCGTTTCCTACAGGACCTGTCTACCAACGCCCGTGCCATGCGCCGTCTCCGCACCGCTTGCGAGCGTGCCAAGCGTACCCTCTCGTCGTCGGCTCAGACCTCGATCGAGATCGACTCCCTCTTCGAGGGTATCGACTTCTACACCTCCATCACCCGTGCTCGCTTCGAGGAGCTGTGCCAGGACCTCTTCCGCTCGACCACCAACCCGGTCGACCGTGTCCTGGCTGATGCCAAGATCGACAAGAGCCAGGTCCACGAGATCGTTCTTGTCGGTGGTTCCACCCGTATCCCCCGCATCCAGAAGATGATCACCGACTACTTCAACGGCAAGGAGCCCAACAAGTCCATCAACCCCGACGAGGCTGTTGCCTACGGTGCTGCCGTCCAGGCCGCCATCCTGTCTGGTGACACTTCTTCCAAGTCCACCAACGAGATCCTTCTTCTCGATGTTGCCCCTCTCTCCATTGGTATCGAGACCGCCGGTGGCATGATGACCAAGCTTATTCCCCGCAACACCACCATCCCCACTAAGAAGTCCGAGGTCTTCTCCACCTTCTCCGACAACCAGCCTGGTGTCCTGATCCAGGTCTACGAGGGTGAGCGCCAGCGCACCAAGGACAACAACCTCCTTGGAAAGTTCGAGCTCACTGGTATCCCCCCCGCTCCCCGTGGTGTTCCTCAGATCGAGGTCACCTTCGACGTCGATGCCAACGGTATCATCAACGTCTCCGCCATGGAGAAGGGCACTGGAAAGTCCAACAACATCACCATCACCAACGACAAGGGACGTCTCTCTAAGGAGGACATTGAGCGCATGCTGTCCGAGGCCGAGAAGTACAAGGATGAGGACGAGGCCGAGGCTGCCCGTGTTGGCGCCAAGAACGGTCTTGAATCCTACGCCTACTCTCTCCGCAACACCATGTCCGACCCCAAGGTCGACGAGAAGATTGATGCCTCTGACAAGGAGACCCTCAAGACTGAGGTCGACAAAGTCGTTGAGTGGCTCGACGACAACCAGCAGGCTACCAAGGACGAGTACGAGAGCAAGCAGAAGGAGCTCGAGGGTGTTGCCAACCCCATCATGATGAAGTTCTACGGAGCTGGTGGTGAGGGTGCTCCCGGCGCCGCTCCCGGCGGTGCCGCTCCCGGTGGCGCTACCGGCGCTGGTGGCGACGATGGCCCCACCGTTGAGGAGGTCGACTAAATGACTTGCCCCCTTCGCTCCTGATTTCTTGACCAGTCTTTTTCGAGCTCTTGTCAGACTGGGTTGAAGAACGTTAGATTTTCTTTTCTCAATTCTTGTTGCCTTTCCTTTGTCGATATTGCTTTTTCTTTTTTTTCTGTTTGCGTGTGCATTTACGGTTTAAAGGGAAAAAAGCACGGTGGTTCTACTGTACTGTTAATGACTTAAGAAATCAAGATATTTATGATCTAACAAATACGTCTGCTTCTCACAACGTGCATCACTTCAAAGACGCCAAGATGCTTTCAATATTCTAGATTGCTCTGCTAGCCATCTAGCTCATGGTGAGCTGAGACGACTTACCATCAAAGGGAAAAAATCAGTTTCTATGTCACGATGTACAGATTACTATAATATAACGACCACCTCATTACATGGTTCTTTGCAGATTAACCTAGACTCCAGGCTATGTGCTTCCTGCTGGCGACAGAACGCGATGATCCGTAGACGTGAAAACAGTGGTCTCTGCCTACTAATTCGTCCTGGGTCGATATGTATGTGTCATAGATAGATTTCCTTTCCTTTAAATAACCCTTTACAAGAAGCAAGCACTATTGTTAGGTTATCTACAGATGTGAGTGTGGCAGCATCCTCTGGCTGCCTAGTCATTTATTGGGAGCTACGCCTAGAATGGCTATGCGATAGAAAGTAACATTCCCCCTTTTGTACCTCTCTACCTTTCCTTTTTCTTTTTCTCATCTTACGGTAGGGATTGACTGCTTTGCTGTTGAAGACTCCAATCCCTTTGAAGTGCGGCCAAACCGGCAACCTGTATTATCAAAAAAAATTACTTCTCGTACGAAGGCCGTCAAACATGAAGCCCTATAACGATTGGTTTGGTCCATGGATTTACGATTTGAATATGAGTGGGCGTTGCTGACAACAACGGTTTGTTTATGTAAAGTAAAGCTGGCAGAGCGCAGCAGGGAGAGATGGCTACCATATTATAGAGACCTCATACTACCAATTAGAACGACTGTGGTGTTGAAATTATTCGATTAGTAGTATACAGATTGAGGTAGGATACAAAAGGAATACGTGCATCTAACTCGACGAGGGCGACGGTGTAGGTTCCTCCACGCCCAGCTTCTCCCTGACCTGCCTCCTGCGCTCATTCTCCTGCTTCCTCCACTCGTCATCATTGACGCCGCCGGTCGACGAGGATGGCAGCTCAATCTTGTGGCTGAAGGCCGTGCCGGGAGCAACCTTTTCCTCGCGGGGCTTCCAGACATCCTCGCTGCTCCTACGGCCGGGGGCGTAGTACCGTGAGTGCTCCCTATCACGGTAGTGCTCCTTGATGGCCTCGGCCTTTGCGGGGCCCGTGAACGACTTGGTGCGCATGCAGAACCAGAAGTCGTCCCACTGGTCGGAGCACGAGCGCATCTCGCCGTAGCGGTAGACGGCGTTCCACTGGCCGCCCACCGAGTTGCAGCCCCATGCCAGGTCGAAGGCCTGGCGGCATGACATGTCTGTGGGGAGGAGGGACTCGGAGACGGCGTCGCGCGGGGGCACGTGTACTATGCTCGGGTCTTCCGGGGTGGAGGACTTGAGCATGGAGGATATCCATGACAGGGAGCCATCTTCTTTGGTCGTCGGTGGGGAGGGCTTCTTAGAGGATTGGGGCGCGGAGGAGTTGTCGAGGAAGTCGAGGAATTTCTGCACTTCGGGGTCCACGTTGTTGGGGGCAGCTGTCGAGGAGGAGGATGGCTTGTTGTTGGTCGTGGTGGCGGCGGCGTCTTCCTGAGCCGGCGGCGCCGGCTTCGGGGGCGACGGAGAGGAGGCCCAGAGCCAACCCATGATGTATGTGTTTTATGTATGTACGTATATGTGTTTCGTTGTTGAGAGTTAGGGCTAATGCTGTGAAGCGTTGTGGCAGCTCGGCAAGGTATATATCCGTCAAGGAGGAACCAAGATCTGAAAGGATATTAATCGGATGATGTGCAGCAGCTGGCGACGCGGGGAAGCTCAGCTGGAGCCCCTCGGTGACGTCTCGTGACTGATGCCCTTTCTTAAGAGTGCGCTGATGGGCATGCAAGCTGATGCAAGGTCTGTCCAATCGGGGATCAAGACCGCTGGCGTGACGGATGGCTTCTTGGTGATGTGAAGTTGTTAATGCCGACCGAATTTATTATGGGTCCATCAAGCACGACGTATTAATGAGCATCAGCAACTCACAGCACCAAAAAGCTGCCCCTACTGCGTTCTTTGGGGGAAGGAGGGGGGGGGGGGTAGCTGAATCATTTCTCGGATTAACTTAATCGCCGGAACCGATGAATCAACAACCCCCACTCTTAGGCTGTAATACTCGTACGAGTGCTTGGAAGAGCAAAGAGTGTCTTTACCCGATTCGGCAACGGTTGAAGTGGGAAGCTGATGTGCTGCTGAGAACCATGACTTCATTGGCCCCGTTTATTCATGAGCTCTCTTGCGTGTCAAGCTGTACGAGTTGGCTTGACCTTTTCTCCCACTTCAATACTCTCACTTGCGCAGAGGCCATGCTTATTTGAGAAGCTTTGTCGGAATCATGATTCGCCCTGCGAGAGTGGTGGTGCACCAGGCCGTCAGGCCTAGTAGCATCATGACTATGCTCATGCGGCCCCGCCTCAACTTCAATGTCAGGCCGTCATCGATGATCTATCCTTCTCGGCACGTGGCGCGAACTTGGGCAAGCACAACAACCGCAGCGACTAGCCCAGGAGTAGATCCTGATGATGAAGCTGACACAGATGGGAAGAGGGACGCGCGGAGTGAAGGTCACATCAAGGTTGGCACAAACGAGTCCGTTCTCTTCTTTGACAGTAAGTCAGACCCTCCCTGGCCCTCCATGTTTATCTCAAGCTGACACTCGCGATCTTGGTAGACCTCTTCCCTGTCAGCCTCAGTAACGTACTAGGCCGCGTGTATTCGTCGGACAAGGACCTGGTGACTCTGCTGAAACTTTTCAAGACGTCGTCGCTGGGAATCATGGATCCAATACGACTTGTGAAAGCAGCTATTCCTCCAGACCTGCTCTCCACTGTCACCGAGATCCACCCACGTTTAAAGGACGGAGGTGCTTTTGTCAAGTTTCGACATGATGCCTCAGTTGACCCGCTTACTATCGAAGGTGCGCAGTATTTTACACTACGAGAAGAAAAAGTAATGGCTTGTTAATGCTGACATCATTATTCAGAAACCCTGATTCGCAACTTGAATGATGCGCCTCTGCACCCCTGGTTCAACCCCTTACGGGGAATCAAAGCTCGTCTTGTCTGTGGAACACCGTGGCTCGAGGACCTCCGGAGATACCCATCCAACTTGATCAAGGTTGAGTTCACAGCGGCTACCCCGGACAGCACGCCCCAGGAACTGTCTGAGGAGACGATCTACAGTTTGCTCCGTAAGTACGGTAAGATCTCCGACATCGCCCCCCAGGCGCAAGATGACAAAGCCTTGCCGCGCTACGCCACCGTGGCCTTCGTCAACATCCGCGACGCTATCATGGCTCGCAACTGTATGCACGGAATCATCGTCGGCGCTGCGATGGGCGGCGGAGCCCACGGCACGAGGTTGCGCTTCTCGCATAGGGCGCGCATCCGTCCGCACAACATCTGGAACTGGGTCACGACGCACCCACGCATCGTAATTCCCATAGTCGCCGCTCTACTCGCCGGTGTCTCGGTCATAATCTTCGACCCTATCCGCCAGTTTTTCATCAAGATGCATATCCAGCACTCGTGGAGCATCAGCGAGTCGCGCCTGTACAAGTGGTTCAAGTCTCAGAAGGACAGTCTCATCCCAGGGAGCCACGGCACGCAGCACGATGACCTGAGTGCCGTGTGGAATCATCGTCGCGACCTGATTGAACAACTGCGCAGCTGGCTGGATGGCAGCTCCGACACCTTCATCGTCGTGACGGGCCCCAAGGGTTCCGGAAAGAAGGACATGGTCTTGAAGCAGACCCTGGATGGGCGCAAGAATGTTCTCGAGATTGACTGCCGCCCCATATCTGAGGCCCGGGGCGAGGCTGGTGTTATACGCCGGCTCGCCGCTGCGGTCGGCTACCGGCCCGTCTTCTCCTGGGCTAACAACATCAGCAGCATGGTGGACCTAGCCATCCAAGGCACAACCGGCGTGAAAGCGGGCTTTTCGGAAACGCTCGAGTCGCAGTTCAACAAGATCTTCTATACCACCTCCTCGGCTCTTAAGGAGGTGGCTCTATCGGCCCGCACCAAGAGAGACAAGGACGCCGACCTGACTGACGACGCGTACCTAGAGTCGCACCCGGAGCGCCGCCCAGTCATTGTCATTGACAATTTCATGCACAAGGCCGAGGACAAGGGCTTGGCATACGACAAGCTCGCCGAGTGGGCCGCCACCGTGGTCCAAAACAACATCGCCCACGTCATCTTCCTGACCAGCGACACGAGCTACACCAAGCCACTGGCCAAGGCACTCCCAGACAGGGTCCTCCGCACGCTCTCCCTGGGCGATCTGGATCTCGACGTGGCACGCAACTTTGTCCTCAGCCGCGTTCGCGAGGACACACGCACCGAGGAGGAGAAGGAGAGCGAGCAGGATGCCGCCGAGGCTGCTGGCAAGCCCCTTGTCCACAAAGAGCTCGACTTGACGGGACTGGATGAGAGCATTCGTACCATGGGAGGCCGCTTGACGGACCTCGAGTTCCTCAGCCGCCGCATCAAGTCTGGCCAGACGCCCAAGCAAGCCGTCGACGAGATTGTCAGCGAGAACGCCACCGACATCGTCAAGATGTTCCTTCTGGGCAAGTCGGTCGGCAGCTTCACCGACCCCTCGTCGCGCTCCTGGTCCACCCAGCAGGCATGGCACCTGGTTAGGGAGCTAGCCCGCGAGCCCACCCTCCGGTACAACCAGGTCGTCCTCTCCGCACCGTTCGCCTCGTCGACAACCCCCTCCGCCAAGGACGGCGAGGCCGCACTGGAAGGCCTGGCGGGAGCAGACCTCATCATGATCAAGCTACACCGCGGCCGTCCACAGTCCATAACGGCCGGCAAACCGCTCAACCAGGCTGCCTTCTCCGTCCTTCTCGATGACCCAGTCCTCTCGGCAAGGATGGACCTCGCCGTTCTGAAGGAGGATATGTCCGCGAAGAATAAGGAAATTGAAGGACTGGAGTCAGAGCTCGCGCTGCTCGGCGGGCTGCCCAGGCAGACGAATGAGATAGCCAACAGGGCGAGATATCTGCTCGAGAAGATGGATGATAGCCAGCAGAAAATTATTGCTCTGGAGAAGAAGATGGGTGAGCTCAAGGCTATATTGAGCAAGGAATTTTGACTCCCCCCCCTTGGAGCACTCTGTATATTATTACCTACCTGTACACCCGCTCTTATCATTGTATCATCGCCGGGCAGCAGTGATACCTGTTCATTTCCATAAAATAACTCAAATGTTCACCTCTAGCCTTCTCCTTTGCGCCTAAAAAGCACACAAACAAGTTTCTTTTTTCTGTCCTCGTCGAGACGGAAGGAATGGTATCAACAAAAACAAGCATGCGCCTACAAAACCCCCACCCGAGATAGAATATAAGAAGAAAGAAAAAATTATGTACAAGTCCAGGATATTTTGCCTTTTATTTTTGTGCGAAACACAATTGATCGGAAATAACAGAGGGGAACAGCCCCCTCCCAAAATAAATCATGATTCCGTCGGCAACATCATAGACTGCTGCGTTGTGTCATATTGCTCGGCGAGAACTTCACATGCCTGGGCGAAGAAGATGCGCGCTGGTGTCTGATAGTCGTTTGTTATGCTGTAGTAGTTGCCTAATTCCTGTTAACACTTTGTTGACTTCTCTCTACTATCTCTCTTTCTACTATCTCTCTTTCTCCACGTGTGTGTATCAGAAAAACAACGAAAGCAACAATGATAGAAAAAGAGGATAAGTTACAAGGGAAAAGGTGAAATATAAGAAAAGGAAAAAAAAAAAACTCACCTCTTGGGACAAACCACTGCCCCCCAGCAGATATACGAAACTGCCCCTCATTCACGGTGACGGCGACTTTCCCGTAATGCACGAAGAACACCATGTGCATCTTCCTCGAGTTCTTGGGCCTCTTCTCTGATCCGGGGGGCAGGTCGACAACACCTGCACCCATGAACGGCATGGTGAGCGTCTTGGCGAAGCGGAATGTCGCGTCGCGGATCTCGCGCGTCTGCGCCGCGCTGGCCGACATAGCAATCTGCTCCTCGCTGATATGGACGTGGTCGTCGTCGCCGGGCGGATGGGTCTCGTACTCTGGTTCCCAGGCGATGACCTCGCCCATCACCGTGCCCTCGTTCGTCTCCCACTCCTCGGGCGGCTCCTCGGCCTGCTTGCCATCGTCGTCTGACTCTGACTCCGCTGTTCGCCTGCTGCTGCCGCCGGTCTTCTTGGCCTTGGGCGGTCGGCCCCGTCCGCGACGCTTCGCACGACGCCTCTGCTCCTCCTCCTTCTCGTCCTCATCGGTTATGCGGACAATCTCCTTCATCGATCCCAGAACGAATCCGCGGTCGCTGGTGAACATGTCGCGCCGTTCCTCGTCCTCCGTGATCACCTGCTCACCTGCCCACCAGTTCAGCGGGCGGTATGAGTTCCGACCCGAGCGCGTCTGGAGTATCGTGTCCTGCCCGCGTCGCATGGATACTAGCCCGCGACGCTTCGGCATAGGTGGCCCTTTTTGCAGAGCCATGAATGACGCTTCGCCTGCCCCTTCGTCATCGTCTTCCTCTTCTTCCGGTCGGCGGACCGGTGGCTTTGGTTTGCGGCCCGGTGGACGGCCCCTGCCTCTGCGCTTGGGCGGTTCCGGTGCCTGCACAGATAGTTTCTTGGCCGAGCTGGGTATGGGGAGCGAGGGCGCATGTGATGCTCCCCGGGATGGCGCATGTGACCCCGCTCGTAGTGGTGCGTGTGATGGCGCTTGTGATGGCGCTCGTGATGTCTCCCGCGGCTGCGGCTCCTTAGATGCTCGTTGGCGCTTGGCCTGGGGCGTCGGTTCTGGCGCGACGGATGGTTCCCTGGGGGGCGGTCGTTTCCTAGATACCGCTGCATCATTTGCTGCTGTTGGCACCGGCTGCTTGCCTTTCTGGAGTGGTTGACTTCGCTTGACTGGCTCGGGTGATGGCGGTACCTCCTCTTGTTCTGCAACGTAGTCATCGTCGTATTCGGGCGCGCCAATTATTTGGGGTCCGTAGTCGACATTGTCATCCATTGGGGGTGGGGGGTCGTCGAACGCTGGGTAGTCGTTTTGGTCGTCTGTAGGCATTGGAGGTTCGTCATCGTCATCGTAGGGCACCGGCTGTGGCTCCTCCTCCTCCCCCACTGGCTCTGACTCTGGCTCGTCGGGTTCTTCCCCAACCGGCGTCACACCATTTGTTCCGTTCGATACACCTCGTCCGGACATCCTGCCATTAAAGTCAAGCTTGCGCGAGACTCGATCTTCGCGTGTTGGTGATATGCGGTCTAATAAAGGGCTATGGCGCGCCGGTGACTGAAGGCTCGTCTTTACCGGGGAGCGACTTCGGGGGAGGTACTGGAAGTTACGTTGGCCTCGGAGAACTGTCTGTGGTCCGGGGCCAGCGCCTGCAAATAAAGAATCGCGTCAGCAAGGTGACCATGCTGATGAAGACTCGCGGGGAGGTGGCCAAACGCACTGGAGGCAATCTCCATCTCCTCACTGCCCGAGTTGTTGTCATCATGCTCATCCCCCTCTTCATCCCCCTCCTCGTCCTCGTCCTCGTCCTCGTCTTCGCTTTCATCGTCTTGCTGTTGCGGTGACGAGAAGATGCTGTCGAGCGGCTGGAATCCCTGGTCGTCAATTTTGTCTGTCTTAGCTAGGGACACGCCCGTTTTCCTGAGAAGAGCGACACAGTTAGTACATTTGACATTGTGGAGGCTCGAACAAGCACCACCACCATCGCCTCCCATGCCGTCTCGAGCTTACCGGCCCTGGACACCGAGCTGATGCAGAGCTTGGGGCTCAGCCGCCTCTCCACGCCGACCGCTGCGAGAAGCCATGATTGACCGCAGTCAGTCGGGTGGTCCGCGTGCGCTACCACCAATACCGTACTATTGCTATGATGCTGGTGGAGTGCAGGAGCGTGAGTCGTTGAGATGGGAGCCGTCGGACGGTCGAGAAGACATGTACTGCTGGTATTATCTTGTGCGTGTAAAAAGTCCTAGGGGAAGGGCGTTCGTTGTTCCGTCGTAAATGACAGGAACTAAGAGTGGAAGGAAATACAACAGCGGAAGCAATGTGAAAGAAGGCGGCCCACGAATGCGACCTTGTCGAAGTTGGCGACGCGCCTCGGTTGGGTGGGGGCTTGTTGACATGCATCTCACAGTATTATTAGTGCCGCCGCTGCCAGTGCCTGATGACTAACCCGCCCGCTGTGCAGGGTAGTTAAATGTGCGCTTGATCTTGGGGCTGAAACTGAGCAACATTGCAAATGTTTGAATAATTCATGTCATGGGATCTGTCATCTGTCTATCCTCATTCTACTTTGTCATCAAACTGAGAGAGCTCACTACTCCATGCTCCACTACGTGCTCCCCGGGTAACTGACTCAGCACCTCGACGGCCTTCTCTAACCGCATCTCAACTCTCTTGGGTCCCCCTCCAGCGGTCGCGTCCCACGAGACCGTGGCAGCATTACCTTTACCCAGGATCACAGTGGCCTTGATCCCTTCCGACAGGCCCAGTCGTGGCTTGAACATGATCTTCTTCGCACCGGGAGCTAGGATCCGGATGCCCGCAAGCTCAGTGCAATACTCGTAGATGGGTACACTACCCCATGCGTGACAGTCGGACCGCTGCCGCACGTCATCCTCCTCCCATGTGGAAAGGTTATTCGCCAGCATCTTGCGCCACGGCACCCATGTACTCGGCCACGCGTCCTCATAGACGTCGTCGCCAGCGAGGGAAAACGCCCGGAGTGCATAGAACATCATGACGTATGAACACTTGGAGAAGCCATCGGTTTGAAACGACTCCCTCATCAGCCGGGGATACTCATCAACCAGGGCGGCATTGCTGAGAACCGCAAAGACCTGGCAGTGCTGGGAGTACGCGCCCCCTTGGTCGGTGGTTGAGTCGGTGAAGAATCTACCGTCGAAGCAGTGGCGTCGGGCCGCCTGGACGACAGATTGGGCACGGTTTTCGTACTCTTCAGCATGACCCGGCCGGCCTACATCGCGCACGAGACCGGCTGCACGACGCAGTGCATGCGCATATAGCAGGCTGAAAAAAGTATGGCGGTTTGTCTTGCGACCCGCCGTGGGAACCCCCTTGTCCGGATGCTCATCTGTCGCCCCCCATGCAGTTACCCAGTCGACGTACTGCCATACGTCCTCGGGCAAGCCGCTGACGAGGCCCAGAGAATCGATGTGAGAGTCGTAGAACTCGAAGATGCCGTCGATCCGCGGTAAGAATGATCTGGAGTACGCTTTGTCGCCAAAGTACAGGTGGTGATCGCACACCTGGAGAACCCAGTAGAGCGAGAAGCCGGCAATAACCTGTGGCACGTGGGACGGAAAACGCGATTGCGTCAAGCCTTCAGTCGTGACTGATGCGGCAAAGTTGGTGATGGCTTGTCTGGCTAGCCGGTCGTCGCCCGAGAGCAGGTAGTGGAATAGACAGACAGAGCGAGAATCTCCCGAATACCTACCTCTACTGTCAGAACGATGCAGTTCCGGGTAAGAAGGGGGATACGTATACGCACATGAGCTGTTCATAAAATGGGCAGTCGGAATACCCGTCAAACATACAGTTTCTCAGAGTCCGAATGGACACATCCCATACATCCTCGGTATACTTGTCCCGATCAGACTGCCAGCTGGCTTTGACGCCGAGCGGATAGTTGGTCTGAGCTGCGTCAAAGGACAGAATTTCGACATCTTGCGAACCAGTCGTAAACTCCCATCTCATGATGCGGAATGTTCGGAACCAGAAAGGCTCGTAAGTCACAGCCTGCGACGCTGGGAGCTCCAGGGAGACCTCATCAAACGGTCCGATGAGGTGACCAGTATCGGCATCCAGGCGATCATTCTTGGTGCGGAAAAACGGGTATGACCGGGGGTTCGCCTCATAGCCTTCCGAGTATGTTATCTTGAAGCTGATGCGGCTATCCTGCGTAGCCTTAAAGGACCACCGTAGAAAGGCTGTCGAGTGGACATCTGCTTGGACCTCGATCGTGTGCATCGAGTTGGATGCAAGACGCAGCGAACTGCTCCCATTTCCCGAGAGAAACGCACTCCATTCTTTCAAGGTGAGAGGACCCTGAGATTTACGAACAGTGGATACCGAAACAGGCGTCTCTTCCGGCATTGGGATCTCACGCGGGTGGAGACGCCAGGGTGGAAGCTCGCCGTTCAAAGTCTTGATGCTGTATGCATTTGGCGGCTCCGCAGCTTCTTGTTGCTTTTGCGACAGAGAAACGTGCTCGTTGATCTGGCATTGTCAAACCGGGAACTGTCTTGCACAGAGTAACTGTTATCTTACATGTAAGAACGCATCGTCAACAAGCCCCATGGGGAATGTGGTGGTGTTGTCAAGCTGTGCCAGCCAGCCGTCCTCGCTCGAATGAAGTGAAATAACCTGCGAGCCCGTGTCAACGGTCCCCACCACGGTCAAACCAGGAAACGTCGTCCTCTCGAATGGCATCCCACCCCGCGAACCCGAGAAGTACCGAATGACGACGAAGCTCATCAGATTGCGTCCCGGCTTGAGGTGCGACGCAATGTCGACAGTGTCATAGTACCAGATCAGAGGACTGCTCCGAGCTGGTCCTACGGCGACCCGAACACCATTGATCAGGAGCTTGTATCGCGTGTCGGCTGAGAAGTGCAGCAGGGCTCTTGCCGGCGACGCATCGAGGGTGATTTCTCGGGTGAAGGTGACGATGCGGGCGGCTGTGTTCTGAGCCGATGTGTCGACCCAGTTCCTCGGCCATACCCAGTTGGACTGAAGGGCGTTTATGATCTTTGAGAGACTGTCAGATGGTGTAAATTGGGAGGCCATCTTACGCAGATTAGTGGCCGTCTTACATGTTGCTCCCCTGAGGATGACATCTTGAATGGCGCCAGAGGATGACTTCTTTCAACTGCACAATGGCTTGGCATACGGGCGTGGAACTACACAGACCGGCCTCACCCAAGCTTTTACACCGAACTTCTCACAACTGCCTACGCGAGCTATTCGGGGCATTGGATGCCGAAATACATCACCCCGCACCGGAGTTCATGCCACATGTAGCACCGAACTCCATAGCGCATCCTGCATCCAAGTCACAGTCACGCCGGGCCGAGATGCCGATTTTGATGTAAGTGAATTTCACACCTTGACAAATGGTATTGCCACAACGTGGATTTACGTAGGAGTATATACAATGCTGACCTACCAATGATACGTGTGAATTCCCATACCTACAGAGTGACCAGCAGCGCCTCTGACGCACTCAGAGTAAACGTAGCCTCACCGGCAGATACAGTGACTGTCTCGCTCACGGCGTCACCTTGAATCTCGCAGGTGCCGTCTGCAAACGTTTGGCCGGCGACGGTGGGACTAGAGCCCTTGTCGACCCTCGACGTCGCGGAAGCAGCTGTGAGGCGCTTGGCCGTGACGCTGTCCGAGGTCAGGCCGGACAGGACAAATGTCTGAGAGGAGCGCGTGCCCGTGGTATAGTAGTCCGAATTATACAGGAGGACCCTGACGGGCGCTCCTCCCTTGTAGATGGCGTAGGCGGCGTAGCCGTCCGTCTGCCCGTCTAGGGGGGCAATCTGATCTGCGCCGGCGAGGGCGAGCGTGGCAAAGTACGCACCGTAGTAAGGTGCTCCCATACTGTAACGACCCCACCAGCAGTATTGGCCTAAGAGTGTCAGCGGTGATGCTGGATAGGAGAGGATACCGGATCAGCCTACAGTTTCCTATTGTTCCGTGGTGGAAGTAGAGAGACTGGATGCAGAGAGAGGTTAGCCAGCGGAGAGCACTCTGAGGCAGGGACGGTTACCTACATCAGTTCCCAGAACAAGCGCCTGCATCACGTAGTCTAGAAGCCAGAGGCCAGCACCGTACGTGGGACTGATGCCCCCACCACCTTGAGTAGCTTTGAATGTTTGTCAGCTTATCCAATCCATGTGACTATGAGGAGATGATATTACCAGAGTTTGTCTCTCCAAAGATATGCGGCTTCCCCTTTGCCTTGGCGGCGGAAATCTCATCTTCAAACCCACTGATCTGGCTGGCAATGTCGCTGTGTCCCATGAGCGTCTCGAGGTCCGCGGTCGACTGCGACTGTGGGTAGTTGTGCGAGCAGTAGTCCTTGACCAGGTCATTTGCGTCGCCCTCGACTCCCGTCAAGCCGACGATACTCATGGGGTCGGTACCAAAATAGACACCCGCCGAGATGAGACCTGTGGCGGACAGGTTACCGCTGACGGCGTCCTGCCATGCGACTTGGCTGGCGTAGTCGGCGTCAGCGGTGTATGAGCCGCTGTCAGCAATAGGGTCGTCATCGGTGTAGACTGGACGGTCAATAAGCGTCAGGATGATGTTGTTCTTCCGCTCTTCAGGGACGGATTCGTCAGTGGACGCTTACAGGTCGGCTCGTTACCCAGCTCAATGGCTTGTAGGTTAGTGATACTGTTCTTGGCCAGGATGGCGGCAGCGATAGTGTTGTCAATGTCGTTGAGACGGCGGTTGAGGCCGAGCGTCACCTTCCCCTCGTATGTCGCGGCGAGAGAGATGAAGGGTGGGCCGAAGGTGAGTGCGTCGGGAGCATCGGCCGGGTCGGAGACGGTGTAGGTGACTGCCTCTGTGGACGAAGCATCGTACGTTGCTCGATCTCTGCGTGCACACACGGTTTGACAGTGAGCTTCCTCCACCGACGGGACTGTCAATACGGAATGGATTGAAGGCTCACTGAGTGGTGCCTCCGATTCTGATCGGCGGCCAAGTCCCAGACACATCTTTCAGGTTCTGCAGACATTTGTTGGTCGAAGCCACGTCGTTCATGTAGGCTGGGAAGGCGAAGAATTCGAAACTGCAGAGCGTATGAGTAAAGATGAAGGAGAAGAATGAACTGCACACTTGTAGGGTGTTACTGGATCTTCTTACGAGACTCCCACCGGCGCATCTGATAGTTGTGCACTTGCGGTTGACGGTGGCGACGACGGTAAGTCAAAGGTCAACCCCGAGGCTTGTTGTCCCAGTAGACCGAAGGCAGACAGCAGAAGGAGAGCCATGTTCAGAGAGGGTGGCGGCCAAGTGCGCGATCAAGCTGCGACAGAATGTGAACTGACGAGGAACACATGTTCTCTAGGCGGCGGCAACTGGACTATTTATTTCAAAGAGACCCTCGACCCTTTGAATCATGCGCATACATGACCGTTGCAGTGATACCCGCAGTAACCCCTGCGCATCAAGAGTATCTTAATGAGTTTCTGCATCTCGTGTTTACTGAAACACAGACATTTCCACTCACCCTGTCCACATAAACACGCGCCCCTCTCGTATCTCTCTCGTATTGCTGCAAAGTCACATCATGCCCTGGTCTTGGGGGTAAATGACAGTTCGCGATACGAATGTACTTGCTGGATGTACTTGCTGGAGAGGACCGTTCGAAACCACCCCAGCAACCATGTTCGCCCACCGGGATAATATTGAGTGAGCTGAATTGCATGAAATGTTACGACGACAAACCCAGGGTGATTGGTGCGGTTCAGTCCCTTTGGGTATTGGACCAAGGCAGCTTCCGCACTGACAAGGGTCTGGACGGATCTATCAAGTGATCTGCCAAGTTATTCCCCAGACATTTCCACGTCCCCGCGGGGTAAGATCCAATAATGGTTAGTTAAATCGACTAGACTATGCCATAATCAGTTTCCCTCTCCCCCCCTCCCTCCCGTCTTGGGATGATAGCTTAGAGCTTGTGGTGAGGAATATGTCAGTACTTACTAGTAGTATATATGTATCTGCAATAGACCGTACGGCGTGCATGTGTATAAAATCAGTGCGTCTGTTCCTCTCCGCGATAGATCCCCCAAAGGAAGGAACCATAGCTTAACTCAGGAGAACACACTCAAGGCTACACCTAAGAATGCAGCAATCAAAGCCCACGACTGAGATTGTCGAGGACAGGAGCCCGGAGGTTCCAACACACACAGTCTCCAAAGGCAGCGATGGCCAAGTTCTGCGTTCCAGCATCGACAACTTGTCGGTATGGAAAAGTGTTGGTCGCTTCAAAAAGGTGGGCTTCATTGCCATGCTGGCCGCCTTTTCAGCATCCCTCGACGGCTACCGTAAGTATCATATACTCTTGGTCTTCGTAACGTCATCGCGGTGAACTCATGAGTTAGTACACGTGCTAACATTATTCATATCTGGCTCAGAAATCAACCTGAATGGCGGCATCGTCTCAAACAAGGGCTTCATCAGGCAGTTCGCCACGACCGGAACCACCATCATCGACGGGAAATACGTCTCCGCCTGGGGTGGCATCCAATCTGCCGGCCAAACCATCGGCCAAATTGTAACGACCAAACCCCTCCAAAAAAGCAATCGGATGATTTGAAGATGTACTGACTGTCATTTTCAAAGCTCCTGCAATATGCCACCGAGGGTTATGGCAGAAAGTCGGCCATGATGATCATCTGGGTTGTTCTCACGGCTGTAAGCTACGACTTTGCACCGTCATCCCAAGCTCAAAGTACAGTCTGGTATACTGACAGGCTGATTGCTAGAGCATCTTTGTAGAGACGTTTGCGAGTAACTGGAAACACTGGCTGGTCGCCAAGCTCCTTTCTGGAATGGGCGTCGGCATGCTGCAGTCCACCATACCACTCTACCTGTCGGAGATTTCGCCCACGCAGCTCAGGGGATTCTTCATCAACGCATACACATTGTGAATAGCCTCAAGGCCCCTGATGCCTTCTTGATGACCGAGGACTGACAGTGACCTTGTGTAGCTGGTTCGTCCTAGGACAGCTCTTCGCCTCAGTGGCCCTCAACAGACTCAACGCCAGCGACCCTTACGACTTCAAAGTAGCCATCTATACTCAATGGGGCATGATTGGCGTCATTCTAATCATATTCATCATCCTTCCCGAGTCACCCTGGTGGCTAGCTAGTAAGGGAAAGACAAAAAAAGCCTCCAAGGTGCTGCATCTGTGCTACTCAGACGTCGAGGGTTACGATGTGCCTCAGCAGATTGTAAGCTTTCTCCCTTAGCCGAAGCTTCAACAAATTCTCAACATCTAAAGGGATTAGAAAACAGAGAAGATGCTGACTCGCGACAGGGAATCATGACATCTACCGTTGCCATTGAGCGCGACCAGGCCGAGAGGGACTCAGAGGTGGGACACTGGGCCATCTTCCAAGGCCGAAACCTTCTCCGCACCATCATCTCGGGTTGGCCCAAGATTACGCAGCAGTTTGTTGGTCTGGCCGTCTTCAACACCTATGCTACGTATTTCTGTAAGTCGACGTACCTGTTAGCTTTTGAAGAATATAGCTCTTTGCTGAATGCTTTCTTGCTTATGGACAGTTCAATATGCCGGGAGCAAGGATCCGTTCCTGGTGACACTCATCCTGTCTTGTGTGCAGCTTGTTTCCATGATCCTGACGGCCACTCTGACTGACCAGTTTGGCCGACGCCCTCTTACCGTTTACCCGTATGCCGTGACGGTGGTGTCGGTCTTGTGTCTCGGTATCATCGGATGCTTTGACTACACCGCAAAGGCGACATCTTCACTTCTGGTAAGAGCAGGGCTTCCCCCCGTCTCTTTTTGCTTCATCGATATACTGCGAGCAATGGTGGATCATAATCAGTACTCACAGACTCTTCTTCGTATTAGATCTTCTTTGCGTGCTTGGCAACGTTTTCTACAACCGGTGCTTCAGCCATCGGATACGCATATGCAGCCGAGATTCCACAGCAGCGGCTTCGTGCACAGACAGCTGGTTGGTCCCTGGCTGTGTCCAACGCTGTGGCCATCATGTTTAGCTTCTGCACTCCTCTCATGATCAACGGCGGATCTACCAAATGGGGAGTGAAGACTGGGTTTTTGTGAGTAAACAAACCTCTTGACGTACTTTCCAAGATAAATTCTCCGGGAGCTAATATGAGCTCCTTGTTCGTCTAAAGCTTCGCAGGTGCCGGTACTGTCGCTGTAATCATCGCATGGTTCATCCTTCCGGAGGTGACCCGGAGAACCCCGGCCGAGATTGATGAAATGTATGGCCAACTCTGTTTTCCACCCAGAACCTGTCGCCCCCCATCTTCCTCCATCTTCTTCCATATCCCGGTAGATTCTAAACTGACAACTTCATATTACTAGGTTCGAGAAGAGGGTTAATCTCCGAAAGTTCGACAAGTATGTCACGGAGGCTGAAGTTCACTCCAATGAGCTTCAGGATACGAAACAAATGGAAGCATGAGGCTCTATCTGTGCTGCAGAGGGGACGTTTTACTACAGGGCCTGCAGCTTCGAATTGCAGCATAGACATGCAATGAAGACGACTGAAATTGGGCTGTCGTCCCATGCACCAGACACCTACCACCACAATGTGCCAGCACAGATTTAGCCGAGAGCCTCGTCCAATCTCTACAATAGCAGATGTAGAACTACAGCTGTCTTTATGCCTGCCAGACAGCTCCTTGCCGACAGCTCCTTGCCGACAGCTGTTGGCATGTGTGCATATGTTCATCAATCAATTGCATCACCTATAGTATTACCACCCTAAATTTCCATGCGAGACGGAATGCAGGATAACACGGAGATGGAAAGATGGGAAGGATGAAAGGATAGGAGAGATAACTTTTTCGCTGTCTCTCACGGCGAGGCACACTATCATCAAACCACGACGAGTGTTCTAAAGGCCAAGCAAGAAAGATGTGTGTGATTCTTCCCCCCCTAGGACTGAGGCTCTTTTTTCGCTCTATATGCTCTCATATCAGGCCGCAGGAGGCAGGACGATGTTCCTGCTGCGCAGGAGTTAGGCCTGCCATAGCCTTCCCTCCCTGGCAAAAGAAAAGAGAGGAGGTAAGGAAGCCCCGGGAAGAGGCTAACATAGATACACATAGAGAGTAGAACCTGAAAGATGAGCGTCAAGATGGACGAACCTCATAACTTTGCTTGTGTTCTAGATCCTATACATCGGGATACCCGTCACGGATGGATCCCGAGTCCGGCTCTTCCTGTTGACTTATGCGTATACACCCAGCTCGCTACCAAATGGCAGCCGCAACGTGACTTGAGTGCAGCGGGTGAGTGACAGAGACCCAGCCTTATCAAATGACGTAACGGAAACTTTCAAGCTCGCGATCCGTCTTATTGAGCAGACCCTGCATGCGCTCTTCCTCCTCTGTAAGCTGCGAAGGCGGGCCATACTTGGCGTCTCGACGTTTATTCTCCCAGATGTAGTATACGAGTAGGCAGAGCAAGAAGAATACTGCGAGGGCAAGGCCAGAAATGGCACCTTTGAGCCCAGTCTGCGATCCCATATGCATCTCGTGTCAGAAGTGTGTTTTCCCGAAAGTGATAGGGCAAGTTGAAGGTAGATCCGGGATGACTTACAGGATAGTCAGGCTCCTCAGAGGCAAGAAAGAATTGTGGCGCGACAATGTTTCCAGTACAGTAGGCGATAAAAAGCATGGAGCTGCAGACGCTGCGTTTCGTGAAACCAGCAATGTTGGAGGAGATGAGACTGAGGGCGAGAGGAAAGTTGACGCCAAAGACGGAGGCGAACGACAGTCCCACCAATCTACCGCTCTTGTTATCCTCGTCGAGCTTCCAGACGAGGATCATGCCCATCATGGAGATGGATGTGTTAATCATCATGAGGGTGATGCGCATGTTGGGCACGAAGCGGGCGACGGCGGCGGAGATGGGCAGGAATACAAGCTGGGCTGCACCCGAGGGCATTTGCAGCAGGAGGGATTCCAGAGGTGGGAATCCGAAACCGTTGACTAGAATTGCCGAGAACTGTGTTCTTCTTGTCAGTACACGAATACGACGTTGAAATCGATCGGCCACACGAGATGAATGGGCTCAATTGTACGTACGCTGGTGATCCCCCCATTGCAAAGGTTGCTGCAAAACTGGTACAGAACCAGCAGCCAGATCTGCGGGTCCAGAAGGGCCATCCGAACCTGATACCACCGGAACTCATTCTCATCGAGAATACCCGTCTTGTTCTTGAGGGTGCGCTGCACGGCGACGGAGCGCTCCGTCTCTGTGAGAAAGATGGCTTTCCGGGGCGAGTCGGGAAGGAGGACGGCGAGCAAGATGCCTAGGCCGGAGGTGATGGCGCCCAGAACCAGGAAGAGGAGCTGCCAGCTCTTTACGTGGCTGTTGCTGATGTTTCCTATGCCCCAGGCGACGAGACCACCGATTGTCACGGAGATGGAGTTGCCCAGGAACCAGGCGGATTGGCTGATGCCAGTCAGGTTATTGTTGAATATCGGAACGGGGACAGTGATACACACCGAGCTGGTTGCTCCTCGCGCTTATAGAACATTCCGACGATGAGCGAGAACCCAGGTGCTATGGCGGCTTCGCCGACTCCGAGGAAGAATCGGGCTACCATTAGGGTGGTGAAGTTCTTGGTGGCGGCGTGGGACATCATGATGACTCCCCATATCATTCTTGACTCTCATCAGTATCATGTAGGAAGAACGAGGCATGGGACAATGGGTAGTAGAGAGGTGGGAAAGGCGTACACGGCGACAGTTAGGTACTTGCCGATTGGTAGGCGGACAGCTAGGTAGGAGCTGATGGGACTCCAGACGAGGTAGCCAAAGTAGAATATGGCTGAGGTCCAGCTATACTGCTGGCCTTGAAGATTCTGACATCAAGGTCAGTTCTGGCCGGGGCTGGTCGGGGTTTGAGCATGTTGAATATGGATGCACTCACCAGGTCTTGTCGGAGGTTGAACAAGGTGGCTTGACTTAGTGCCAACTTGTCCATGTACTGCATCATATAGACGACACCCATGAGGGGAAGCATGCTATCTTCACGGTTAGAAGGCTTTTCTAGGGGATATCTGGAGACGGACTGCTCATTATTCCAGCAACATACATCATGTCCAACTTCAAGACAACCCTCTTCTCCAGGGCGGGGGTCGACTCGACAGCCAACATTTCCCCCAGGGCGACATCCTGGACGGCACGGAGCCGAGTCTCGTCTTTGATGCTGTCATTCTCCTTTCCCGACACGACGGACTCGTGGGGATTATTGTCCTCCTTCCCCATGATGGGATGATGTCTGTTTTCAAGAGGTCAGAAACAATATCGTATGCGCAAGTAAGTGACAGATAGAATCGGGACAAGCAGCCTTGATTGTGGTCGACAATCGAACCTTCGAGGGCTAGACGATAGACAGCTATAGGGACGGCCGTGTGTTTAAATGCCGTACGTACTTGCTCTTTCTTATCATCTAATGCCGGGCTTCTTATCACTGTCCGACGAACATCAGTGGGCGGTTGCGGAGCATGGCAGTTGGTCTTGGTAGGCAAGCATGCCAAGATAAGACACGGAAATGGTCGGCATTTGCGCGTGTGATTGATAGCGGCAAGGTGTTAGTCGTCACCGGTTGACGTGCATATGTCGTACGAATCTGTACATCTCCGCCCTCGCGCGGGGTTGGGGTCTCGGATGTACTCGTACATGACGATAAGGCGTCTGAACTTGCAGGAAAGGAGCAACGTTTTCATTTGATAAAGTCGGTCTAAGCCAGTAACGTGGAAAAGCGCGCTCGGCAAATACTCTACGCCGATGGTAGGGTGTCATCACTCTAAATGGATAGGTTCGTCCATGGCTACCGTCCATGATGTAGGAAAGCGTCTAATCAATCCTTGCGGTCACTTGTAACAGCTTGATAGTATTCTCGACTGATCGAGAGGGTCAGACATGCGGGGACACTGGATGTGAATAATTCCCCCGCCGCTGTAACTAGAAATCATATCCATCATTTCTCCGGTATCAATGTAATGACCCCTCCTTGCTACCCTTGCTACCTGTACCAAGCAGTAAGTAGCATAGCACCCAGGATTATCGAATCCTGGATCTATATCCGGTTATCATGGCACGGAGAGGAGCATCTGCCGGTAGGGTTCCCGTCATAGTACATCAATGGCCAGAGCCACTAATGATGAATCGAAGAATTCGCCAAGAAAGTAGAAGGTCCTAGCGCCAACATGTACAAGGGTATCACGGACCATGACAATCAACTCCTTCCGTCCTAGCTCGATCCTCTCCATCTTCAGCCCTCCGGCACACCCCGCCCTGACTTCTGCTACGGTCATCTTATTCCTGTATTGACTCTAGCCGACGGCAAGCACCTTCTACTTCTTGTTTCCGTCATGACGCGGATTGTCTTTCCCATCAGCGACAATGAGCTGAGAGCCGCCGTCGATGCGACGTTGGCTGCTGCCCATGCCAGTCTCCGTGCCCTCAACAGGCAGGTAAGTACGGACACTATACACCTCATAGTCAGTCGCCCACCCATCGCCTCACTGACATTCTCTCCTATCGAAAAAGGTTTGGTCGAATCCAGAAACGGGCTTTCAGGAGCACAAGGCCCACGATGCCATCTGTGACTTTCTCGAAGCCCAAGGGTTCAGCGTGACACGGCATGCGTACGGTATCGAGACGTCGTTTGAGGCCATCAGCGGCTCAAACGGTCGTCTGGTCAGTTTCAACGCCGAGTACGATGCCCTCCCTGGAATAGGTCACGCCTGTGGGCACAACCTCATCACCACAAGCAGCACCGCCGCTTTTATCGCCTTGTCGGCTCTTCTTAAAAAGTATCGAGTTCCTGGACGTGCCCAGCTGCTCGGTACGCCGGCAGAAGAGGGCGGCGGCGGCAAGGTGCGCCTGATTGAAGCGGGGGCCTATGGCCCAGTTGACGTCATGCTCATGGCGTAGGTCATCAACATACATAATACCCGTCCTGTTTACGGTCGCCGACTGACCTTCGATACACGATGCAGCCATGCCGGCTCCAACGATATACTCGGCAATGTTAAAACAGACGGAGTGGCTGGCGTCCGCGTCGACGCCACTAAGCAAATCGAGGTCGAATATACTGGCAAGAGTGCCCATGCAGGCGGTAATCCCTGGGATGGGATCAACGCCCTCGACGCTCTCGTGGCCTCGTACAACAACATTTCGATACTGCGTCAGCAGATAAAACCCGACGAACGGATTCACTGCGCCTTTCTTGAAACGCCCAAAGTGACCAACATCATCCCATCCTTTACCAGGGCCAACTGGCAGATTCGCAGCCCCACTCTTGACGAGCTCGAAGTTCTGGTGGCCAGGGCGCGCAGGTGTATCGAGGCCGGTGCGCTGGCTACAGGATGCGGTGTGAAGTTGAAAGAGCAAGTGTTGCCCATCTCTGACCGGTTCTGAATATACTGATGCAGCCAAGCTGACTCTGCATATCTAGAGGTGAACTCTACACGGACATCCGGATCAATGAGATGCTCTGCGAGCGATATCAGCTACATATGCAAGAGTACGATCGAAATGTTATCAAGAGCATACACGACAAGGTCATGACAGCTTCCACGGATGCCGGTATGTCCCCGCAGACTGTTTTTGTCCCAGCTTTGAGAAGGTGACGCTGATGATGGGCACTGCATTCCTTGATATACAGGAAATGTGAGCTACGTTGTTCCCACGCTCCATACCATGTTTTCCATCGGGGCCCCCGACGGCGTGTTCCCGCACGAGCCGAGGTTCCAAGCTGCCGCCGGGACAGACAAGGCTCACAACGAGGCCGTAATAGTCGGCGCGTCGCTTGCGCTTGTTGGATGGGATATGCTCACGGATGATAATCTATTCAACATTGTCAAGAAGGAGTGGGATGAAGACATCATCAACAGGGGCATGTACACCCAGACATACCTTGGCTGCACATGAACGAGTGGCCACGCACGCCATTGACGTTGCCGATAGACTCGATGGGATGATTCGTAATCGTATATCTAACTGGAAACATTTCATCGGGTTGATTGCACGGTAATGATATCCGGCTTAGTTCTTTTCTGACATTGTCGCGGGTGTATAAAGTGATCTGTGACGCAACTGCACTTCCATTTCGGCAGTATCTCCCTTCTTGATTATACCCAGGATAGATGATCTTAGCTGCCCGCTCCATTGTCCATATGAAAACGGACTAGTAAACAGAGTCGGGGTTTTATCAGTCTCAATCGACTCCAGTGTCACCACCACTGTAATACCCTAAACCCATGCTCGCACTGACCCTATTAGGGTTTGTACGGTACCCTAACCAAACGTGTCAATCATCGCGTAGGATACCCTAGCGACTCTTCGAATTACCCGGCGATGAATTTCAAGCACGAGGGATTATATTTCTTTCTTCATCAGAAAAAATTCTCCCCTGATTTACGTATTCTCGGACATATGGGGTAAATCGACAACTATTATCCCCACACTCTACCTTTGCAGGTCAAGTTTAGGACGGTGGACTCATACGCTTAGGGTATATCACTGCTGACATGGAAACCTGAGCATATAATCCGGTCATGTAGCTCACAGCCACATGTGATCAAGACTATGATTGCAAAACGTTGTTCTTATGACTGGAGGTCAATCACAGCCGTTCCATGTTGAAGCATTCCATAAGTGTATATTCGTGTCGCACGCAATGAAAACGCACATCTCGCGAGTATTTCGAATCGTCAGCGGGAGTGGTATACCTGATGGTCTCGTCGTACCGTCAAAATTCAAGCACAGTACAATGGCCGGTTGCTTCTGTAAAGAGATGGAAACGAAGGCGGGAAACGTCGGATGAATTCGTGCGTTGAGTGATGGTGGTTGACCACAGTTGGACGGGTAGCGTCGCACATGCACGTCTTCGTCCGAACAGCTTGGTTCGAGAGCTGGCGGTAGTAGCAAAGAGTATTTAGCTAGAGAGTTGGGTTGGCTATATAATAGGCAATCACAAAGGTTATAAAGCGATCTTTTATAGCGATCGACGCGATCGCTAGGTAATCAAGGTGATCGCAAGAGGCGATCGCTTAGGTTATTTAGTAATCGTACCGTTTAGTAATATGGTGTAAGTGAGTGCAGTAATGAGTAAGAGAAGCTTATAGGGTGCACGTGAAGGTCGCATGACGGGCCGTAACGTTTTTGCCCTGGCATCTCAAACCTGACTGTCTAGGCCTTGTCAGATGACAACCTCAAGCGAGGACCCCAGGGTCTGGACCCTCTATTCTCTATGATGGCGAAATACACCAGCGAAATGATTCTACGTGATGCACCATATATATCCTACCCCGGGCTATGATCTTGGGTCGTTGGAGATAGATCCGTCATCCGGGAACATCTTCAGATGATCGTTGCTGAGGCGGAAGTCGCTACGGAGCAAAACACCACATTCAATCTGCAAGTTGCGATTGGTTACGGTGGCCGTTCTGAGATTATCCAAGCCACGAGACTTGCCGTGGACTCTATGCCTAAAAGAGAGCAGCTATCCATGGAGGAAGCAATCGAGGGGCTCGCCGCGGCTGACGTCTCTGGTCGGATGTACTCAGCACGTCTGGGTATGCCCCCCTATTGAGGCAATTATTCGCACAAGTAGAGAAATAGACCCGATGGGTTTGCGTTATGGGAGTCACCCCACGCCCGATTTGCGATAGTCAAGGAGATCGACGCTTCCAAGGGCTATTCTATATCTATCTAGACGGAACAGATGATTCGGGGCGTGCTCTTCACACCCACGCAGCTTATATCGAGATCCCGCCATTGCATTGAATGATCTGTATATCTGGTCATGAATGGCATATTCCACAACTTCTGCCGGTACGATTCGTTGTTCGGTAGAATTATCCATCTATTTTCCTTGTGGGTCTCTTCCTTGTTAGGTCTCTCGCTAGGAAGGCCATACTGATCGCTATGCCCAGTCCTGAAAGTCCGATACCCATATACCAAGCTGACCTGAATCCTTTCAGGAGAGCGGCAGGAGATGTACCTCCCGGGTTGATGTAGGCCTCGACAGTGCCAGCGAAACCCAGGCCCAGACTAATACTGTAATTCACCACGGTGGTGACGAGGCTGGCCGAGATGCCCTGTTCCTTCCGGCTGGTCGCGTTTGACAGGATCAATGTAGCAGCAGGGAAGGACATGTCCATGCCCCAGGGAATAATCACAACGCAGAAGAAGGACTGGAGCCAGTAGATCTGTCCGACGGGAGCAGTCATTATCAAGGCAGTCCCAGCAGTGAAGCAGGACAAGGCCAAGACCATGACAAGTCCTGCTCCAACCCTGTGCAGTATCCAGCCCGTAGTGAGCGAGGCTAGCGCCCCTGAAACCGCACAGGGGGATATCCACGCAGCCGTTAGAAGCGGCGAGGACCCGCGGAGCTGCTGGAAGAATTGCCAGATGTAAAATATCCAAATACCAAAGCAAGACCACCCGCAAGTGATACATCCAAGAACAAATAATACGTCGACAGAGAGTGCGTGGAAAGGGATCAGCGGGCGGCTGGATACCTTCAGCTCGATGTAGAAGAACACGGGGGCCACGGCGAGGCCTATTATCAACAGAACGTAGACGTACGGCACGTTCCATCCGACGACGGATGCTTGGTTCCAGGCAAAATTAATGAGGACGAGAGAGAGTACACCGGTCAGGCCTCCCAGCGGATCCAGCTCAGAGATGATCTGCTTTAGTGTCATACCGGCCACGGGCGTCCCGCTGTGTAATTCGGGGACGACGAACACGGTGAGGACGGCCATGCAGGCGAGAGCGATGGCGAAGGAATAGAACGTCCAGCTCCACCAGTTCGGGTCTCCGTAGACGAAGAGGCCAGCAAACAAGGCGCCTACCGTGGCGCCGCTCGGAGCACAGGCGCCAAAGAGAGAGAACACCATGGCTTTCCGTCGGCCGGGCGCGTATGTCGCACCGAGAATGGCAAGGGCATTTGGTAGCAGGATGGCAGGCCCGATACCCTGAAAGACGCGGGCAAATATGAACAGGACCTTGTTCGAGTAAGAGGCGACGCCGGCAACCATGGTCCAGATGGAAAACCATGAATATCCAATGATGAGCATCCTCTTATATCCGAAGACATCGCCGAAGCGGCCAAATATCAGGATAAAAGTTCCGACCGTCAAACTGTAGCCGGCGATGAGCCAGGCCAGTTCTCCGGTATTGACTATGTCAAAGGTATCGCCGATAGCATGGATAATGTTCAGGCAGTTACCCAGAGCAGCCTGGGTCGTGAACTGGGCCATGCAGATAAGAGAGACAAAGATGATTTCATGGCCGATGGAGAAGGACTCTGCGATCGAAACTTTGGATGCAGAGCGCACCAGTTCATTTTCAACCCTCGATGAACGTCGCGCATCATTTTCGACGTATTCACCATGCGACGAAGAGTGGTTTCTCCCCTCTCCTCCTATCAATGGTCAGATTGAACATCGACATCGTGACAATCAAGGGGAGGGAGGGGGAGGGGGGGCAACCCACTGTTTTCGACAGTCATCGTATGGTCCCTGCTTGAGTACACGGAAAAGAGTTATTTTCTGTTGTTTCAGCGAATGGGCAGGTCATTGGGACATGGTTTCTTTCATCGAAGTTAGGTTGTATGTCGCTCACCATGTCCCCTCGGCCGAGTGCGGCGTGAATTCGAAAACGTGAATGCATTCTGTATTGAAGGGATGACGCAACTACTTGTACATATTAACTGTTGATGGCCTGAGGCCATGTCAGACGTAGCAGCGGAACAATGTCGGTAAAACGCACGTCGATGATTTGGACTGGGAAATAGTGATTGTATCCTCTTGGTGACGAAATGTCTTGTAGGGTCACCGCCGCCCCACACCGCATACGATATATATCAAATACAAAGACAACATATTAATAATCCCTATATAAATAGCTTTATAACATATTTCAACGCATACATAGTGTCATACTTTTACTGTCTTTCCTTCTACTTTCCTTCTACCTCTTTCAGACAGCCATAGCTACATCCGACTATGATAACTGTTATTGTCATAGTAAATCAGTTCATAGCTTAGGTAAGCGGGACAAGACCACAAAACCCGTCGCGTACGGCACCACAACAAGAATGCAGGACAAGAACCTTAACGCCACTAAACACCTAACCTACTATTTGAATGTAAGTTAGAAGTGTTTGTGGTGTCTGCTCTCAGAGAGACCTTGTGTTGTCCAACTATATATAAATACCTTCTCACCGTTCACAATCCCCGCCGTTCCTCTTACACGGTCTTGCTCATGTGTCGATCCTGACGTCTATACCGTCAGATTCGACCCCGTCCTTGCCAAAACAGACACAGGGACAGCTCTGCCTTCCCGCCCACCAAAACGGCGGAAGAGTATGGCAGGCATGGCCTTTGGACATTCAGAAGATAGAGCTCTGGACCACAAGGAACGCGAACCAGTCAGATGAGAGCGACCATGGAGGCGCCGGGAGTGGATCATGGAGCGGATGGAAGGTTCGAGGGTGGATTCCCTGCCTGAAACTTGGCATCCGAGTTGGAAAAACTACTCCGCAGTGTAGAAGCTGATGTGAAGAAGAAAATAATACATGTGATATACCATAACCTTGATCCCGCGCGCCAAGCAAATGCAAGCTATCCGGGTGCTGTGGGTCAAATGGTGGTGCATTACGACGTACTCGTACTCGTAGGCCCACATCGAAACCGGAAAGCTCATAAGGTCCAGGGACCAGGGAGAAAAGAGAGACGAGAAAGGCTTGAGGATCTATTGGTCGATCGATCAGCCACCAGTCGTCGTATCCTCACTTATGCATATAGCATACTAGTGATATATATTGTGATGTGCCCGCATGCTCATCGCGACAACCAGACCCCATACATCCTAATCAAACGGCCTCGGGATTCGAGATGAGAAGATTGCATAGCATGGCATGTGTAGCAACTCATCTGCTAGCCCCGTAGAACTCCGCGCGAACATTACAAGATATGTATTTTCAAACGCAAGTGGCACACTCTGACCCTCTCGCTCCACTTACTACTCTACAGGTAGTACGAGCAGGTCAGGGGCGCTGTCGTTCTGCTTTATTGTACAGGTAGTCCCGTTCTGGGACTTGGCAATAAGCAAAGGTATTAGAACAACATGTAGAACAATATGCAGACTATCGATGCACGATTATGGGAACGTAGACCTGTACGTACATATTGCCGACATTGGATGCATTACAGCTTACGCCAGTCTCGCACATGTATGGCGGAGGCCACTTAGTCTAAGGATAAGGGAAAGATGGTAATCATTCATCATACCGGCGACTGAGAACACTCTATCGTAGCCGAGTTCTTGTTTCGTAAACTGACGTGACAGTAGAGCACGTAATAAGATCCTCGAAACAGAACCCGAACTCCCGCGAACGTACATGTATATATGCTACTCCGTACGGGTTTCCTGGAATAGATACTCAATTTGCCGTTCTTCCACCTCGAACATAGATACCGCCTCACAAACATTAACACCACATATCTATACCGCCTCAGGGCACATGCTATCACAGCACAACACATCGACAGACGAGTACCTAGCTCTCTCACCTCACATCCCTAAAGCCATGTCGTTGGCCAGCACGACCGAGCAATATGCCTCTACTCTGCAGGAGGTAAATAGACCAAGCCTCCCCGTATACCTGTATCGTCCGACAGTCAAACTGACCTGCTCTTCTCCTTCGTTCGTGTAGAAGAATGGCTCTGTTCACGTAGCGACCAAAGCCCTGTCGAGCCCTTGGCGCCCATTGTCGCTCATATATAGCATGTGGCTGTTTACCGAGAGTGACTTCTTCACACTCGTCATCCCCATGTCGCTCTTTGGAATATCTGCCGCTCTATCCGGGACACTCCTCTCGCCCGGTAGCGACAACACAGCCACGGACGTCCTTTCGCGCGTGCCATATGTTGTTCTGTCGAGCTGGATGCATCTGCTCGTCTTCGACCTGGCAAACCAGCGGACAGTGGAGGCGGCGGTGGAGGATGGGCTGAACAAGCCGTGGCGACCAGTCCCGGCCGGGCGTATGACGCCGACCCAGGCACGACGTCTACTCCTCGCCGCCTTGCCCTGCGTCGTTATCGGCAATCACTTGCTTGGGACCGGCGTCGAGGCACTGGTCCTCGTGAGCCTAACATACATGTACAACGACCTACGTGGCGGTGAAGATCACTTTGTCATCCGGAACGCCCTCATCAGCGTTGCGTTTGGAGTCTACCATCTGGGCGCCATGCGCATCGCCACCGGGAACATAGATCTCCCCATCATGCTCACTGAGGACGCCACGGCGTGGCTATGTCTCATCAGCGCCGTCATCTTGACAACCATGCACGTGCAGGACATGAAGGACGTCGCTGGAGACCGAATGCGCGGCCGACACTCGGCACCCATCATCCTTGGGGACTCCGTCACTCGATGGTCCATTGCCGTCCCGGTGGCCATATGGTCTTTTGTGTGCCCCGCGTATTGGAGCGTGTCCGTCCCGTATTATTCTCTATCTGTCGGACTTGGAGCTGTCGTCTGTACCAGGCTTCTCTTGATCAGGAACACGGAAGGTGACAAGGCGACGTGGCAGATATGGTCAGCGTGGACAGCTGGACTGTACCTCTTGCCAGTGTTTAAGGATCACTCTCTTTTGCTATAGAACTGGGAAGGGGGGGAGGCGTGAGGTGTCCGATCCAGATGGACGCTACCAATTTCGCCAAGTCATAATAGTACTTACATGGTAGTGGATGTTCTTTCACCTAGTAATAGTTGGTACCAATACTTACTTAGCCATCCAATCTACCACTTGGAGACAATTTTTCCAGTATTTTATCGTTGGCCTGCCTCTTATCTCTCGTTCCGTATTTCCTTCACTCCCGTACCCGGGAGAACTGCGACGTGGAACTCCAAAGAAGGTGCACAATCACCATCGCGCTAGGGGTTATATCTGTCGTTTAGTCTATCCCGAGTCAGGCAGATATGTGATGACGCCCGGCTATGCGCATGATGCACGGCTGGGGAAGAGGGCACATTGCGGAGCTGTCCGGGCGAAAATTCAGAGACTGCCAGGTTGCGGATACGTCGTGCACAGACTCCATGCATATGGTGCATATGAGGAAAAAGAAAGTACAGCAAGACCAGGAAGCCGCAATGTGCGGACTACAGGAGACTCAACCTTACCTGTTCAAGACAACAGTGGCATTCAAGGCGAGCAGGCACCCATTCCACAAGCCGGTTTATCGAAAGTCGTGGCGTGGGACATGAGAGAAGTGACAATGTCGCCGACTAGTCCCGATAGTTGCCGTTGGCTTACACAAGCTGTCCCGAAACAGAACGGTTCTCTCCGACTATGTGCCCCCGGCCGTCCTATCGACACATCCAGGGCCGAAGCTATCGTGGCCCAGGTCGCAGGTTCGGGCGTCGCCGGTACACCTGATCAAACAATACATTATTTCACCGGCACAGACGCCCGTCTCTTCGTAGTTTGAGTCCATGTAGTCCAAGTCCAGGTCGTCGTCGCAGCTCTGCTCGGGGTTGATTACACTAGGATCGAAGGTGCGGTATGTTTCCTGATAGTACACGTGCAGCCATTGTCAAGGTAGGGGGCGTGTAGTTGTCGTGGGTATTGATAGTAGCTCACTTACACCAAGCCCAACTCGGATGGTTTCAGCTGCCAAGCGAGCGGGGCCAGCTGTGCAAAGAGCGCCCGGGAGACGTATCTCCGGATCTCATCAACACCGAAGTCCTTGTGGCTTGTCTCTAGCATATGGCCATTGGTCATAGCTGCCCTGAGAATATCATTGTTGTTCGAGGAGCCATTGAAGATTTGCTGGCTCATGGAAACGATCTCTCTGCTTGCCAGATGGCCACAACTGCTTTGAAATGAATGCTCTATTAGCGTGCACGTGTATCAATGGATGATTCAACACCAATAGTCCTCACTCATCATTGAGTTTGCTTGAGATATCGTTCTCCATGCTTAGAGAGCTATCACTGTAGCAGGGTCAGCATATGCGTTGTTGGCTCATGTGTCAAGGGACTTGTCAGAAGTAATAGAGAAAGTGATGAAGTCTTGCAGTCAAGAGACAGAAAAGATATTCAAGGTCAACTTTGGGGTCAAATTTTATTTTCATTCACCTCTGTCTTCTTTCTTCCAGTGGCTTCTCAGCTACCTCTTTATACTTGTTCTCGCATCTTGTCTCCAATGTCTTTATCTTGCTTGTGATAGATAATCTTTATACTTCCTTGGGCCTTGGCCGAATTTTTCTTGATGATCTCCTGATGTCATTCTTGGATGTGGCTTGATGTGGCTTGATATGACTTGGTGGCTTGACACGTCCCTAACTGTCCTTTGTCCTTTGTCAGCACTTGACATCATGGTACATGCATGAGCATACTCTTTGAGCGTATCCTTGGCAATAGTGGTGCTGTTGGTGACCATGGGGTGTACCCAGTCCTTGATGATACCGAGAAGGTCCTTATTGGGTTTATTCTTGAAGAGGGGGAACCGAATTGAGCGCTTGGGGTGTGCCAGCCAACGGTGACAGAATGCACACACATATATGAGCGCCACTCACCCGAATTTCACAAGGGAGATACCGTTAGGAAAAAACCTGGGCTGATGATGTCGAGGATAAGCTTGGCAGGGAAGTCATCTGACTTGATCGGCGCAAAGGTGCTCGTCAAAGTGCCAATATCCGCATCGATGTCGATTTGCGCTCTATCCATGGCGTCCCAATAGTTGAAATGAACCTACTCTGATATCAGCCGAGCTCTATCAGCCATTCAGGTTCTGAAAAGAAGGGGGAAGGTATTAGTTATTCCTGTAGAGATAATATACTTGGTAGACGCTTTCAAGTGAGTTGATGATGAGATAAGCTCCGGGATATGTCACATCGTCACACGTAAAACATGATATCCGCAAGGGCTGTCATTCTCAATGGTACCGCAGTCGATAAACCTGCTCTGTAAAGTTCAAGCCGCCAGGTGACGGGTTGCCCTCCCACTTGCTGACAACCCAATCCCAAGCCTCGCCTGAGAAGACAGAGTCCCAGCGGAACATTGGATCCTGAGAGGCATCCATTATTCCTAGGTTCTCACAAGTCACATGGGTGAAGTCGTCGCCAGCTGTGCTACCGCTGGTAGGGTGGCAAATGCCGTAGTCGCACTGCTGTCGTCGTCCATCGCTAACGCACATCCCACCGGTCGCCGTGTAAACTACGTTGCCGCTGGGAACCTTGACCGTGATCCTCTGGGCACCTTCATGCACGGTCCGCGTGGGTCCGGGAATATTACGAACGGGTAAGAGATAATGCGACAAATATCGACAGAAAGCCGACACCCGAACTTGATCACCGCCCTCTGTTCTGTTTCGGCACCGCGCTTGAAGGCGCAATGTTCAACACGAGCAAAAGCACTCATGACATTCCCCTCCTCTCATGTCCCTGGCCTTCAAGAGGACTGGTGCTAAGCCGACCTTGACTTGGGGTCCAGGGTACCTCTAAGTCGTGCCGTTAATATAGCCAGTCGAGCTTCTCCGAGGGTTCAACTTGAACCCTTCCAGGTTAACTTTTTCGGGTTATCTCAACTAGCGTTCGGGAGGTTAGGTCATGTCCTCAAACTGATCAGTTGAACTCATCTAGGGGTCACCAGATCAACTAAGAAACAAGGGGCGGCGGTAGGATCAGTATGTCAAACTGAAGTACTCCACTCAGATCCTCAGACCAGCAACGCAGTGTGGCTTATACCCACTTACTAGCCACATCACTTTAACGCGTCCCGTCGCGTCAACCAACCCGCGTATATACAATTATACATGTATACACACACTGTATTCAGGACTGACAGCTCCAACACTACAGCCTCACAACACTCCAACACAGGACATAGCTGCCGATCCGACCATGGGCTCGACATCACCGATCCCGCCACCCTGTGACACCATAGGCGGCACATACATCCCCCCGTCCGTCGACCGCCCCGCCATCCTCTCCGGCGCATCGCACACGCACTTCTCCCCGGTGCCGCCGTCCCTGCAACCCAACGACAGCCACCCTGAAGGCCGACCATGTTTCCTAGGAGTGGACGAGGCCGGTCGCGGCCCCGTCCTGGGCCCCATGGTATATGGGGTCTTCTACGTGCCGGAGGAGGACGAGGACTCCCTATTGCGCACCAAGTACCACTTTGACGACTCCAAGGTTCTCAAGGCCGATGTCCGATCGTCGCTGATGCGCACTCTCTGCGCCCCAGAGGCAGAAGGGGCGGCAGAAGGCACGGCGGACACGGACCTGAGGGACTCTTGCGGCTGGGCCACGGCCGCCCTCTCTGCCCGCGATATATCAGGCGGCATGCTCCGGCCCTCGTCGGCGGCGTACAACCTCAACTCGCAGGCCCTGGACGCGACGGTCGAGTTGATCCGCGGCGTGTATGCGCGCGGCGTCAACGTGAAGCACATCTACGTCGACACCGTGGGCCCCCCCGCCGCCCACCAGGCCCGTCTGCAGCGCTTCTTCCCCCAGGCACGCATCACTGTCACCAAGAAGGCCGACAGCTTGTTCCCCTGTGTCAGCGCCGCCTCCGTCTGCGCAAAGGTCACGCGTGACGCCGCCCTCGAGGTCCTACACCAGGCCGTCCACGCAGTCAGTCAGGTTGAGCACGGAGCTGGGCACGGAGCTGGGCACGGAGCCGACGACGTACCCATGGCTTGGGGGTCGGGTTACCCCTCTGATGCGCGGTGCGTATCGTGGCTGAAGTTGAATATGCACCCGTTCTTCGGGTGGGGCCCGGAGTGTCGCTTCAGCTGGGGCACCGCCCGCGACATGATCGAGTCTGCCAAGTCGGGGAGTAACACTGTCAAGGTCGACTGGCCGGTTGATGATGATGAGGACGAGCAGACAATCAGGATGACGGATTACTTTGCTGCGCCTGGTGCTAGCCCAAAGGACTCTGATGAGGATGGCGTAGGTGCCTGGTTTGGCACCTCGACCGGACTCGAGGCCTTCTGAGAAGGAGAACAGAAACAACAGGCATTTGATGGACATTTGATGGACATTTGGCGTTGGCGGTACTTTGATTCATTTATTCATATATTGTGTTCACGAGAGGTAGAAAGCAAGAATTTGTGATGATGCTTCTGGATTTATATTACGCGGTAACAAGAGTGTGAGGGTTTTCCTAGGAATGATGATAAACAAAACAAAAATAATGTATACCGTATAGAAAAACAAAAGCAACAAACTCACTTTTTTGCTCCCCGACCTAACCCTCCTCTTTTCTCTGAATAATTCTTCCCCCTTCTTTCTCTTCCCCCTTCTCTCTCTCGAAGCACGTTAAATCTCATCAATGTCTGCCGTGCTCTTGCTTTGCTTCTTCCCCCGGCTATCCAACGTGTCAAGGCTGATGCTGTCCGAGTCCTTGCTGGCCGGCACACCCATGGCCTGCCTCGCCGTGTCCGAGTTCATGATGTACTCCCTAAGTCTCTGCTTGCCAATGTCGACACCTTGCGTCATCGCTGCGTTGCCCATGTGCATCATGGGCCCGAGGAGGTTGAGTGTGTACGCCACGTACAGCCCACCAGCCAGCAGGGCCAACAAGATGAAGAGGAAGGGGTTCTTGAGGACTGTAGTCACAGAACACGATATAATGTCAGTATAAGTCTTGCACCTGAATGGGAAGGAAAGGTACGTGGGGATGGACGGTATGAGAAAGAATAGAAAAGTCGTACCTGCGAAAATCTCATTCCACCCAAACGCAAAGAGAAGCGCGTAAAAGTACCAGGGAATCTGTGCCACACCGCCAATGGCGCTCCGCTTGGCCTCGACGAACACGCCGTCGGCCATCTTCTTGAACCGGACCACCAGGTCCTGCCTCTTACTCTCACTGAGCACAGTCGTCTCCTCCTCCAGGCTCTTGCCTTCGTCCTCGTCCACACCGCCAATGGGCGTCATGTCCTCCTCGTCGTCGGCCTCGACTCCCGCCGGCTGAGGGCCGATGAAGCTGACCAGGTCGGGCGGCGCATACGTGGACGCCAACCTGAACCTCGACAGCAGCGGGATCAGCTTGAGCGTTGACTCACGGGCTTTGGTGTAGATGCCCTCAATGTCGTCGGTGGGGCGCCAGATGCGGGGGACGCCGGCCTCGTCGTACCGGAACTTGTCCTCAAAGTTTTCTCGCAGCTTCAGCAGTATGTTACCCTCCATGACCTCCTCGTCAATCTTTTCGCGCAGGGCCACCCAGCTCTTGCGACGCAGGCGCCACGTGCCCACCTCGACCTCGTCGTCGCTAGCGTCGAAGCTCTTGGCCCGGTCAACGAAGCGCGTCTCTGCCTCGGTAACGATGCCCGCAAACACCGTCCAGATGCGATCCCAGAGGTCCTTCTCCGTCGCCGGCCGTTCCTCTTCCTCGGGAGCGCCCGATCCGCCCCGGCCCGATCCCAGCTTGTTGAACTCAACGCCGATGGCATCGCCCAGCCTCGACTTTACCCAGCGCTCGACGCGCGTGGCAAGGCGCCGCATCTCCTCCTTGCGCAACTTGGCGCTGACCTCGTCGAGATCCTGCTCGAACAACAGATACTGCGACTTGAAGTTGGTCCAGGGAACGCCCTGCATGGCGAGGCTCTGGGCCTCGACCTTGAAGATGCCGAGCGCCTTGGTCTTCTCGCTGGCGACGATCTCGGCAAACTCGTATGCGCCACTTGCCTTCTGTCCTGTCTTGACCTTCTGAATGACGGCCTCGCTGAATGACGTGACACCGGCCTTGTGTGTGGCCGAGAGCTGACCCTGGTAGAGGGCCTTGAGGCGCGTGTCGACCTTGCCTTCGAGCTCCTGCTTCTTGCGCCCGTACACACCCTTGTGGTAACGGCTAGCCTGGATCTCAAAGGCCTTCAGGCAGCCGGAACGGGCCTTTGTTCCAGAGACGCCCAGGTCCTTGAGCACCGTGGGCTTTCCGAGGCGCTCGGCCTCGGCCTGCTGGTCCTCGAGGGGCAGGATGATGTTATCAAATGCGATGAGGACCTCGCGGGAGATCTCGTCGCATCGGAACTGGGCCAGAAGCTCCTGCTGGGTCGGTAGGTCGAGGTCTTTGTTGTTGACAATCTGGTCCCAGATGCCCTCGGCGTATACGGCAAGACCGTCGGCGGGGATCCTCCTGTGGTACTCAGGGAGGAAGACACCACCCTCGAACTCGTCCTCGCCACCCTGGCCATCGGCTGACTTTGTGCGGTGGCCGGCGATGAACCTCGATCCGAGGACCTGGACCTCGCTATCGAACTTGTCGGCCTGCAGGATCTTGTGGGGCAGGGCAGCGAAGCCGAAATCAAAGTAGTCCTCTATATGGGAGTTCTCGAGGCCCTGGGGCTTGGAAATGGAAGACCAGAGCTTGGTCAGGTCCTGGACCAGGGTGTGTCGAAGGTTAGCAAGGGGCGTGGTGCCGAGGTGATCGCGGATGACGAAGAAGAGGAGCGATCGAGGAGTAGACCTAAGGCGGGGGGTCAGTCAGTCAGCCATACATTAGGAGAGGTGGAGAACAGAGGAAAACACCTACTTCTTATCCTTGAGGAACAGCTGAAGGTTGACCTCAAAGACGGTCTTGAGCAGACCCATGTTGGCGCCCTGGTACAGGCCGACCTGGTGCTCCCAGATGTTGACGAGCAAGACCTCGCTGGTGGCGAGGGCGAAAAGGGCGCTCTTGCGTTCGAAGTCCTGGTCCTCCCCGCGCTCACGGCCGTCGGTACCCTCAACATCCATGACGAGGATGTTGTCGGCCACGCGGGTGCCACCACTCTGCTCGCGCTTGTTCTTGGACATCCAGATTCCCTTGGTGGTCTGCTGGCGCGCGGTCTCGGACATGACGGAGAATTCTGTACCGAACAGGGCGTTAAGGAGGGTGGATTTGCCCGTCGACTGGGAGCCGAAGACGGAGATGAGGTGGTAGTTAAAGCCTGCCTCGGCGACATGTTCGACGCTCAAGTACTTGTTGAGTTCATTGCTGCGTGCACATTGGTTACGCAATTACGGTAAGTATAATGTCGTATTTCAACCAGATGAACATACATATAATATATATGTATATGTATATCTGGGGTAAAGGGAGAGGGGAAGGGGAGAGGGTCAAAGGTACTTGAACTCTTTATCGCCGTCGACAACCTGAACTCCATGCTTGAAGTTAGTCTCGGCGGACTTGTCGCCCACGCCAGCCATGTGGCCATTCATGTCGGGCGGGACGATTATCGCAGGCGGGTGAAATAGTTGTATACGTAGGTAGCGTAGGGGGTGGAGTTTATATGAACAGCATCTAGGATAGCTCAGCAAGCAGCCCCGTAGTCATAGCCTTGGGGATTTCGAATCGGTCGTGGTTTGATCGTAGAGATAGGCGTGAGGAGAGGGAGGATAGGGAGATGGAGATGGAGAGAGAGAGATGAAAGGTCCCCCGGTCAGGAAAAAAAATAAGACGTTGACGTGTGACGGTAGGCAGACTAGAAATGGAGGCTTTGGTGTGTGTGGGTGGTGTGTTGTGCGTGCGTCTGTGGGTGGCCATATGATGCGGGCATGTGGCAGGTTCCTGTGTGGAAGAGAGGGGAGGTGACACCACTAGCCACCCAACCATTAGCCACCAGGGGTCGAGGGTGTGGCGCACGTGGCGGGAGCTCTAGGTAAGCTAATCTGTACAGATTATAGGGAATTAGGTGATATTTTTTTCCGCTCCCAAGTCATAGTACCTACATACAACAGTATTACTGCCAGCTGCGAGCAAGTAAGTCCAGTGGTATTCCTCATTATTCTAGTAACATTTCATTGGAAAGGTTATTATCCGATCATTGAACACTGTTAGAACCACATGTAGTGCTTCTTTCATCTGTTCACCTCACAAAGTTCGCAAGTCCTTCCACTGAAAACAGCTCTAAAAACAGCGGGGTGAGACATATCCCAAGTATGATGTATTCCCCCCTCTTCCCCCCCCACCAGCTCGGGGTCCACCGAGGGGTTAAAGGCCCAACATCAACTGCCAGTATTATCATCACCTCCATACACATCTAAACACTACAGTCAACTCTTCCCTCGTCCGGACAATCTTCTACTATCATCTGTTCTCCTCAAAGAAAGCAAAGCCCACCATGCTCATCCAAGAAACTCACCATGACGTCCCCGTCGTGGCCAACGGCAAGCAAAGCACCATGCGTATGTCCCCCTGTCCTCTCTTCAATCTCACCTTGCACTCATCTAACCATATCAAAACAGGCATCTTTGTCTTTCACCCCACCATCCCAGGCTACTCCAAGGCGTAGGCATCTTTTTTTTAATTACCATCTTTCCCAGGATTTCTGTTCTCTCAAGCTGTCCAAATCTCCCTAACATCCAACAGCAAATTCCCGGGAGTCTGCCTCTTCAGCGAGATCTACCAAGGTACTTATGTACATTACCATTATCATGAACATCTTCCTCACACGTACTAGTGACCGGTCCCGTCGCCCGTTTCGCCCGTCAAATCGCAGGACAGGGCTACATTGTCGCCGCTCCCTCATCGTATCACGATTTCACCGGACCGGAGGCCCTAAAGTACGATGCCGTCGACACGGACCGTGGTAACAATTACAAGATTGAAAAGGTCGTCTCTCCACCACATTCAGCCAGTATATAACGTCTGTACCGGTATACGTGAGCTAACATCCGTACAGACCCTCGAGTCCTACGATGCCGACTCCTACGCGACAGTCGACCTCCTCCTCTCCCTGCCGACGTGCACCGGCCTAATCGGCTCGACAGGGATGTGCCTGGGCGGCCACCTAGCCCTCCGGGCGACGCTGGATCCCCGCGTCTCCGCCTGCGTGAGCTACTTCGCCACGGACGTCCACTCGCGCACCCTGGGCCCCTACCCTGACGGGCCCAACACCTCTTCCGAGGCCCCGAACAACAGTAACCACACCCTCGATCTCCTGCCCCGCCTCACCGTCAAGTCCGAGGCCGGCCTCGCCTCCGAGGTGGCCATGATTTTCGGCATCAAGGATACTCACGTGCCCGATGCGGGACGCGACCTTATCCGCTCCAAGCTCCGTGCCGCCGGTGCCACCTTCAGCTTCTACGAGTTCGCCCACGCCCAGCACGCATTTATCCGTGACGAGCTGAGCAAGGGCCGGTACGACCCCGCCATCACAAAGGTGTGCTTCGAGGTCTTGCTCGAGTTGTTTGGCCGTGTGCTCAAGACTGATCTGGGTGTACCGGATGCGAATGTTCCCGAACTGGAACATGATTGCTAAGAACAACCCCCCCAACCCCCCCCCAACCCCCCTCTTCGTACTGGTATTCAAAATAGTCATGGAACCCCGGGGGGGTATACTTGTAGTGCAGTAAACACATCCAAGGAAAAATGAATTAAAAAAAAGTCGTCAATTGTCATGTGAAAGACTCGACGTATTGATGCTTCTAACCGGGAACCCTATCCAGACGGCATCTACGATGATTCAACCACCTCATTCAACATACAGGCGCAATGGCATGCTCTTTTGCACCCATGACCAATAACCGCAAAAACCCTCCAAAAAGAAGTACCCCTCGAAAGAAGAAAGACGGAATCGGGGGAGAGAAAAAGAAGGAGAACAGAGACGCTAACCGGTAGCTATCAACTCCTTGATCGAATAAGAAAATCGTACCAATTACATTGTAGGAAACAGCGACATAGAAACCCCCGCAGCCGACTACTGGCCACTGCGGTGGGAAGGATAAGGTCGCAGATTGGTAGAGTACTGCTGCTGACGTAGGGTGGGAGACGTGGGCGAGCGCACCTCCATCTGGGCCTCCTCATCCCAACCACGTTGGCTGATGCTAGGCGAGTTGGGAGCGCGGGAACCGTCGCGGTCAACGGCCGAGGCAGGCATGGTCTCTCCAGCCTTGCGTCGTCCGCGGGTACTGGCACGCTCCACGTTGGAGCGAGAGCCATCGACGGCGAGGCTACGCTGGCTCTGGAAGCTGCGGTGGCTACGCTGGGACGACATGCGACCCAGGTTGTCGGGCGGGGCCACACGGAGGGACCTGCTCTCGTCCCAGGTGCCGGCGGCACCCATCTCGCGGACGGGTGGGCGCTTGGTGATACCCTGGATGGCGGCGGCCTCGGCATCGCCCGACTTGGTCGCGGCGTCCTCGGGAAAGGGGACGAGGCGCTCCTCGTTGCGGACCTTGGCAGCTTTGTCACGGGCCATGGCCGCCCACTCATCCGTCACGGAGACCGAGTAGGTAGGATTCGCAGGTCCGCCGGCGGCATCGCCACCACCGCCGGGTCCGTAGATGGGTATCTTCTTCAGAGCCAGAGCCAGGGCACACATAAACTTGGAGCGGCGGCTAGCACGCACCATGGCATTGTGCCAGTTAGACTTGTGTAGGATCGAGATTTGCAACGTCAGCTTGTCCATGTTGCCGACGCTACCAACGCCGATGCTAAAGTCGGGCTTGAAGTCACGAGAGTTCTCGCGGTCGCGAACAAACTTCTCCATCTCCAGGCGCAGCAACTCAATGTCCTCAAAGGACGTGTCGAAGGATACGTCAATCTCGAAGCTCTCGTACATGGCCTTACTGCGCGACATGTTGTCGACCCAGAGGTTGTTGAGGACAATGTTGGGGACCTGGGACACCTGCTCCGTGTCGGATCGGGTAAAGATGGTGTAGAGGAGCGAGATACGCTGGACGACGAGTTCGACATCGCTGATGACGACACGGTCACCGACGTCGTAAGGGTGCTTGACAAAGAGGAAGATGCAGGATCCGAGGAACTCCTGGGTAGTGACGGCAAAGACAAAGGATAGAGAGAGCAGGGCGGTCCCGGCCGAAGCGAGGGTGGCGACGAAACTGCTCTGGAAGAAGGCGAGGAAGACGAAGATGATGATGAGAAGGACAACGAAGAGGAGGACCTTATCAAAGGCGGCGAGAGCCTGGCCGATATCCTTCATGCCCTCGCCGATCGCCTTGCGCTCCTTTCCAATCTCGATAACTTTACGAACCATCTCGTCGAGACTGATGTCGCCATTCTCATCGCCGTCGATGGCGGCAAAGGCCTCCTCAGCCTCCTTGCGGTGAGCAGGGCCAAGGACTTCGATGACGTCTTCGAGGTAGAGATCGTCGTTACCGTCAACTACAAACGACATCCAGATACGGCGGGCCAGGGCCTCGGACGACCTTAGGCGGTCGAGGGCCTCGAGGACAATGGAATGGGCCGAATTAGGGTTGAAGACGTGCTTGCCGGTGATTTCAGACGCAATGTTGCCAAAGGCCGATGTGACCTTGTCTCCAAGGCGGCCGAAATCGTTGATGAGCTTCATGGGGGTGGCGGTGCCGCTGCCGCCCTTCATGCCGCGGATCTTGAGCTCGATGCTGTCGTTGATGATGTGGTCCTCCTCGGCGAAGTCCGGGCAGTACATGGGGAAGAGGGTGCGGGAAGCATCGTAGAGCATTCCAAGGAGGCGGATCTCATGCTTGGACTCGCTGATGCGGTTGGCAAAAGAGCGCTGGTGGTACGAGACACCAATGACCTGGACAATGGCCTTCTCACCCAGGAAGACGGCCGACGAGACAAAGAGGGCGCCGAGGATGGTGTGGAGGGTGCGGGCCCACTCGACGTTGGAGGTGCTGGCGGAAAAGAGCTTCTTGAAGGTGATCCAGACAGCCAGGGCCCAGAAGAAGAGGGTGAGGGGCACCGACATGTTAGCAAGGACGGTGGCGTACTTGCGGGTGCCAGCACTGACAATACCCGAGAAGAACATGAAGGCGTTGGGCAAGGCCCAGGCGACGAGTTTGGCGGCCCAGACGGTAAGCCAGGTGACTTCGATCCAGAGCATGAGCTTGAAGAGGGGCGGGCCAACGACGAGGTCGTCGCCGCTGCCCTTGTTTCCGACGGGGATGTCATTCTTGTGACCGGTGGCGGCGAGGACGATGACGGGGATGGCGAGGATGACGGCGACGGGGACAATGTAGACGAGGTAGCGAGAGACGACGGAGAAGCTTATAACCTTCCTGTACAGACGGCCCATGAAGTTGAGGCGAGCAGGGCTGTCCGTGTTAGAGCCGAGGCCGGTGTCGCCCCGATCGAGGGTTTCCGTAGCCCTCCTTCTCCTGCCGCGGTGACCGAAGTGATGATGCTTCTTGTGCTCCTCCTCCTGCTGGAGGGCTGGATTCTTCTCAAAGTGGGACGAGTCGACGCTGGATGACTGAGCCATGGCGGCGCCGGATCGAGATGCGTTGCTTCGGACGTTTGTTAGGCGGATAGCCTCTTCTTCGCTGCCCATGTTGACGGCCTGGGGGTCGGAGAGTTGGACGAAGCCAGCGCTTTTGCGTGAGGGTAGGGAGCTCCTCTTGCCATGCATGGCAGAATGGGGACGGGGTGGCCCCTAAGATATTTAAAACGGGGACGACGTGTAACAAGGGCCTGCCGCCTGTGTAGACTTCTGGGTATTACGTGGTAGTGATTTTTTTTTTCGGGGTTTAAATAAAACGCAGAGACCCGGTGGAGATTTTGTGTGTTGGGTCTGTAAATCGTAGACTTCTTCTTGGCTGGAAAAGCCAGGGGGATCCAGTATTGGGATCCACGAGAAGAGTGCCGATCTGATGTCGACTGACGAAATGAGATGCAATTCGGGAAATGCACGAGAAGTGACGAGATGCGTGTGCACGGATTCCAGCTCCGACGATGGGCTTAACGAGAGAGAAGAAAGATGGAAGGAAAATGGGAGAAGGAGGTGAAGAACAGGGTGGAAATAAACTGAAACGAAAGGGGGGACTGGTTTGCTGCAGTGTTGACCAAAAGATGGAGGACAAAGAGTGAAGGCCTGAAGACCGGGGCTTGTAGTCAATTCTGTAACCGGTAATAATAGGGGAAGGAGCACGACAGTCGAAGACAGAAGGAAAGAGCCGATCTGCGGAGTGTGGTGGGGGCAGTTGGAATGAGTGAATGGATGGGATGGCTCACAGACACTAATGCAATGGTCTATGATCGATTATTCAACAAGCGAAAGCACGAGAGAAAGGAAAGAGGGAAAGGAAAGGGGGGGGAGGGGGGGGGGAAGTTGGTTTGGAAGATGTAAAGGAAAAGAAAAGTTCACGCGTCAGCGACGAGAATGAAGAAGTACTAATACGCTTCGTAGGACTAGTACGAGCAGTAATATAGTAAAAATTGCCAATAGTAAAGAAAGAAAAGGTTCTGCCATGAACCCTCTGGACAATGATCCATGGGGTTCGCCACATGCCAAGAGAATGAACACGAAAATCAGTTTGGGCAAGTTTGTCGTGAGCTCACCGAGCTGTGAGCGTCAAAGAAATGATCCCCCCAGAGCCAAGAATGACAGAGGGAAAGAAGAGGGAGGGGAGGAATTCACACGAGAGAAGTGGCTTGAATCCACCCCTCTTGCCCTTGTCCCTCGCACCTGCCCAGATCCACTTCGTAGTTGCACAGATCCACCATGGGCCACGTCTCAACGGTACGAGTGTGCCATATCGTTGTTGCGATTCTTCTGTAATGCTTGCCACTGCAACGTCGACGGATGAGCCGTCAACAGCCCTCTGATCCCTAGCCCTCTAGCGCTTACCCATACTGGACGGGGACTAGATGAGAAAGGGCGGAGTATCAGGCACATGCCGGGTATAAGCTGCTGCTAGTATCAGTCTGCATGCATTCATTGCCTCTACTGGTTCGAGGACTCATCAAAAGGGGTCCCCGATCTAGAAGGACCACATAGACGGGGAGAGCCTAGAGCACGACCGACTACACGTACGCGAAGCCCCTGTCTCACCAAGCGCTGCAAGCCCGCTGTAGCTCACAGGGGGGGTAAAGCCGTTGCTCAGGCCATTTGTTTCACCACCACCAGCCGTCGGCCGTTGTGGAGTCTTGGATTGGACGGAATTCGCCATGTGAGTAATATCATGTAATCTGTATACCTGAGATGCAGTCGACTGCCCTATTACGGCAGGCAGGTGATAGGCTCCATGAACAAGCGGATGATTGTACCTACGGAGTAGACGTAGCATTTTACCTACGAGGGGATGAACATTTCGGGTAACTGTCGTAGCCATTATTCTTACCTATACGACAATCTGTATCTACAAGTAGCACTCAATCCTGTCGAAATCGACCTTCCATAGAATTCAGCACTATGTTTACGCTTTCATAGTCTCAGTAGTTACAATAGAGGGCTGTTTATAATAGAGGACCAGAGAGTCACAATCAAGGGTTGAATTGGTATAGCAGACGGCTGTGTTCACAGAGCTCCACCAGGAAGAGCCCACAGGAATGTATGACTTTACCGATTGCTGTCAACAAAACACCGTACCTGTCCGTGTAGATAGCTTCCACTCGTGAAGTAGCTCCTTGAGCTACGTCTTGCATCCAGAGCCTGGCCTTCCTTGTTGTCCGTAGCAATATACCGATTCGTCCGACGTGTCCTTGTCCACCAGCAAGCATCCCGAAGCCCGCCCGCGACAGCAGGAGCGACGGGTCGAGAGTACAATGACACTGCTACTAAAGACGAACATGCTCGTAGCACCTCAAAGGTGCAATAGCATTATAGAGTTCCTGCATAAAATACTCAATCATGTTAGAGTATACAAACGGCCACTCTTGCGAGATTGTATCAGTTCAACGACCATAGTAAAAAGAAAAGAAAGATTATAATCGTACTGCTCCAACACCTAGTAGTCTATCTATCAAGAGGTGTGCTTAGCCCGTCAACGGGGGTTTTTCTTTTGCTGGTACTAGTGGCTATAGCTATATCCCGAAACGCTCCCTCCCCCCTTCCCCCACCCAAAGAAAAAAAATTGCAAATGCATTAGTATTCGTGGAGACACTGGAGAGATAGGTATTACGTAGGAAGAGAGAGAGAGAGAGAGAGAGAGATGCCGTCGTAGTTAATACAGGGGTCAAAGGCTTTTTTTAATGCGTACCTAGGATTATAATCATGATCATTCACCCCTGCTCTTTTCATGAGATGGACTGTCACATCGGCAGCCATGATAAATATGAGTGATGACTATGATAATACGAATTAATACTCCGTACTCCGTACAGATAACATGTACTCTGTATTGATATCATTTCCACGAAAATATATTACTACGTGTATCTGTACTCATACTAAACACGTTCTCCACATGAGCTACGCACACCGACACGTCAAGAAGAGAAAGATGGTGATAGCGCGTACTTTAGCAGTCACCACGGCGGGGAGGGGGGGGGGCGCGTGGGTGAGGGCTCCTTACAGCAGCACATAGCCACAAACTGCATCTTGGTCCTATCACAAATAGTCAGGCGACAGACTCGTTCAGTTTGTCACAACGTAATGCTGCGTGTAGTAGTAGATGCTCGTGTTATGTAAAGGACAGGTCGGACGGTGAAATACGAGTGAATCTCATCATCCTAGTTGATATCATACTCGTACGGAGCACTCCGTATTGATATTTGGTACTACTGTTAGTATTAGCAGTATTAGTAGGTCATTGCCGCTCCTCAGCTGAGAATGAGTCTCCCCCCCCCCCTTCGCCTTGACCCCTGCCTGTCCTAGGACTTTCATTTTCAAAAATCGGGTCTATAGCAAGTCCAAATCGCATAGGAGAAAGAAAGAAGAAGAAAACGTTTGACTTTCGAAAAAGTCGGCCGGTCGCCAGGAACCCGCGCGCTAACAGAGAGGCTGAAACTTGAAGGAAGTTGCGTACGAGTAATGCGAACTCCACAACCCCTTTCTTTTTTTGTCTCCCCTGCCTCCACTCGTAGTAATTCTACGCACGCATGTATGAAACAAGCATGAACTATCTTTCCACATCTCCATTATAAATCTCAACACTGTATATGCAAGCAAGGTATACACGTGTATGTAATACTGTCTATTGTTCGTCAGTTTTCATTTTTCATATATACAATGCGGCGATACGCCGCCCATCGTGAGTCATCTATACATCCATCATTCGTAAATAACAGATGGAAATCCTCCGTGTACTGTAATACGACGTAGGGAAGATATATAAAAAGGGGGCGGAAAACAGCAGATCTCATATTTTTCTCTAACTCCGTCGCTTGCAAAGAAAACATTTGAAAAAGAGATGGTCTAGAATAGAAGAAAGCACAGAGATTACGAGGAGTGAGAAGAGGGAAGAAGAAGAGTGGCAAGGGTTATCAAGCCCCGGGCTTCGAGACCCCGACAATATTCTTGAGCTCAATCCTCGACTTGTCATTGAGATGCTGGACATCGCCCACCCCGTCGTCAAACTCATCTATAGGGCCGGCATCGAGCTGGTAGAGCGGCTGCACCGTGGCTCTCTTGTCCAGGAGAGCGTACCTCTTGAGCCAGAAGGGCAGCGTCTGCGTGACCTGGTACCGCATGAAGACGTGGGTGGGCACGGCAAAGATGTAGTCGAGCTCCTCGAGGGTGCGCTGCTTGGTTTCGGGCATCCACAGGAATATGATGACCAGCCCGACGAGGTTGAGCCCCGCATAGAGGAAGAAGACGCCCATGGTGCCCAGGCGGGCGTGCATCAGCGGAAACGTCACCGACACCACGGCCGCACACCCCAGGCACGTCGCCACCGACCACGCCATGCCCACCTCCCTGTGCGACAGCGGAAAGACCTCAGCCGCATACGTGTAAGGGACTGGGCCCTCCCCGGGCGAGTAGAAGGCCGCGAAGAGGTATATGAAGAGGGTCACCATGCCCAGGTGCAGCGCACCCTTGCCCGGGATCGCTGTGCACAGCCCCGCCCCGAAGAGCGACCACGCCATCTGCGGGAAGGTGAACAGCAGGAGGGACCGCCGACCAAACGTGTCGATGGTCCAGAGGGCCGGAAAGGCGAAGAGGAAGTTGACCACGCCGAATCCCCACGACGCCAGCAGCGCCTCGAAATCCGTAGCACCCGAGTCCACAAACAGAGTGGTCGAGTAGAAGGCGATTATGTTGATGCCGCACATCTGCTGCGCAATCATGACGGTAAATGATGCCAGCGTCGCCCTCCTCACCCGCGGGATGGTGAAGAGCTCGACAAACTTGGTCACGTAGTTGCTCTTCTTGATGTACTGCCTCTCCAACTCCAGCTGCACGTGGATGTAGTACAGGTCGCGCCCGGCCTGCACCGCGTTGTTGCGCAGCCGCAGCAGCGACTTGAGCGCCGAGTCATACCGGTTCTTCTTCATGTACCACCGCGGCGACTCCGGGCAGAACCATATCAGCAGAGCCAGCGGCACGGCCGGAATCACGGCCGACCCTAGCTGGTACCGCCACGCCTCCGGGCCAATCATGGATACTGCCAGGTTGGCGCCCGTGCCTAAAAATATACCAAAGGCCGTCCACATCTGCCATCCCATGACGAGGGCGCCACGGATAGGGGCTGGCGAGTTTTCGGCTGCGAAGATGGGTACTAGCCATGCATGTAGTCAGTATTATCATCACCAATCATCGGAGAGTATTGGTTGGTTGGTCACTCACCCGTAGAGGCCTTGGTGCCCATGCCTAAGCCGATTATGAGTCGACATATGAACAGCTGAGGCCAGGTATTGCAGAAAGCACTCCCGATGACGGGCCACAGACAGAAATTGGCCGAAAAGAAGATTGTGCCCCTTCGTCCGATCATGTCGTTTATAGGGTCCGACAGCCAGCAGCCGAAAGCCGCGGTCCCGATGTACGGGCCCGCGTTGACGAGCCCGACGAGCATCTTGTCGCCAAACGAATCGCCATTGATGCCGAAGAACTGGGGGAAGCGGACTGTGGCACCGTTGGATCCCGTCTGGTCCCACCCCTGGACGCACGCGCCGATGGAGCAGGTGATGACAGTCAGGAGCAGCGTGTTCGTCGCGCGCCACTTATGCAGCACCTCATCACGCAATGCCTTGATCTCGGCTTCATCGAGGGCCTCGGGCCCCGTAATGTCCTCGTATCCGGTCGGGTCGCGGGCCACAAGGGCTCCCTTGCGTATTATCAGACGGTGCTGTTCTAGACCCTTTTCGTGGCAGAATTCGTCGACGGCCGAGAGGAGGGTCTCACGCGTGAGACCTGCCAGGGGGTTCTGGATGCTAATGCAGCGTGGTTTCGTCAGACAGAAGAAGGAAGGAAAGATAAGAGACAGGACTCCTGTTTGTTCCCAGGCAGAGCAGGCAGGCAGGTATGCAGGTAAACGTACCGAGCCTCGAAGTTGGCGTTGAGGTTCACACCGCTCCGGTCTTTAGCATGGTAGCCATTTTCAGGGGAGGAGGAGTCACGCCTAAGTAATATCATTCGTTAGCGATAGACGGAGGCAACGAGGTCGAGTCTGCGTGTCGCATACGATGCAGAGCCGCACGTACGCATGCAAGACATGGAACGGAGGGGGCAACATACCGCTGTCTGACCTCTTCAATATCGTCGTCTGGACGAGGCACCATCTCTAATAAGATGCTCGAAAGTGAAGAGAGGGGGGGAGGGGAGGAGAGAAAACAAAAAGAGAATTCGACAACAGCGACCGAGGGCACGACAGCCGACACGGGCGCCGTGGGCTCGGTTTTAAGGAGGCATTAATGGCGCTTTGGAGTGTCGCGAAAAAAAAAGAGAGAGAGAAGGAAAAGGAGAGCTTGCAGTGTTTCTCTCTGTTTGCTCCGTCGAGTAGTGAAAGGTTCCTAGGTGTTGCCAGTCGAGTTTGGGAGGGGGGAGCGCGGGGAAGACTGGAATATACGGGGTAAAAAGAGGGTAAAAGAAGAATGATGGAGAAAGAAAAGGCGGAGTCGGGATTGCTACTTTTTTTCCTCGAGAGATCAAAGGACAAAGATGTGGAGGGATGTGGGCCGTAGGGTGGGGAGGACGACACGGAGACGTCGGACAGAGCGGGCAAATTGACAATGGCAGCCGAGGACGACAGCAAGGTATGACTCGGGAGCAGCAGCCGCGGTAACGATAAGAGCGATGGGTGACTACTTTCGAGCCGATTCAAGTCCGTGAGGAGGAGAACAGAAGATGGACAGAGAGGCTGATTCAACTGATTCGATGCTCGTGAAGATGCCAGAGGCGAAGAGGGAAGAAGTTAACATTTTGTGGGCCCAGAGTCCATCTGCACATGTTGCCACTTTTGCCGTTCCCACGTGGAACACGAAAAGTAAATGACAAGAACGCACGTCGCGTCGTCTTCCTCGATAGATAGGGGTGTCCCTGATGGGGAGGAGGATTGTTGAACGAATTCATCATAGATCGCAGTCAGTTTGGCTGGTTATTTGTTGTCCCAACATTGGACAAGTTTCAGTCAGCGCTCGGGAGAATTCCTTGGACATATAGGGGGATGAGAAGAAATGATTCGGCTTTGCATCGTTCTTGTGAGAGTCATGACCTGTGGGTGGTGCGTGGAAGAAAGAAACGAGATAATTATACAGGAAAATAGTTTAGTAGAGATGAATTGGTTGGAGAAAGGGCGTTGTCACATTGTGTGCCGTTGGAGACAAAACGGGTCACGTGACTGTATTGTATGCAGCTACTCCCAGATTGTGCGGGACAACCGCATACTGTGCTTTTCTTCACTCTCTTGTTTACAGGCAGACCAAATGTGTTCAATCCTGGCGACAGGAATAGGAAAGTATTTCATCTAAACTACTTTTTGTCTCACACAAAGGCAGCTATATCCCATTGCTGTCAAGTTGTTCAACGATGGTGTCCACAATCTTATCAGATCATCAGATAAACCACGGAGCCTCCGCGGGGCTTAAAAAAAAAGCAACGAGTAAAAGCCCGACGGAACAATCCCCGGGGTCAGATCTCCGTCCACGGAGCTTCCGCGGGATATCGACTGGCAACAAACAGCATACAATGAAGAATGCCAGTTCCCGTTCGGACTTCCTCGGGTTAATAAAGATAAAGGGGGCATATTAACAGCCCAACGCCCTGCCGGGTTTACATACTCGTAAATGCGAGGCCAAGTACGGAGCACTGCCAGGGTAAGAAGGAAGTGGTCCTCTCACACGGGCTTGTACAAGTAAGACGGACGAATAGAGAGAGATAGATGACCCGATCCCCTGCCAGCATTCTGCTACGTAAATACATCGTGCGGGTGCGTACACTCTCTCGTACGAGGTAGATACTAGAGCTACAGCTCTTGCTCTTGCCCCTGCTCCTTTCTCCCATTCCAAGTATCTGTGCACATCTCACGACAGTCATGGGAAACCGAATCTCTAAAATCATCGTCCTCCTCCGGATCGTGGCCTACTCATTCGGCCATCTAGGCAGCCACATCCGCCGACAGTTCTGGCCAGTCAAGCTAGCGCCGTCATCGGAGTCGCCTCGTAACATTGTCATCATTGGCGCTTCATTCGCAGGGTACCACGCCGCGCGACTGCTGGCGTCGTCCCTGCCCGCCGACGGCAGCTGGAAGCTCGTCATCATCGAGCCCAACACCCATTACCAGTTCACCTGGACTCTCCCACGGTTCTGCGTCGTCTCCGATCACGAGGACAAAGCCTTCATCCCCTACGGCGGGTACCTCCCCGTTGCCGCGCGTGATCACGTCCGCTGGCTGCGCGGACGCGCCACAGGAATCAGCCGCACCGCCGTCTCTGTCTCCGAGGAGGGGCGTTCCACCATTACACATGTGCCCTACGAATACCTCGTCATCGCCACGGGCGCGGGCGTCGGTCTGCAGCTGCCGTCCCGCGTGGGCGCTACGGACAAAGAGACGGGATGTGAGCTCCTGAGGCAGATGCAGCGCCATATTCGCGACGCGAACAGACTGGTCGTCATTGGCGGGGGCGCCGCCGGCGTCGAGCTGGCCACTGACGCAAAGAGCATGTACCCGCACAAGACGGTCACGCTGGTCCACTCGAGACAGGCCGTCATGCACCGCTTCGGACCGGAACTGCAGGCCGCCGCCTTCAAGGGCCTGGAGGGCCTCGGTGTAGACGTCGTTCTGAATCAGCGCGCTGCGGGTCACGACGGATCCGCCGGCCCGGGATGTCTAACCCTGACGGATGGTCGGAAGATTGAGTACGACTTTTGTGTAAGACTGGCACTCTCCCTTCCACTTCTTTGTTCTTTCCTGTTACCTCTCTCTCTCTGTTCCTTCTTTCTTCTCTCTTCTGGTTACATACATATCTTACATGTAAACAGGTCAACTGTGGTGGGCAGAAGCCGGCGTCCCAGCTATTAAGCGACATCGCCCCCAATGTTATAAGCGAGTCGGGACACATACGTATTAAGCCGACGCTACAGGTCGACGACGAGTCGCTACCCAAGGTTTATGCGTGTGGCGATGTAGCCGAGACGAGCGTGAGAAACCCCAATAGCAGATCGGCCATGAGGCAGGCCGAGTATGCCGCCGACAATATCGTTCTGGCTGCGCTAGGGAGGCCACAGACCAACATTTACAAGATTAAATGGGCAGATGGGTTAACCAAGTTGACTCTTGGACTAGTGAGTTCTCCTCTGCTTTCTGCCTCTTGTGTCTTTCTCATTGCCTCCCGCTGTGCTTGTATGGTGTGTGTTGTGTCGGTGTGCGCCCGTTGTTAACCATGGGATTCGAATCAGTCCAAGTCCGTTATACACCTTTCAGATGACAAAGCAGAGCTGTTGATCGGCTCCGATGACAAAGATGAGACCTTGATGTCGGCCCAGATGTGGAAGCACATGGGCGCGAAGCCGTTTATAGACGACAATTGTACCAGGTAGCCTAGACAAGGGGAAGGATTTTGTTGTGCACTAAAGGTGGCACAGACAAGAGAAGAAGTGAAGGTGATGGCAATCAGCTCTATCTAGCCCTATTGTCATATATTTCCCGGGCTGTAGATCAGAAGTAGAGATATTCTTATTAGATTCATTGAGAATGGTGCAAGTAATAAGTGTTTCTTATCTCGACGGATAAAAGCAGAGATGTTATTATCGGATCTAACAGTGTGACGTTGGGGGTCAAGTCTGAGCTACAGGGTAGACAAAGGTGACATTTTTATGTTTGTGATACAGTTAGTATGTTGAACTGAGCAATGAAGCAGTCACAGTCGCAGGTGCTTGATATTTTGGGAGCTAGTTCAAATAGAAGCGTTGACTATTGTACCGATAGCTGATGTAGAAAAGAATGTCCTAGCTATATAAAATATACTAGGTGATAATTCTAGATGATCGCTCTGAATCATCGCTGAGGTTCGTGAGGTGATCGCAATGATCGCTATTGTGGGTTGAGCGATTGCAAGTGTTGGTTGTGAGTGAGTGTGTAGTGATGAATAAGAGAAAAATGTGGAGTGCAGTGAAGGTCGCATGACGGGTCGTAACAAACAGGAACTGTGTTTAAGTCTACACAAACGAGATCACAAGGATAAATTAAGTGTAGACAAATAAAATCGTAAGTCACGAATCATAGGTTCAGTGTAACCGGGTGGTGACACCGTAACGCTTCAGGTCACTCAAAGGTGGGATGTGTGCTATAAGGTGTTAAGTTCATATTAGTTTTATGTCGGACTCGAACTTTTTATGGTTGAGCTTGCATTACTTGATCTACCTCATTGTACTGTGCGTCTGATACTCCTTCCTAGCTAGGTCACCTCGTAACCCACACCTGGCGACGTGAGGCTATGTTCTTGACCTGAAACGGAAGGATATGCTTGATTGATGATGTGGTAGGAAGGTGAGGCTTCCTGTTATTATCTATCTATAGTGAGAATATGTGTGTCCGGCGGATCGTTCCGCCGGACCCGTATGTCACGGGACCCACAGTACTATGACGCTACCTCTTCTTATTGTACTATGAAGAAAAAAAATCACAGGAAATCCACAACAGGTCATTTGCGCAGAATGCCAGCTAAGTTACACAAGGTGTTCTCAACCAGCTTGGCAACCAGTCAGCCCATTTATATCCAGGAACTCGGACCGGAAAGCATGGTGGAAGTTATACAGATTCGCGTCAGGACCCATTTGGGAACTGTGCGAGAGTGGGGGGCTAAAGGATCCCGAAAGCGGTACATAAGTAGTCACTAACCCCGATTCCATCAAGGAAGGGGGTAACGGCCATTACACATACGTTTGCTACTAATGCCTTCACCACAATAACGCTTCTACCACATCCCTATACGCAGACCTTATCATTTATCTCGCTACCCCCTACCCAAATCAGACTCATTGTCTGACAATTTGACGTGCGCATCGTGATTGCCTGCTTGCGTACGTCATACACACCCTGGGTGACGCGTATTGTCCGGTATGAGAAGCATAGGATCGTTACCTAGTGTATGAAAGCGTGATTAGTTATATAAATACACACCCATATGCTATATTATAAACTGGGGAAAGGAATAGTACTGGTACACATATATCATCGTACTTACAAGGAGAAGGTTATGCTGCTTATACTCGCTCTTCGCTGCCTAATTGAGCGCTAGCCATAATACAGTGACCAGCTCGCCTGCTGTTACCGAATGATGTCGACGATTCCCCGCCCCTCTTCTTGCGGGTCAAGTCACACATCGTCTTCCTGACCCGGCTTCACAATGTCTTGGCTGGTGTTTTGAAAGAACCCCCATCTTGGCAAATAGAACGGTGACGACGCTCGGGGATAACGGCTCGAAGAAACCCTGGCTACCGTCCACGGATTGCTCCGTGGCAAAGTCAAGCGAGTCGACATGTATACTAGACTTGGCAAGTTTTTCGGAACTGGCGTAGGCGTCCGTGCAGCGAGTCCAAGGAACGAGGTAGCTTCTTCCCATAGACATGAATCTTGAAGCCAAGGCCTCGGCTACAGCAGGATAAGACAGCTTGTGACAATATTGCCGCAGTTGATGAAGTATTGTTTCCAGTCGTACATTAATTGCCGATGGCTATAGGGTCTATCGGTGCGGTGGTGAGTAGAAATATAGACTCTAGACGCACGAACGCCTCTCATGTGTATTGTGCGTGGGCTGGGTGCATTGAGCGGAAATCGAGACGAACGAAGCTACTGCTGATGGGCAATTGGTAGAAGCAGACGACAGCAAATCACGGGTAGGTGAAGACAGCAGGCTACGTAAAGAAAGTTGTCGCATATTATTTGTGCCCTTATAGAAACCATTTTGTTCACCTGTTCTTGGCCTTACCCGGTTAGCTCAATTGGCTAGAGCGTCAGACTTTTATTATTCGGCTTTGGATGATTCTAATCTGAAGGTTACGGGTTCGACCCCCGTACTGGGTGTTTCAGCGGCTTATTTTTTTTGTCTTTTCTTTTCGGTTATCCTTTTTATTTCTTCGGTCCTGACGACGTTGTTGGGTTTTTTCTTTTGCGGAGACGCTTGTTTTTTCAAATTTTGTCTGTCCAACTGTTGTATGATCGTATTACATACACATTGCATATATTACTAAAAGTAGTGCTCATAAGTAACATGGATAGCCCAAAAAAATACACTGAAAATCAAGGTAGGATATATAGGCCAATCAACCAAGATCATGAGAAGAATGTAAATAGCAAATAGATACCAATCATGCCACCTCATCCCACACGCCAGTCAGTTCAATAATGACATTAACTACCGTACTGACGGTCCAAATAGAAATCAAGGCCCATCCAATTCGGCGGCTCAAGATCCATTTGTTCATGGGCACGGCAATCACCAGTCCCACGAGTACCACGATCAATGTGGCAGCAGAGAGCATCAGTGTCCCACCCACGCGGATAGGATACGGCCCGTACTTGAGAGGCCTGTCAGGAAATTTCTTGTGGCTCTTGTTGGCGCCACGGACCATCATGAGCAAGCCACCGATGCCAATGCCCAATAGGATATTAAGCATGGGGCCACCGAAGCAGGCACATCTGTAATGGAGGAAAACATTAGTCGGAGTCGCTTTGAAAGAAAATAACGGTCTGCATTTCGATGAATCGAGACTTACAATGCCATAACGGGGTAGCCCAGTCGGGCAATGGTAATATCAGCTACCAAATCACCGACGCTGTTACCTGCTGCGAAGATGGTCAGTCCCAAGAGCGCCTCCGAAATGTTGAGCATGATGCCAAATGTCTTGAGCACGCCCACCACTTCCTCCGCAATCGTAGATATCCAGGCTATGCTGATAGCAAAACCCAGAAAGCAGAGGAAGTAGTGGTACTTGGGTTTAACATTCTCCGACGTAAACACCACCAGGAACGCCAGCAGAACCAATGACACCAGGAGACTGTACATGGCCATTTTGGCGAACGTCCTCCCGGGAGAGTCGAGGTCGTCGCGCATACCAGTCCATATGACAAAGACGGCAAATAACGGTCCCGTAAAGAGCTGTATGCATACCAGCCATCGGTTCCACGAAAGGGTCTCGTCGTTAGCATGGTCCATCGATGCCGTCCCAGAGCCTGGCTTCCCGTCCGCGGGGGTCAGTGGTCTTGCTCCCGCTACAGCGCGGCCGTTTTCATCAGCAACCAGAGTGCTCTCGTTCTCCAACGAGAGATGCAGTTGTCGCCCCTGGTAGCTGTTCCTCCGAGACATGGAATGTCTCTGGTAGCGCTGCCACTCCGTCTCAGTCTCGTCAGCTTCTGAGAGTGACAATATAGAGTGCCCCGACGTGTGCGGGTAGGCTGGATCGTGGAGGGCGGTGCCGACGAACGAGCCATCCTCGTCTGATGCGTCTGACTCGACCACCGGGAGCGTAATGGCCAGGAAAAAGATGCTCGGCATGGAAATAGTGCTGGCAAACTTGTCCCAAAACGTCTTCTCGCTCCACCCTTGCAGGGTTGGGAACAAGGCAGCATACATGACGTGCGGAGGGGGCAGTACTGAGTATGGCCACCACTTGACTGGCTTGGGATGTTGCACCACCATCTGTACGTCTGCAAATGGCATCTCGCGCTGTAGCGGCGTAGGGAGCATAAAATTCTGCTCCCCCAGTTGGGGCAGTGGTGTCAGAACGGCAGGCGAATCGGTATACATGGGGAATGGAGACGTAGGGGAGGACCCCACGCTATGGCTGCTGCGTCTGCTTGGGATCTGGAGATGTAGGCTTGGTATACCTGCCTCCGATCTTAGCGGGTTGTTTAGGGGGCTAAGGGAAGCATTGGCTGGAGGGGGCGCCAGATTACCGCCAACGATGTGGGAGGTGCTGGGACTCGGGCTCGGGCTTCTTCGACCACCATCTGCACGTGGGTGCTCTGCCGAGATAGGGCTTGGTGACTGCACAGCCAGCTCCGGGCCCGCGATCAGTTGGTTGGGGGCACTCCCGGAAGAGTGAGCTCTGGTCCGACCATCAGAGGGATTTTTGAGGACCGAGATGGTGTGGGGTGAATGCTGATCAGCCGTGAGCTGCGCAGGTGTCGTTGGGGTCGGTGATATGGCAGCTTGGAGATGGTCGGCAGAGAAGCTCCTGCCATGTGTAGCAAGAGGCGACATCTTGTGATTGCTCTCCCGCTGGAGCTGCGCCAGGGCCGACCGAAACTCGAGAGCACCCACCAGGCTGGGCCTTATGGGGTTGAGTGTGTTTCTCCGCCTTCCTCCAGTCCGTAGAACCCTCATGCTACTGGCAACTTCGGCCGCCACCATCCTCTCATGATCTTCTTCCGTTTCGTCATTTTGGTCGTCTTCAAGGGGTATGGATTGTCCCTCGACTTCTATTCTTGGCCCTTGCTCCAGTGCCGAGATCTCGGCCGAGTGGTGCTGAGCCTGCTCGTCATCCGGGTCATCTCGGTAGGGTTCCCCTGCCAATTCATCCATGGAGGCTCCTACGGATCCGTAAAAGTGGCTGCGAGCCTCACCCTCCCTCCGTTGCCGCTTCTTTCTCCTCGTACCAATCCAGTGCTGGCCGACAACGGTGGCAACATAAACAGCGTAATAGGCAACCATGGCGCAGCATTCCCACAGGTGCAGGTGTCCATCAGCCAGGAACACCATTGTGAAGGCGACGGCGACAATGAAGAAGAAAATGTCGCGGACATATGTCTTCTTATCTACCTGGAACTCGCGCACTAGGGCCATGGACCCAGCGACGACGGCGCTGATGAAGCTAGCAGCACCTATGAGCTCACCAACGGCCATGCTAGCACTGTTGGAGTTCATGGCGGCAAAGGTGCTGAAGACGTCGGGCGATCCATTTCCAAAGGCAAGAAATGTAACGCCGGCAAGGCTTTCGCTCAGTCCGAGAATGGAGGATATCGTCCCTAGATTGACGCTGAAAAAGTCGCTCGCGGCGATACCAATTGTGGTGAAGAGAAGCCCAAGCCAAGAAATGAGCAAGACAAAGCCAAAGACCTTGGCCTCGCCCAGCGTACAATAGTAGAGGGAGAGGTAGGGTATCAGTCCTGACTGGTTGTCGGAGCAGTATTCCTTGATAAAGGCGCACTGGTCTTGAGCTTTGTGAACCTGGTCGCATGTTGGCTGATGCTGCTCGCTTCGAGCTGTGAGAAGGCCAGGGGTGGCGTGGGTGTCGTCATATCCGCTGAGATAAGTGTGTGCGAGAAAAGAGTAGGCGGACAGGAGGGAGAGTAGTGATACAGCAGTGATGAATGGACGGGAGCTCGGTCGTCTCCCTGGTTTCTTGGTATTTCGACGCATCATGGCACTGCTCCTCTCGTGGGCACCATGCCACCAGGCACGTATTTGGTCAAGCTGTTAATTGTCGCAACGTCATAATCTGGTGGGCTGTCGGCGAGCCCGGTGCTGCTAATGGGGCATGAATCTGGTCCGAGACAGGAATGCGCGATTGATATGAAGCAGCATAGAGCTAAGAGCACATTGCGTTAACCAAGGGAGGCCTCTAAGAGGTTGTAAAGAATTGAAGAAACCAGTAATTCAGAATTAGGTGTCGATAGGACTCATGTGGTCATTGTGGGTTGGTGTCGACTGTGGCTAACTTCACCTTGCTGCGCCACAGATATCCCAGGTTTCGGGGTTTCATCAGGATGGACGACGTATTGGAAGGTGCCAACTTGCACTACACACCCCACCTTCCGTGCCAATTGTCCAGCTGCCCCACTTATAACGAGCACACGGGAAAGTCTAATACTGCAGGCGGAGCACCATACGAGTACAGCAACCACATGCAAAACAAGTCTTGGAGGATACAGGCAGTGTTACTATGGCCAGGTTGCAAGCAGCCTTGAGGGGCCATTACAGGCTACAGGCTACACGTACAGCGGGGTTTGCAAACCTGGAAGATTCCGTCCCCGGGCCCGGCCCCTAGGCGCCCCTCCCTCCCTCTGGCCGCTCCCTCGAGCCCCTGAGCACTCTAGGTTCTCGCTGTGGCTCCATTTGTAATTGTTTACTTTGCCACGACGCAACTCCATGACGACGCGCCCGCGGTCCAATGATACCAGCCCTACTAGTAGCAACACTGCAGCATCCTCCACCTCTTGCATCTTGACGACGCAAACACGGCACCAGAGAGGGGGCGTTTTTTTCTCTAACTTGGCAGACCCTTTTCGGCTTTGTTCTCTTTTACCAGAATGCCTCGGGTCGCTCAGGTTCCTCGTGCGAGTAACGCCAAACCGCCGGTTGGCTCGTCAGGCTCACCCTTTAAATCCTCGTCAACAAAGTGCGCCTACCCTCCTGTTGTGCGCCTACGTGCGTTTGTCAAATCTAACCGACTGACTGGGTCCACAACGCCCGCTGCAGAATTCCCTTGAACGATGATGCGCAAGAACGCGGGAAGCGCATGAACTCTAGGAAGGCGCTCCAAGAGAAACAGATCAACGAGATCAAGGCGGCGGCTTCATCGACGCCCCGCAAGAGCAGCGTCAGGCTGGACGACCTCGAGAATGCGTCCCCAGGGGGTCCGGGGACCCCGCGCGCATCACGTCTCGCGGGAGATGATGGCGAGGATACAGGCACTGTGGGCACACCCATGAAGCGCGTGCCCATCCTCGCCAACTTTGAGGAGTGGATGAAGATGGCCACGGACAACAAAATCAATGCCACCAACTCATGGAACTTTGCCCTTATCGACTACTTCCATGACATGTCCCTTCTTAAAGAGGGCGACAGCGTCAACTTCCAAAAGGCTAGCTGCACCCTCGACGGCTGCGTCAAGATCTACACCAATCGCATCGACAGTGTCGCCACCGAGACGGGCAAGCTCCTCAGCGGTCTCGCCGACAGCAACAGCAGCAAAAAGAAGGACCGCGGGGGTGACGAGGAAGGCGAAGACAGCGACGAGGAGCTCGATGAGGACGGGAATGTTAAGAAGAAAACCAAGAAGAAGGTAAGCACGCACCGTTCGCTACATGGCATTTACGAAAAAGCTGGTCAAGGAATGAAGGCAAGAAGGCTGACCACTCTTCCCTGTCTCAGTCTCACCGATCCGAAGCAACACTAGCGCCATCCTTCAACTCGTTGCAACTCAAGAAGTTTGAACTCGAATTCTCGGTCGACCCACTGTTCAAGAAGGCTTCGGCCGACTTTGACGAAGGTGGCGCCAAGGGCCTCCTCCTCAATCACCTGATGATCGACTCCCAGGGTCGAATCGTGTTCGACAGCAGCGATGACGCAGCGGACGAGGCTTCCATGGGAAAGAAGCAAGACAGCGATGCACAGGAGGATTTGGACGAGGGTGAAGAAGATAAGCGGGGCGAGGGCGAGTCGATGGATGTGTCCAAGATGGACTTGGGCCAAGAAATGGATGTGCCCGAACTCGATGACGACCTAGACGAGGCAGATGCTGAGATTGATCTGGCCATGATTCGACAGCGCTTCTTCCCCGAACTTAGCCGGCTAGACGAGCTCGACGTGTGCCCGTCGCTCAAGAATTTTGACCTCGGAAACCCGTCGGGCTCAACCGACATTCCCTTCCTTAACGCTCCGGATGACTGGCGCGACCAAGACAAGGAGAAGACAGCTGGTGCACACGGAGATGACTCGGGGATGTTGATTGACGGGGAGGCGGCCCTTGGCTTTGACGATGACGACCTCGGCCTCGGTAGCTTCGACATGGGCGGCGATGTGGCGTTTGGTGAAGGTGGTGACGCCTGGGCCCGCGATGCGGCGCTGGAACCGCAAATGCGCGTTTACAACGCCGGCTTCGGCCAAGAAGGCGAGGGAGAGGGTGACGGGTACGAGGAGAATGGCGACTACGTCGTGTCAATGATGGACCCTCGCAAAGCAGACAAGATGCACGAAGACATGCTCAGCTTTTTTGACCAGGCGCTGCAAAAGAACTGGTCCAGTGCCGAGCACTGGCGTATCCGAAAGATCAAAGACAGCGAAAAGCCGACGACGGAGACCAAGAAGCGCAAGGAGAAGGAGCCGTTTGAGATTGACTTTGCGGCGCCGCTCGAGTACAGCATCCACGACCTGATACACACACAGGCATCGAGCAACTCGGCCATTACGATGCCCAAGAAGGACTGGAAAACCAAGTCGCGGAACCTACTACCCGACGATAAGCACTTCAATTCCAAGTCGCTGCTCAGTCTCTTTCTCAAGCCCAAGGCTCGCATCGGCAAGAGACGGACGGGTGGCTTTGGCGAGCACAAGGGCTTCGGCAATGCCAACACGGACGACGCACCCGTCGGCGACATGGACGAGGCCTTCTGGGCCAAGCAGGGGGTTCCGCAGGAGAGCGACACGATGGCGTTGGGAGGTGGCGACTACGACGCCAACTTCTTCCAGGACGATGCCATGCCCTTCCCCGGAGGTGATGACGCGGACGACGACGACCTCGAGTTTGCCGACGCACGGGAGCACTTTTCACCAGAAGGTGGCATGGTAGATGACGGCATGGGTCTCACGGCGATTCTCAACGGCGAGGTGACCAATGCCACAAATGGGGCGTACGGAACGACACTCATCACGGCAACGAGGAGAGTGCGTCCGGAATACGTGCAGTACGCACGTGTAGCCAAGAAGGTGGATGTGAGGCGGTTGAAGGATGAACTGTGGAAGGGCATGGAGATGGACATTATGGAGGTAAGGGATCTGTTCCTTTCTCATCTCCTTTTACATTAACTAACGGATTTTTTTTTTTCACCTTGAACAGGACAGTACTCAGGAAAAGAGCAGGCGTTCGTCAGTGGCGCCACCAACAGAAACGATACAAGACGTCGGCCACAACGAGCTCAAGTTCACCGAAATCATGAACAACCTCCAGACGGTGTACCCCAAGACAGTCATGGACGATATCTCGACATCATTCTGCTTCATCTCACTGCTCCACCTGGCTAATGAGAAGGGTCTGCTGATCGAAAAGACGCCGGACCTGCGGGAGCTGAGCATCCGGCGAGATTTGTCGGCCGAAATCATTGAGGGTGCAGTATGAGGACGGCTCAGAACACTTGATCCCCTTCTCTCTCAAATTCTTGCCCTACACTTGGGCCGGCTGGGGCGTCATGAGGGCATGTGTATAAATACGAAATTATGGCCGTACGACGATGAATGGGAAGGAGCAGCGTATTTTATCTACCTATGAATGTCTTAATGAGAAGCAAGATGAGTGTTTGTTGGTGTTGACCGTTGCTTCCGCGACTAACTACTACTACTACTACAACTGCTGCTGCTACTACTGTTGCTACTACTAGTAGCATTGACAAAGTCTTACATGTTCATGTATACTTGTAGTAGAGCGTACGAACTCGAACTCGGTGTCGGCCGAAGACCGGAGACCCCTGTCTGGCTGGTGTCATCCGATTATGACTAGTGCTGCAGTGGGCCGCTAAGCATGTGCCACTGACGAGACTTTCACGGATGAACAACAGCTTACTCTATAAAGATTGCTCGTAATAGGGGTACCCTGACACGTAGAAAGAAAGAAAAGAAGTTATGTAATAACGCATGCCCACGGGGAGTTGGAGTGGATATAGACATCATTATGCACAAATACCACAGACTGCTATGCAACTAAGGGGGAATTAGTCAGGCAAGAGAAGCAAGAAAAGGAGTTTCTTGCAAAGTGGCGACACACACGTGATAGCGGAAAACCACTCGACTCGACTGGTTTGGCTTAATTGGGTGCGTGACCTTGTTAGATGCATGTTTTGTAATATTAGCATCCATCTCCAAACGACGAAGCGAGGCAAAGAGAGAAAGTGCCCAGAGACAGAGAGACAATAGAGCTGCCAATAAGACTCTCTGTGTGAGCTTCCTTTCGATTACAAAGCCGCGCATAACGACTCTTCGTCATTCGACAATTAAACCCAACCACTCACCCTTCCGACGTGCCGACTGACCCTTCTGTTCTCTTTTCTTCTTCTCTTGTCTACTCTATACATTGATACACATACCGGAAATGCCACATCTGTCGAATTCCTCTTACCAGTTTTGGTACGACGAGAAGCGGGTTGCGCTGGGACGATCAATCGACGGGGTCATTGCCCAGCTCAAAGCCCTTCAGGAGACCAACTCGACAAGACCGCTTCACTACCCTTCGTCGAGACTGGTGCCAAGACCGGCGGTGACGGAGGTGGTTAAGCAAAACGGCGGCGGCCGAGACGAGGATTACGACAACGATAACGATGACGACGACGACGACGACGATGACGACGACGACGATGACGACGACGACGACATTAACAACGAAGAGGATGACGAGCTCCTGGTTCTACGACTGGACGTGAGGCTAGGCGGGTCGCAGCATAGCGACTCGCTGCAGATGCTGGGCAGGGACGCCATCGCGTCGGTGCTGGGGGAGCGGTTCGGGACGAGCGTGCGGCAGCTGCTGGCGCTGCGGGAGCGCATCGACGACCCGCTGAGCAAGATACTGGTAACGGGAGACGTCAACGCGGGCAAGTCGACGTTCTGCAACGCGCTGCTGCGACGGCGAGTGCTCCCGGAGAACCAGCAGCCGTGCACGGCCATCTTCTGCGAGGTGCTCAGCGCCAACCAGAACCAGGGGCGTGAGGAGGTGCAGGGGACAACGATGGAGCAGCGGCGTGACTCGTTCGGCCTGCGCGACTTGGAACGCGTGGTGACGGACCCTCAGTACACGCAATGCAAAGTCTTCGTGGACGACAGGCGCACGGCCGACGAGTCACTGCTCAGCAACAAGGAGGTGGTGGATATCACGATCATCGACGCACCCGGGCTCAACCATGACACGGCCCACACGACGGCCGTGTTCGCGCGCCAGGAAGAGATTGACGTCGTCGTCTTCGTCGTCTCGGCCGCCAACCACTTCACCATCTCAGCCAAGGACTTTATACGTGCCGCCACTGCCGAGAAGGAGTATCTCTTCATCGTGGTCAACGCCTTTGACACAATCCGCGACAAGGACCGCTGCAAGAAGGGCATCATGGACCAGATCCAGCTGCTCAGCCCTCAGACCTACCGCGAGGCCTCGGAGCTGGTGCACTTCGTGTCGAGCAACTCGGTCCTGGCGCCGCCAACGCCTGCTCCCGGCGACGAGCAGTACTACCCGGTCCAGCCGCCCGTGGACCCTGCCGTCATCGCCGCCCGAACCCGCGAATTCGAGCGCCTGGAGCGGTCCCTGCGCAAGTTCGTGCTCGAGAACCGCGCCAAGTCGAAGCTGGCCCCGGCGCGCACCTACCTCCTCAACACGTTGCACGACATCCGCAGCCTGGTCTCGGCCAACATGCGCGAGGCCCGCGCCGAACTGGACCGCGCTTCAGACGCTATGAGCGACCTAGTGCCCCAGCTCGAGGCCCAGCGCAGGACCCTGATAGAGGTCGGCAACAAGATCGACGCCACCGTCGAGGATACGTGCCGCGACGTCTTCGACCACAGTCGCGCCACCATCGGCGCCGCCATCACCTTCGCCGGCGACCTCGACGTCGAGACCCACTTCGGTGTCCGCTACACCGGACCCTGGAACGCCTTCCAGTACGCCAACGAGCTGCGCGACGCCATGCTCACCCGCATTTCCCACGTCGTCGTCGGCTGCGAGGACAACGCCCGCGCCCGCGCCACCGTGGGCGTCAACTCCATCACCCAGCTCGGCATTATACACAGCAGGACTGCCGCCACTACCAACGGCAGCAACAGCAACCCCTTTGAGAAGCTCCATTTCCGCCCAGAGGTCATGTTCTCCCGCAAGCGCGACGCCCTGGCCAAGCAGGTGGACATCACAGTCGAGCTACAGGACTTTGTCGACTGGCCCTCCCTCGTGTCCACCGAGAAGTTTGCCGGAGCAGGCATGGCCCTCACCCTGGCCACCACCGCCGTGGGGAGCCGTCTCGCCGACCCCCGTGGCTGGATAGACTCCATCATGACTCTGACCCGCGTCATGGACGGTAACAGTCTACATCGTATCGTCGTTCCCGGTGTCGTCCTAGCGGGTATGCTTTTACACACACATACACATACACACATACACCTCTCTCCCTCTCTCTCTTTCTTCTCTCTTGAATATCTATCTAACAAAACAAACCCCAGTCATTGCCGCCGTGGGAGCCCACGTCCTCCAGCAAATCCCCCACGCCGTATCCCACCACCTAGCCGCCAAGGTAGCCGCCGAGCTCGAGTCGGCCGACTACGTCCTCGCCAACTCGACTCGCATCGCCGACAGGGTGCGCCGCGTGCTGCGCACCCCCGCCGAGACCGTCCGTTCCGCCCTGGACAGGTCCGTGCGCGACCTAGGCCAGCGCCGCGACGACATGGACAAGGTCCGCGGTGAAAGCCACGTCGCCATCCGTCGCTTCGAGTCTCTCCTGCGCGCCAATGCCGACGAGCGTGCTGCCGTGATGGCAATCGACCTCGAGGCTCCTCCGCCTGGAACGCCGGGTGTGTAAAAGCACCCACACGCCGCCGGCAATCTTGCTTTCTTTTTTTCTGAAAATCTTGCAAGAATGGAAAAGAAAAATGAAAATCATGTAAACTATCACCCACTCCACCCCCTCTTCCATTTATTTGTAAAAAATGAGAAACAACAAAAAAGAACAAGACAGCAGCAACTTTGAACGGGAAGATGAATGAACAAGCAGAGATTGAAATCTCCACCATGGGCATATATAATTTAAACCAAGCATTTGTTTCTTCTTCTTTTTTCTTTGCCCCCCTCACTTTCGCAAAAGTCGTGTCTTAGTTACATATGCATTCGGGATTATCAAGATTGCCATACTACAAAGAGTTCAGTCTCGACAAAGAAATGTGCTGCAGTAAGATCAACAACACTTTTTGACTCTTCTTCCCAAAGACCAGCTAGCTCTCAAGGGACAGGAGAACAAATCGTACGGAGTACAACATTAGCGTAATCAATGTCACCAATCAAGAAAAAAGGGGGGGTTCGTCTACCCAAAGGGGCTAAGAGTAAAAACACCGCCCACACAAGCGATATATTTTCCACAAGAAAGGAAAACAAAAAATGAACAGCAAGGTAGAAAACGTGCGAGGGATAAAATCAGGTATATATTTCGATAATCCCTCGCGTCCCAACCGCCAGATATCTCGACAGTTTTCTCTCATCATTATTGCTAGTATTCGTATGCTACTTATTGCTGGGGAATCGTGTAAAGAATAATAGAAAAACGACGAATCGTATAAACAAGAACAAGGAGAAGAAAAAAAAAGTGGTTTTGTTCCAACGCCGTCATAAAAAAACAAGGGGTGAAAATCAGCCTCCCTCAAACCCGAGTCCCTACTCCTACTTGCTTTCCAAGAAAGAAAAAGAGAAAAAGAGGGTAAAAAAGACAGACAAGAGGGCATGTGCGTGTGCAGCTATGCATGTACATAGACATACACGAATATGATGTATATAAAGAGCAAGAAGAACAAGAGATGAAGATAATAGTGAACAGACAAGAGCAGACCCAGAGTCGGGAACTGTGTGATTTAGTTTCGTTTTTTCTTCTTCGACAAAGCTTATCCGGCTGGTAATTTGTGTGTAAAGATCGAAGCCAAATAGGAGCTTCCCATGCCGATAATCAAGTCAGGCAGGAGCTGCCTTATTCGTTGTGTCTGCCGTTGACAATCTCGCCAGCACGCAAGAGCGCACTCATGCCGTCGAGACCATTCTTTGATCCCTTGGCCGGAGCCCCCGTACCGTTCCTGGCGGCTGGAGCCGAGGCTAGTTCCAGTGCAGGTGAGGTCATGACGACATCATCCGTCGTCAAATCTTCAACCTTCATATGCTGCAAGGCTGACGGAGCGGACTGAAAACCTACCGGGGTCCAAGTTAGTCGACATACAGTTCCGTTTCATCGAGAACAGGTCTTCGAGGTTCTAATTACCATAGCCTTGCGGCCCCTCGTGGGTTCCGTTCATCAGTGCACGATTTCCTACCACGGCGGATCCCCCTATGTTGGTCCGGGACACCACATTATGGTGGCTCGGGATCGGCAAAGACACTTCCGTCGGGCGGTTCTCGAGAAGTGCGTGGATGGGCAGCGAGCCTTCCCCTTGCGGCCGACTGAAGCTGCTCATAGAAGTGCCTGCCGAGCTGGTTGCCGGGCTATCCGACTTCACCGATGTGCTGCTTCCGCGAGAAGAATCTTCGTGGCGTAGCATGGGCGGAAGGCCGCTCGGATGTGACAGGGGTTGATGACGGCTGCCTGTCATGGGTGGCTGGCAGGCCACCTGAGTCGCTCCGGGGGCCATTCCAGGTCTCGCGTAGCGATCACCGTCCGATGCTGGCGCGGGCGGTTTCCCGAGCCCGTTGTCCAGCACGTCCGACAGTGACGGCAGCAAGTGCTGCCGCCCTTCGGTAACGGCATTGGTGTCCCGTACAGCAGCGCTGCCCGTCAACCTCATATCCCGCTCGCCATGCTGGGCGGTGAGTGGCGAAAACTTGGCGTCTGGCATGACCGGGGACATGGATTTGTGAGAGTCGGCTATTGATGAGATGGAGTCCATCCTCTGTCGAGCAGACCGCTTCTCGTTTTCAAACGTCCTCTCGCTGCTGCTCCTACTGTTGCGCAAGCTGTGGTTGGTGCTCGCACTCGTGCTTGTAGTTGTGCTGCCGCGGCTGCTGGCACTCGAGGCTGAGACTCCGGTAACGACGCTGCTGCCCGAGCTCTCGTGGTGGTACCTGGACAGCTCAACCTTGGATCGTTTATTAACATCTGTGATATTTGTAAGCCGGGCCGCCACCAGTCCACGCTGTCGACCAGACCGACCTTGATCACGCTTGGCCTGCTTCTCCTTGAAGTCGGCCAGGTACTGTGCGTGCTTGCGATATTCTGATGTCTTCTTGTACTCGGCAAGGTTGCGGTGGTACTCTTCCTTGGCACTGTTGGCCTGTGATTCGTACGTCTCCTTCTCAGCCGGAGGCAGGCTTTGCCAGTTCTCACCGACCAGTTTAGCAATCTCGGTAAAGGTGAGGTTCTGACCCTTGAGATCGTCTCGCATCTCTGTACAAGAGGAGAGCAGAGTGTTGTCAGTCCCAGGGTGTCATCCGAAGTAAAGATTGGCAAAGGTGAGCTTACTGTTGGAGAATAGGACGTAGGCTGAAGGTGGCCGCTCAGGGGCATTCTCGTCGGGCTATACGAGTTCTCAAGTTAGAAGCTGTCAAAAGGTCGGACAGGCAATGTCGATCGGGGAGAGAGATGCTTGTCTCACCTTTGGATGACGGCGATACTTGCGCTTCACGACACCGCTACCGCCATCGCTGTTGGCGGGAAGAGTACGTCCCGGGCTTGGACGGGCTGTGGAGTTACTGCTCTTCCCTTCATCGGAGCTTGGCTTGGACGAAGAGAGCGAGGTGCTGGGAGCGACGCCTCTCGCATTGGCGATTCGCCTTTGTAGCTTCTATTCACAACGTCTTTTGTCAGTAACCGGTGGATTTACGCGTGCAAAAGTTGCAAATGGCACAAATTCAACTTGCCCTCCTGTGACCGAGCTTTACACCAAGTGCATCACTGCAGACGATATTGTCAGTCCTCTAGCTCTTGCCGTTGGTGAGAATGCGCAGCTCTGTTGCAGAAAATGCAAAGGGGAAAGCGTACAGGTCAGACTCCTGGATGTCCAGGATAGTGTCCCAGGTATCGAATCCCTGGTCGACGAAAGTGCCAAGATACTGGATCAGGCCCAGCTCCCTGAAGGTGGCCTCGAGCTGTGCCATACAGGCGGATTCGGGGTGGGCGTCCCGTTGCGAATAGGTTGATCCGAGACGGAGACGGAGCCAGAGTCCGGGTTATGCTGTTGATAGGATTCTTCGAGACAGCAAAGGCTTCATTTGTCATGAGAATAGAATGCGGCGAGGTTATGACACAGATTTTTTCTTCTCTTTTGAATGTCGAGGTTCAGTGCACAGCTGACCGATGAGAGTGATGATGTAAAGAGAGAAGGTACGATAAGCGATGGGGGAGAGGGGGCGAGAGGCAGGGATGGCAAAGTGCTCTCTAAGATGCCTTCCCAGCATCTGTCGATGTACGATGTGTTCGATCCAGCCCCGTTTTGCCCCGGGTGCAATCAACGATCAGCCTTGGGGCTAGAGACAGAAGAGAGCGAGAGAGGTGGTGGTGGCGGTGGTGGTGGCGGTGATGATAACCGGGGCGCGGGCCACAAGGATGAATATAGTGTGTGTAACGTGAATGTCTGCCAGCCAAATCCTATGGAAATTGGATTGTGTGAAGGGTGGCTGATCGTCGAACCTGGTAAGTGATCTGTTGTGTGAAGGCGGGAGCCAGCGAGTCAGATAAAGCCTGAGTAAGCAATCACCTGAGCGGATCCCGAGCGCGCAGGGCGTATATTTAACGTGAAGCTCTAGGTTCAAGCTCAGATGACGATTTTGTGGTATCAGTTTTTTTCTTTTTTTTTGGAAGTTGAACTTCGGTTCTCTTTGTATTATGAAGCGCAAGTTGGGAGGAAAGGGGGGAAAAAAAGAGGTGGGAGGTTGAAATCCGGAAGGGGGCGGGAGGAGGAGGGGCGTGGAGTTTAGTTTGTTCTGGCGAGGGATCCGTCGATGAGTGGTCGACAATACCCTAAGGACAGCAGCTGCACCGCAACGGCACCACAATAGGAGGAAAGCAAGTGAGGAATTACACTGTAGGCACAAATGTAGCAAGCGTGACGTCTGCTCAAAAAACTGTGAATAACAGAAGACAGAAGGGAGAGAGACAGCGCCTGCAAAAAAAAAAAAATGGTAGAAAGGGGGGGGGGGGAGTAGGAGAGAAGGAAAGAAACCACGCTTGACCACTTGGTGGTGTGATGAAGCCTTAAAACACGTCCAAGAGATCGATCGACCGAAGAGGGGAGTACAGCCTCTGAGTGTAGTTTCTGAGTGCAGCTTGGTCTCCGAGTATTAGGTGGTAATGGCAGTGGTAGGTCGGCGGATGTACCGCTAAGGGAGGGGGGAGGATGGATGAAGAAACTAGGCCAGAGTGTGTCTGTTGGTGGTGGTAAGAGGACGCCGGAGTGAGTAAGTACCGTGCTCGGACCAGATGAAAGTAGCAATTGCTCAGTAGATCAGTGAGATCGGGATTCGAGGTCGAAGCATGCCAAAAGGCGAACGCTGTGATCAATGGTCAGGTACCAGGATGCGTACCAGGACGTCGTCGACATCACCAGGATCAGAGGAAAAGGGGGCAAAGGAAGAGGCTTTGCAGGCGAGGAATGGCAAAGCTTCAAAAAGGCAATCGAGAAGAGGCAGGATGGAAGAACAGGGCGCCCGATGAAGGCCAAGGTTTTCCATCCAATAGGGCGGGATTGCACGAGTACGAGTACACCGTATGGAGAGCGACATAGTGCCAATAACCATACCGTACCCGCCGAACGAGGCTCATTCGCACGTGAGGGAAACGGTGGGAAAACTCAGTTAGGTGTCGAGATTCCGGATTCTGCCAAGCTGCGGACCCCCGACAGACGGAGTGACGGCGCATTACCTCTGGTGGAGTAGATGAGCGAGCATGGCCTTTGATGGGCAAATGCCATGATCCGTCGCCTTTGCCGTTTTAAACCGGGACCATGTTGACGGGGTCTGTTGACTGGCCAGACGAGATGACAAAGACAAAACGTAGACGTAAATGGCTCCCGTTAGTGCTAATAGCAATGTCGGGTGTGCTCGTATGGCGGTCCACGGGACAGTTGTCGCATGTCGATCAGACCTCTCCGTACTCGTAGCGTAATTAATGTACACGAGTACACGTCCTAGTGGCAGCAGTACATGCAATACCGTGTATAAAGTGCGAGCAAAGCGACGCCGCCTCAGACAGACAGCACGATGACGGTTCGATCTGAGTGGTGTAAAACGATCGAGGTAGAGGGAGGAGGGCCTGAGAGAGGGAGAGAGGTGATATGTCTGGTTCGCTGACTCGAACATGCCGCGCGACACGACATATTTGCCCCGTTCCTGAAGATCTCAGCGCGTGCAGGTCTCCCGACGGAGCAGGGAAAGAGGGAGAGGGGAGGGGGAGGGAAAGAAGCATACGGGTGTTTATTACATTATCGGTACTGATCTGTACTGCATTGGTAGTAGGTAGTGGCGATGCCATATGAAGCCGTACAAATGGCAGAATACGACTCGTTTCAGTTCAGTAATAGACGGTAAAACATGACTTTATCCAAGTATTGCGCGTACTCCGTACGGTGATGGGAAAGTCAAGGGTATAGTAGTATTATCTGCACTTTCCGTTTTTATCATTTTCTGTCTCAGTTGGGACTGAAAACTCCTCCCGTTTCTTTTCATTAATCCTTCCCTTCTCCATTTCTCCGCCAGGTCGACCGCCCCCTTTCCGACCACGTTGATGAAGGAATACGACAGTCTGTTCCATATCACTCTGTACTTGTACGGTGTTGTGTGAATTGGCAATAACAGAGTTAATATAGCTGAGAGATATCGTACCTTTTTTTTCTCCTTCTTTTTTCTTTTTCTTTCTCGAAAAAAAAAAAATCCGGTTGGAAGTCGTGTTCCTGCTTTAAGAGGGCGTATCGGGATGCCTAGATCTTCTTTTGCCATCCAGCAGCTTCTACCATCACACCTTCCCCTCCCCCATAACGCACCTTCCCCATCTGCCAACCGGATATGAACCGAGCCATACTTCCTTCCTATCCGTACGTACGAGTACGTACGTCGTCGTCGACTTGCAAGCCCTGAGCCCTTCTCATCCTCGCACCGTCCCGCATGCTTCCAACCATGGGCCCGATCCCAAGGTTATTAGATATCTATCATCAAGGACATGCCAGGTGGTTGTGTGACGCGGTGTCGAAAGCCATATGACCTAACTAGTAGTGGTATCCAGTACAATCTTAATAGCAGTGATAGTATGGAGGAATTGGAGGAATTGGCAGTGGTTTTGTTAGTAATACTACTATTCTTGATAAGCCTTCCCCCCATTTACCGATCTATGGGGTCGGGACGGTCGGGACCGATCTGAGGAGGATAAGGAACGGGCTGCCCTGATCACTTTTCCAAGTATCACTACAGGTTAACAAACGGGCAGAAGAAGTCAAAAAAGACACACGACGTCATGCCCGCTGGCGGTTATTACTGGCATAGCGCGCGTAACTCCCCGCCCGTGCACTATATGTTCCAAGCAGGACGGACCTCTCTCTCTCCACTGCTCACGGGGCCTCACTGCTGCTGTCGATGTTGGTTTGTGCTCAAGCCATGGCAGCATCTGGTTCCGTAGTGGCCATTGATTGGCACCCTAGGAGGGAAAATAGTGTCCGTATCCACCTTGCTCTGTATTTGGGGCATCTATAAAATATATATACGAGGAAAGAGGAGGGAAAAGGTAAGCGAAATATGAAGAAAATATGAAGAGGAACATGATCGGGGCGTATAAAGTGCAGAGGACGGGTGTCGTGTTATTACTGATACTTGGTAGTACTCGTACGTCTATCACCCAAATCAAGTCTTACGGCAGGTCCCGAGGAGGTGTGGGTGGTATCGGTATGGAGATGAAGAGGAGCCTAACCTAGACGGTCGGCACATGGGTTGGTATGTAGATGTAGGGTTTAATGGACGATACAACGATGGATTTCTATCGTATTCATTCATTATTGATCGTATCTTCAGGCATATATCTTTCCTCTCCATTCCCCCCCCCCCC